ACATATAATGGCAACACCCTGAGAAATTAAGATAACCTCTTTTCATTATCTTTTAATTAGAGACGATATTGAATAACAGGCAACTGAATTCAATTGGCTGTGGATGGGACTGCATTAAATCTTGTTACAGTTTTTTATATTTTTATTATCTGTTTTTGAGTAAAATAAATATCATTACAAAATTAGAATATGTTACATTTTGTAAAATTACTCTTATGTGGAATTTTATAAACTTTTTCCTTTTTAAATGTTTAGTTAATACTTTTTTTGTTTTGAAAATTTGGACTACGGCCTCATTAGAGCAGGAGTTAATGGGTTACCATGATTTTTTTAGTATATAAAATCTAGGAAACATTTTCATGGATCGGGATATGCATCATGTCTTGCATTTAAATATAATGCTATCTAAGATAAAGTCTGCGTGGAAAACAGGAAAAGTATATGAGAGTTAAAAGTGAAAACTAATGGATTCATTGCCTATATGAAATAAACTACTGTTACAACTCAAATGTTCATTTTAAGTTTTTTACTACTCGGACCTATTCATGTATCTATTGTTAAGATTATATATTTATTATACAAAAAAGATATTGATAAGAATCGGGCAAAACCAGGGTCATCAGGGGTTAAGAAAATGTCGTCCCCACCACTCGATTTGGAAGGTCATGACCTAGAGATTCTGGATGGAGCAGATGAAACTATGGAACCTTCTGGGGGAGCTTGGTATTTTCCGGGAAGCTATTAAGGAACGTATTTGTCACTATTATTCTCCCTCTATTATTTAATATAAGACCAAGTTTAAAAGTCTTCTCTGGTCCTAAATATAAAACAAATTTAAATTCATTATTTTTTCTTACTTTCTCTTTCGCTTATTTATTGACATTTGAATTTATAAATAATAATTTATTATAATTATTAATTATAAAGAAGGATAAATTAAAAAAGTTATAAGTTTTCTTACATTTTCAAGGTAAATGAGCAAGTTTATTAACTTCATCTTATATTAATAATCGGATCAGTGTATCAAGAAAAAAAATAAAAAAACTTCAAGGTTTAAATCAATTCAGGAGCTTTGATTTTCTTTAAAGTTACATTTTGAATCAGCTTTTTAATTAAAACATAAAAATTAATTATATTTTTAGTTAAAAATTACATGATAATATGAAAAATTATTGATGTAATATTTTCTAAGTTATATAACTACTATGATTTTTAAAATAATAAATATGCAATACATGGCTGGAGGGAAACAAGGGACATATTTCATAAAAATTTTTCTTTACTTGTTTGGATGGGACAAAAGCAAGGACGGAAGTCCCATTCCCTTATTTGGCAATAGGGAGGGGAGGGAACAAAATTTCCAAACCCTTCCCCTAAATTGGAGGATTTGGGGGATTTTTTCTCCTTTTTTTAATTTCCATTAATTTTTTTTAAAATTATACTTAAATCTCACAAAAAAAATTATTATTAAAATATTTTATAAAATCCACAAAATACTCTCGAATTGCAAATCCTACATATTTACATTTGAATAAAGGGCATTTACAACTTGATAAATGATATTTATAATTGCACAACATGTATTTAAAATTTATTATTGCAAGTTATCATTTATTTGTAAGTTTTAAATGTCCTTTGTTAAGTTATAAATATATAGAATTTGAAATTTAAGAGTATTTTATAAATTTTAGAGAACATTTTAATAATAATTTCTTTTTTGTGAGATCTATATGTAATTTTCTCAAATTTTTTCAATCTCCTTAATAGCTCGTTTGGTATGCATGAATTGAAATTTGGGAAGTGAGAGTGAAAGTGGAATTGTAAAATTAGAATGTTTGGTACACTGACATTCAATTCTTTATGAAACCCACTTCCATCAAAATTGATGGAATTGAGGCTTTGTTTGATATGCACGTTTCAATTTAGAGGGATTGAGATTGAGAATAATAATGGGAATGAGATTTTAAAATTATATTTGGTATGAGGTAATACTTGTAGAAATACTTTTCTTCATTCTATTTTACAATTAAACATAAATTATGAAAAGATTATAATACCCTTTAAAATTAAAAAAAAGCAACCCTAACTCTGATGAACCCTTCTTCACCTTCTCCCAAATTGTGAGCACAATGGTATCGAGAGGCCATTGCCTTTGCTCTCCAACCAAGCTCCACATATAACAATTTCAACTATCCAGTTTAATTCACAATAAGTTATCCATTTTCTCACTATTCATGTTGCTTCAATCTATTACGATCTAGAGAAATAGTAGCCAATTAAAGCAAGTGAGATGTGATCTGGAGGGAAAGATGGCTTGCAACAGAGATGGCGATAGGAATGACTTGCAAAGGCGATGGCGATGGGAACAACTTTTGATGGAGATGGTGATAGAGACAACTTGCGACGAAGAATGCGATTGAAATGACTTGCGATGGAGATGGCGATGGGAATGACTTGCGACGGAGATAGCCAAGCGAACAACTTGCGATGGAGACTACGAGTGGAATGACTTGTGATAGAGATGAAGAATCGAAGAGTGGTTGGAGATGATGAAGTGGGGAGATTGGAAGGATATTTTTATCTAAACAGTATCAATCCCAAACTCAATTTTGGTGTGATTGAGTAATACCATGAGGGGTGGTGGGTTTCAATATTTCTATCTAAATGGGATTGAGCAATCCCAAGCCTTAAGGAATGCTTCCTACCAAACATACTAAAGGTGAAATTACTCTAATCCAATCTCAATCCTTGCTACCAATGCTGTATACCAAATAGGGCATGAGTTTCTTACTATATTGGATAGAACTGGCTTTAGTTTTTTTGGAAGTGAAATCTCTTAATTCTTATATTCTCAAGTATTATATCAATTGACAAGTTTTGCCCCTCCTAATTGTCACTCGTCTTCTCCGACCAACCTCCCTCATTGTCGCAACATCTCCCCTCGGTGATCTGCGCATCCTCCACCTCCCCCACTTTGCTTCCTCCTCAACCCTTTTCCACCTTCTTCCCCTGTTTTTGGTTTCTTGATCCGTCATCTTCCTCTTCCAGATTTGTGCTCAACCTCTATGGTCTTCACTTCCATTTTCGCTCGCGTTGGATTTTGTTGTTGTTGTGAGTCATCGTTGTCTCCATCCTCAGCCCTTCATCTCCTTTCTCTTATTGTTCTGATTATTTGTTTCACCAGGTCTGGATCGATTTCACTCCTCTTCATCTTTTCTCATTTTTTGAAATCAAATCTTCCCCCTGCTTCTTAGGAATGATTCAATTTCCGGCACGATTCAACAAAATCCCCTGCTTCTTGATTTGAGTTTGGCAGTATTTATGCACAATGCAAACTTGGATTCAATTTCAGATCTATGATTTTTTGTTCTTCAACTTTGTGTTCATATTTTATTGTATTTGATTCAAATGTTATGTTCAACTTCAATTTCATAGTATTTTTCTGCGACAAATTCTGATCAGATGGAGGATTTCTTGTTTAGGTGTTTTGAGATTTGGTGGAGGTGGCCTCGATGATTTTGGAGACGATGAATGATGAAAACAATGGAAGCTTCTTTTTTTAAAGAAAAAAATAAGAGTGTTTTGGTCTATTCAAAATATAACTACATTCATTAAATATGATTTTTATTCCACTTTCATTTACATATTAAATATATTTTTAAATCTTACTTTCACTTTTATTTTTATTTCCACTTTCACCATAAACAATTTCCTGTGCCAAATAGGACACAGCTAAATGGAGGGCTGCCGGCCGTCGATCGTCGTGACTTACTCCTGACTATAAGGTGAGAAAAACTCTCGAATGGGACCAATAATGCCACGTGTTGAAGATACATGTCTCGCCCTCATGCGACAACGTGTGTCCCTGCGTTACCTGAAGTTTCCATGCGTTCGGATTTGGTGAATAGGAAGCAATTCTAGCCCTTTATCTTGCTTTTACAATGATTTGTACCATTAATTTAAATTAATTTTTAAATATTTTTAATAATATATTTATTGGCATGAAAAGTGTAAAAAAATTTAATATTAAATGTAGATTATCTTTAGTGTTCATTACTCATTGGGATGAACACCATAATACTGATCCCTTCTCAGGGGATCTGCATTTTTTTAAATTTAAAATTTTTTATTTTTATTTTATATTTATTTAAATAAAATTTATAAAAAATTTTAATAAATTTGTTTATTATTAATTTGATCATTACAAATTTAACTAGTCTAATTTAATATTAAAAAATTTATAATTTTATAATTTGATAATCTAAATGGATTCTAGATAATTCATGTATAATTTAAATAATATATTTTAATATTAATGAATTTATAAACTTTATAAATTAATTATTTAAATGCACTTAGTATAGCCCAAATCTAATTTTAATTTTTTATATTAATAAATATAATATTAAAAATATTTAAAAATTAATTTAAATGAACATCATAGATTATTTTAAATTTTAAAGTGAAATGGAGGAGGGTTTTGCTCCAAATCCGACGAGTACTCACAGGAGAGGAGTCTCTTTATTTTTTTTTTATTTTTCTTTATTTCATCCATCCTCACCATTCATTAATTTTATTATTTTAAAAAATTATTTAATAAAATAATTTAAATAATAAGAAAAGAGGAAATGAAGGAAAATGAAGAGAAAAAGGGTGGAGACATTCAATGCCAAGCACTCGCACGCAGTTTTCATGACCGCTTTCGCACTGTGTGACTTTGAAACGCCGATTATCATATTCGCGCCACGCGTCCACTTGATCAGGGTGCAGGAGCCGTTTAGTTTAACGGATGCTGATCTGCGGGTCCCCTTTTGATATCTTCCACCGTTCTCACGGAAACTTGTAACTCCGTCAATCGTTCCCCGCTATTTCGTTTCCGGGTTCGGTTATGAACCATGAGAGTTCGGGTCACTCTCTTCACTTGAACGGCTGAGATGCCATCCGTTAGACCATCAACATCGGTCCGCTCCCTAACCTTAAAGGCTAACAAGCACGGCACGGCCATTTTTCGCATTCGTGGGTCTTATTCCTTCCAGACGTTTCGAAACCAGCTCTAGGGTTTTTGTTGATTGATTGCCGATTGGAAGTGCGAAATTTTCAGTTGGTGAATCATGGCTGAGCATCACGAGCACGAGGAACCGAAGTCTGAATCATTGTTAGAGAAGATTTCTGAGAAGATTCATGACCGCCATTCCTCGTCGTCTTCGTCTGATTCGGACGACGAGAAGGATAAATCTACTCCTTCGATCCAGTCCAAGATTTTCCGACTTTTTGGAAGGGAAAAACCTGTTCATAAGGTCCTTGGTGGCGGAAAACGTACGTAGTTTCTTTATTACGATCTTTTCTATTTCTCAGGGAACTTCAGTTTCCTAACCATTTAGAGCACCGTCATTCTCGTGCTTTATATATACCTTTCCTCGTTTCTAATCTTTTGATCGAGGTCTGAATACGATTCTTCTACTCCTCTTTTCAGTGATTAAACTTGATTTAAGTAAAATCATTACTGAAGTCATATGATTTGACTCTATTATGCCTGTTTCTCTGTTGTAAATTTGTGAATACATCCTTGAATTAATTACAGGTAATATCATCTTAATTTTATGTCCTAAAATTTTGAATTTAGTGCATAATTCATCGTCAAAATTCTTGAGTCTAGATATTGTGAGAACCACGTCCTTGTAAGTGTTGTATCGGATGAAACTCCCCCGTCCCCCGCCCCACGGGCGACGGTTGATATCAGATTGAGTGCTTTTTGAGCTTGGTTCTGATCCGGGGTTATGGTTCATCAATTCGTTATTTATGGTGAAAAATCTTCATTAAATTGGCATACTTTCCATTTGGGGCCTAGATTTGCTCCCCTCTCCAGTTTCCTTGGTGTTTGCTTTATTTGTTGGTGTCTTCTGATTTGCTTGTTCACGTAACAGCGGCAGATGTTATGCTATGGAGGAATAAGAAGATATCAGCCTCTGCGCTTGGTGTTGCCACGGTCGTTTGGGTTCTATTTGAATTGCTTGAATACCATCTACTCACTTTGGTCTGCCACATCCTGATCCTTGCACTGGCAATTTTGTTCCTGTGGTCTAATGCCTCAACTTTTATCAACAAGTAAAGCCTCAAGACCATGTCTAGTTTTAAGTTATTAATTATCTTTCATGGGCTAGTTACTTGGTTAAATAATCAATTTTTATCAGATCTCCACCACGGATACCAGATGTTCACATTCCAGAGGAACCTGTTCGACAGTTTGCTTCTGCTCTTAGAATCGAGATCAATTGGTTGATTGCTACTTTGAGGGATATTGCATCAGGGAGGGATCTCAAGAAATTTCTTTCTGTATGTTCATTTCCTTTTATAACTTACAATTTTGTAGTCATTTCATACTGTGTTCCAACCTTGTGCTTGTTCATTGAAAAATCTATTACTATCAAAGTGTTAAAAGCAGGGGGTTAAATTTGAGAGAGAGCTGAGTGTGTGGGTCTTTAATGAGGATTTAAATCTTCTGAAGTTGGGATTGGTGAATTTAGGTGAAGTTTTCTGTTTTTTTTTTTAGAGTATTTTTGCTCATTTTATTATTTTTTATAAAATATAAAATCTTCTCTCTCTCTTTTTTGTAAAAAAGAAAAACTTCACAGAAATTCACTACAATTTCAGAGGATTTAAATCCTTTCCGGGAAGTTAGTGGGTTAAAGAAGAAGGGGCCAAAAAAGGAAGAGGGGAGTGGGGTTGCATTTTGTATTTATTGTTTTCTCTATCATGTTATTTGATTGTCCTGGTTGTCATTTAACAGTGAATTGTGTGTTGTTAATCAAGGTTGGGTGTGCAATTCTTCATACTTTCTTGGCCCGTATTTTACTTTTTGTATTATATGTTAGGTTATCGCAGGACTATGGGTTTTTTCTATCGTGGGGAACTGGTGCAACTTCTTGACGTTGTTCTATATAGGTAACAAACTTTTCCATTTTTTATTAAGGTTTTTATCGCAGATTAGCACTTACTACCTGATAGTTTAAATGCTGTGCTGATTTAATTAATCTAATGAGCGTGGAACAGCCTTTGTTTTGCTTCACACTATTCCTGTGCTCTACGAGAAGTATGAAGATCACGTGGATGCCTTTGCTGAGAAGGCAACCGGCGAGATTAAGAAGCAGTATGCAGTGTTTGATGCCAAGGTTTTGAGTAAGATTCCCAAGGGACCTCTGAAGGACAGAAAGAAGGACTGAAGTGGCTTACTATTGTTGTGCAGTTGGGTATACATCAATATCCTGTTTAACTTTGAACCCCGTCATTAGTTAAAGCGCTATCTTGTAGTTTTATTTTTTTAGGGTTCCTTGGTACGGTGCAAGGAAGGAGTGTTTTTCTTTCCATTCAGCTGCTTTCGTGGTCGTCATTCCAATTCTGTGATCTTAATTTCTTGTCTTTTTTTTTTTTGGGTCGTATTTAAAGATTAAGATGGAAGAGTTCAGGGGGTTTCTGTACATACTTGTTTAACTGCGTTTATTTATAGTCCTGGTGAACCTTGATGACACTGAGTTCAGGAAGTGCACTTGTCTGTTTGATGGTCTTGCTTTATTTTTGCGTGGAATTCGTTCGTTGTAGAATTACGAGAGTAAAATGTTTTCAGTGTTAACAGTTGTAAGGTTACTTCTGTGTAAGATATGTAAAATCGGACTGGCAATTGAATTGATCATAACATTGGGTCGCGGGCTAGTTGTTCAATCAAGGTTGAATTTTGGGTTGAACCGGTGGTAAACTGATTAAAATAATATAATTTAAATAAAAAGATATTAATTATAAAAACATTTAATTAAATTCAACCACTCAAAAATCTAACAATAATAAAATATAATACTTTAAATATTTATTCTCACAATTACAATTTTTCAATTTTAAAAGTCTAGAGAATAGACGGAGATTGAGTTGGAGAAGAGATGGGGACAGTAGAAATGGAGATAGAGCTGGATAAGAGACAAAGAGTCAGAGATTAAATTGAAGAAGAGACCGAGATAGTAGAGATGGAGATAGAGCTGGAGCTTGAAGAAGAGATGGAGGTTAAGCTGGAGAAGAGACACCAATTAGGTTAGGTGAGAGAGGCGAGACACAGACAAAAGGTCGAATTGAACGGTGTTTGGAAATTTGAATTGAACTTAACGTGTTTTGTCTCTAATTTTTCATTTTTTAACTTCAGTTTCACCTTTTTTTTTTGTTATCTTATTTCTGAACTCAACATTTTGAAAAATTAAAAATGAAAAAAAATCTCCCAAAACGATCTCATTTTAGGGGTTTTGTTTGAAAAAATAATAACCCAGTTAACTCAGTCAACCCACCGGATTAATCGAGTTATACTGATTCATTCTCTCACTAGTTTAGAAGTAAATTCAGACCGAATAAGGAATTGGATCATCATTTTTTAGGTTGACCGGCCGATTTGATTTGAGTTTTAATACCATGCTTATGTGACATCGCTTTTTCAATTATCGGTTGCTTCTTTGACGTTCGATTTCTTATAGCTAATGATTCGTGATTAAATTCTGTTTGGAATACTTATTAATTTGTAGACTAAAACCTCGTATCATCAACTAGATTTATTCTGTATTCCATGAGATATTGTAATATTTAAAAGGTAAAATTAAAATAGAATTATAAAAATAAAAAAAATATTTGAGGCTACATGGAATTAGAATTTGTTATTTATTTAAATTTAAATAACAACTTATTTTATTTTAAATTTTATTTCGTAAGGATATAAATGATTTATTTTATTTTAAATATAATATTTTCTGGATGATTATGCTTTGTACTCTTTTTTAGTCAGTATGAAAAAAAATGAAATTAAATATAAAAGTGATTTTACTACTTAGTTTTGCTTTGTATAATTAAATTTTTTTACTAGTTTCCGGATAATTAATTGGAGAATGTAATTTATCCTTCAATAAATATTATTAAATCTATCACTTGTTACTCTTACAAATTAAAATCTGAGTAATAATTTTTATTATTCTCATGCTCGCCCCTTCCAAATTAAAATAAAATAAGCTTAATTTCTTTTAAAATATGTTGGCTTATTCATCACCCTAGGAAAAAAAAAATGTACTATAATAAACTATACACTATAATTTACTGTGTCATAATAATATTTATAAACCATAATTATAGCAAAAAATAAAAAATAGATATACTATCCATAAACATCAATTTGCCTTACCTCAACGCAACTTATTTTATAATGTTTTTTTTTAATAATACAGAAAAACTTCATTCACAAGAAAGTAACCAGATACATTTATAATGTTACCTTATACATATAACAAATATAAATAACAATTTTCCATCCCTGTATTATTCTCACATGAATTAAAATTTAAAAAATAACTCGTTTTGTTTTATAATTTTTTCCCATGTATATGATAACATATATACGCTTGTATATTAAAAATCTATATATAAAATATTTGTTTCCCTATGCATATTAAAAATACAAAGAATAATTTTATTCTAGGATGTAATGTATTTTCATAAATTTAAATTTAAACAACAAAACATTATATTTTATAATTTATTATATATATGTGTGTGCGCGCGGACAAAGCAACGGATTATTTTATTTAGAAATTATTATTTCGATTATTCCCACATAAATTAAAATTGAAACAAATTTATAATTTTTATTGAGCTATGCATTTTATTCTACATTTTATTATTTTATTCATATAAAAAAATATAAGCTATAAATGATAGGTCCAACACTTATCATTTTTACTATAAGCCTCATGTTCACGTCAATTTTACATTAGGAGTTTTACACGTATTGTTACAGCAAGTGCCACATGATCTCTCAAAATTTAAAAACTTTAAAACAATTAAAAATTACCGTCCGTCCCACTATAGGCTTATAGAGGGATAAGCACTTTTTACATTATTATTTTATATGTATAAAAAATATAAATAATAAATGATATATATCATATATATTAATAAATTTATATACTTAATCTTATATATTTAAAGTGTTTATTTTCAATTAAATTAAGATATGTATATATATTATATAAGTCTCGCCCTTTTTATTATGGATCTCATATTTGCCATTATTTTTTCACTATAAACCTTATACTATAGCAAGCCCCACATAATAATTTGTAAAAGTATAAAAAATTCTAAAAAAAGTAAGTTATTATTCATCCCACTATAGATCTAGAGTGTGATGATGTATTTTAGGATATAGAATGATGATTAGTGAAGAATAATGTTGCGGCGTAAATGCGCATGTCAGTGTTAATTTTCACTTCTTGTTTGCTTGAAAATCTAACCATTTCAGTGATTTTGAATTCATTTTTGTGGGCCAATACTTATCATCAATTTTTGATTTTATAGGACTTGTTACTCATTTTCATCAATCATCAGCTGAAGCACTGAGTATTACGATATTCCTTTTTTCTTCTATTGTATTGGATTAGATGTTAGGATTCTTCTTGTTTTGATTTTTTACCAGCATGTTAGGGTTCTGAATCTCTGTTTATATTTTTAAGTTTATGTTTTTCAATGGTCATGGGCTTATGGCATTCTTTTGCTATAAATAATAGTTAATAAAATTTGAAAGTATTGTCATTTTTCTTTGAAAAAAATATTTCTTCTGTTGGGACCTAAAATGGTCACAATAATCTTTACCCATATCATGAGGTAAAGAAAAAAGAGTTAATATGTAATCAAAATCTTAAATTATAGATTTATGGATGATTTAAATCCTAAACTCATATTTAATATATCTTAAACATTGAATAATTAAATTTGTGGCAATTTGTCATTAATTTGAATTAAAAATTTGTTATTTTAAATTGTGAGCCTCCTGTTTACATCACGCGTGGACATAGCTTTTTGTCCCTCCTCCCACTCTCTCCCTCTCTCTAGTTCTTGCTCTCCCTCCCCAATATAACAGCATTACGTGGACTAAGATTGGAGAAACGAAATAGCCATGGACTGAGATTGAGAGCACGCAGCCGAATACCCCATACCTAATGTACTTAACTATCCGGCCACCGACAATGTTAACGGCATGGCAACACATGAAGTTGCCTTGAGACTAAGGACCAATCAAGCAACAGCAAATGATGGCACACAAGTGATCTTTGACTCTACTTTCTCCAAAAAAACTTTGCAAAGGAACGATGGCACATAAGTAGGCTCCTCTCTCTCTCCCCCCAGTTCAAAGCAGCAGCAAACGGCCTCGTTTTTTAATGCAGAGCTCAAGCATTTCATCTTCATCTTGTCCATCCTCGATAATCTGATTGTGAGCAGAGTTTTTGGGGGAGCTGGTTTTCAAAGCTATGCATGCGCCTGATAATGGCACACGAGACGTGTCCTAATATCCTTTAAGTGTAACTCCTTGGGGGGGAGAGAGAGAGAGAGGAGGAAGGAGAAGCCATCCTTTATTGAGTTTATCTTTCTAACATTTCCTGAAAGTTGCTAATGATGATTGGATTTTGGGTTTCAACTGTAAAGTGGCAAACTACTACCTATTATTTCTGAAATCTATAATATTTTAAAACATCTTAAAATTTATTGAAAGAAAAGTTTTAGAATTGTGGGGTCTTTTGTGATTATATAAATGTCACTTCTAGGATCATAAGGGACAATTATAATTATCATCCTTTTCAACATATTATTGATTCAATCAAAAACCTTTTGAGTAGGAATTGAGATGTTCAATTTCATTTTTTGTTAAGAGATGATAATAGGATGACCAATCACTTAGTTAAATTAGCTTTTAATCTTACCAATAATTTTAACTTGCATGACCAACCTCCCATTACTTGATTGGGGTGGTCTCTAATTTTTACTTTTTAGTTTTTTTTTTTTATAGTTGCATATTCTTTTGACATATTCTTTTTTGAATGAAGTGTCCAGGTTTCACTCAAAAAAATATTTCTAGATCACAACTTTGCTTTGCAAACAAATGAGCAGGACAACACTCTACTGCGTCTTCAACTTCCTCATCTTCTTCATCCTTCCCAATACCTTTACTTCTTCTCATTCTATCTACACAGGCTTCGTGGGACGTCCCCTTTATACCATGTCAGGTTGAGAGAGAGAGAGAGAGAGAGAGAGATGAGGGGGTAGAGAGAGGAGGAAGAGAATGGCAGGGTGCATGAATTCATTTCAAATAGGGTTGCACAAAAGACGGAACGACACTGGACTTCACCTTAACTCGAAGTCCGATCTCTTTCATGAAAAGGACAGGGTTAGGTAACCCATAGTCTGGTCTTGTTCAGTGATAATATAAGGATTAATAGGACCGGACTTGATCCATAGGACTGAGAGACTGGTCCTGTCAGTCTAGTACTTATTTAGTTTTTTTTTTTGGTTTCCCTTTTTATTCTATGAGAAGAAATAATTCATTTTAACATAATAAACTCAATTAAAATAATAAAAACACTTATAATAATAATAAATCCATAATAATTTATAACAATGAGAAAAAATATTTTTATTATAGTTCAAATGATTTAAATTTATAACTTTAATAAAAACAGCATTCAATAAAATTCAACAACACCACATTACAGTAATAATTTAAAAACAAATTCAACAAATCTTCATACAATCATCCACTTAGCATCAATTACACTTCAAATATTTGTCAAAAATAAATTAATTATAATTATAATAAAAAATTAATAGGATTGGATTAGACCAAGCGGTTTGAATGCCTAGTCTTTTGTTCAGTCCGACCCGAAGAAATAATCTGATTTTTTTAATCTTTTTGGTCTTGAAGGACCGATGTCTATATGGACTGAACAAGATTGAGACCATTTCGGATTGGACTGAACCAGACAAGACTGAAATACTTTTGCACAGCCCTAATTGCAAAGTTAGAGAGAGAGAGAGAGACAATAAGGGAAGAGAAAGAGAGAAGGTAGATAAACATGCCACGTGGAGAGGAGAGGGCCAAAGATGCAAGGACAGAGATAGAATTCCTGCCCACCAAGCAAGCTTTTATTTGAAATTAACGATAGGGTTAGATCGCTCTGACTTTAGTTGTTTAGAGTCTAAAATATATCAAATGTAAGTTCAAAGTTTAAATCACCTTGAGTTTATAGAGTTCATATGGCCATCTAATCCAAGAAAAAAACTCATCCCACAAAGCAAATAAGGAAGTATGATGAATTGATAATATTGAAAGTTAAAAGAACCTTAATGAAACCGTCTGCATTCATGAAGTGGGATAATAAGATGCAACAGCCCTACAGTATCTTTTCATTGTCCAACAGGTATCGTTTCAAATTTTGAGGCATAAATTGTTTTTTTTTTAAAGGACCAGGGGTTTTTTTTTGGTGGTAGGATAAAGGATCAGGTTTACATTAAAGGTATTTGCCAGGAGACGTCGTCAGTTCTTACGGGCCACTGGAGGAACAGTAATCAGAGACCGAGTCAATGATCTTTGTCTCAAGATGACCCAGATCACTGCACACTGCTTATAAATTGGGCTTAATAGTCATGGCTTGCTGAACTTCTAGAGCTAGATCCAGTAGATGTCGTTTGCCGAGGTCTTAGAAGACGAGGCTATTCCATGGACTCTGCAAGAACAAGGACTGTAATAAATTCCCCTCACCTGGAAAATGTCCTTCACCATCCCAAGTCTTGGATGTCATATCTGTCATTTCCTTGTCACAATCTTTTGATTTTGGGCCCAATTTCTAGATCCCATTTCCTAATGCCCGTTTGGTAGCATGTGATTTCACTTTGGAGAATTTGGAGTGGAATTAAAAAAATAGGTGGTTTGGTATAATGAATTTCATCTGGAATCTGATTCTATAAGCAACTGCGTCAGCTTTTCTTTCCCTCAAGTTGAGCTTGGATGTGCAGTCAATGTCAATCCTTCTCCAAAAGTAGATCATATTCTTTGAAACCCAAGCCAGTGATTTCCTCAAGGCTCTAAGCCCAACATGAGATCCTGTCTATGATTGACCCAATATCAGCAGTCTTGACGCTTCTTCGTCAGTGAAAAGCCCATGTAGCAGAGTCAGTGTCTCTATGACATGGATATGATAGGCATTTTGTGCGCATACGACAATCGACTCTTGAATATTCATTTCCATAGAGACAGCGAAAGTGTTGCAAAGCCTGAAGTGCAATCGATTATCATAGCCAAGTGGCATATTCGTTGAATGTTCGCTTTTGAACCGGATGACCAATCTAACACGGTCGTTGGTTCATATGTCCCTTCTTCCCTTCTCCCACTCCACCAAACAACCTCGTTCAACGGACATTAAAAACAAATCCTTCTGGTATTTGCGTCAAAAAATTCCGAGGTTGTTCTTCTGTTTCTGCAACTCGGCCTCTTGCTTCTCATCATTGCCATTCATTTTTCTATCGAGTCACCCTTCACACGGATGAGGTAATTTAATCCTTTACTTACCCTCCACCTGTCTCTTGATTACTCTTTTTTCAGGTCTGTATCTTCGTCTTTTGTGTTAAACTGGTATTACTGGTTTCCCCCTCAGCTTCGGCTCTGCCTCGATGAGATTTTACGAACCATTTAGTGTCGTACCATAAGAAATTACTCGAATCGAAGTTTTTGGTCTTTGCTGCGGTTAAGGGATAGCAAATTTACGACTTAGGACATGTATTACCAGGACACAAACGTGCCTCATGCCTGATTCGATTTTGTGTCGTGCATTCAAAAATGTCCGATCGGATCATGATGGGAACTCTGCCTTGATTGATTGTGATTTGTTCATAACTTTCTTCCAATTATTTTCCCGTATATTGGACAATCATAATTAGACGTATCAATCCTTATGTTAGTCAGCCTTTGTTAGAAGAGTAGTTGGCTGCTTGGACTTGGAGTTTCACTTTAGCTTGCCCTTTTGTCCACAATCCTTTGTCTCTCGTTGAAGTAGTTGTGCAATGTTGAAACGATTTCTTCTTCAACCAGCGGGGGCCGTGAATTTCCTGTTAGGTTTGGGTTAGAGAGTGTAAAGATTGAGTCGAGATTTGTGGATGCATGATGTATAAATGGGGTTTGTTGCTTTCTCGGCTCTCGTTTCTTGATTACAGCTGTATTCAAGAAACTTTTTATTAGGCCACCGGATTGACTTTCACCATCTCTTAGCTCATTGTCTCGTAGTAATTTGGTTTTTGGTATGTGGGGTAATGTAACTTGGCATCTTTATTTTCCGTGGCCGGGCTTTTAGCATCTTGTTTTTAGCCTTTGTCTGGATGGGAAGCATTATTAATCATCACATAATCAAAACGATCACGCACCTAATTAACCATTTACAATTGCTGGGGAGAGACTTCAAAACGTAAAGCGGTTCAGTATTGGCAACCGAAAGTCCGAAACTTTCAGTTCATGTCTGCACGTCTATATATTCTGTGTACTTGCTACTGTCCTTTTTATTAAACATCTATAACTATTCTTCAAAATTCTCCTCTCTCTATAATTGCTTTTTCCTATCCTCTCTTCTCAATGAATTACACCAATCACAGAGTAATTTTGAAAAGCTGTAAAAAAAAAAAAATTGACATATAGACGCAATTCAACAGAAAATATAACTTATGTGTGTATATTATATGAGATCAACAGAAAATCACATCATTCACAAGTAATGAACTGTTTTTATTAAATTTTATATTACATATATAGACGCAATTCAGTTTGCTTTATTTTTTCTGATAATATAACTTTTAGTCAACTCATTCTTGTGGTTTATTGAGTTTTCAAACTCTAAATTATCAATTTAGCTATTAAATTTTGATGGTTTACAAACTTATTCTTATAATTTACTGAGTTAAGAAATGAATTGTTTTATATTGAATAAAAAACTATAAAGAGCTTATTCTCCCAATTAAAAATACTATAGAAATGAGTTGTTTTAAATTAAAGTTCATGAATTAAATTGGTAATTGAGAAATTCAAGGACCAAAATTCGTTTTCTCTATTTTTTTTATTCTGTAGTGACTAGAACAATTCTCATTCCATGCTAAGTAATCCTTTAATTTTCTAGGAAGGCTAGATTTTTACTCTTTCTTGTCCAAAATATACGTAGTTTTTTAAAATTTTTTGCATATTAATAAAGTTCTCATTTTTATATAAATATATATTATTTTTTCTTTTTAAAAGTTCCCATTCTTATGTAAATATATATTATTTTTTTTCTTTTGTTTTTAGTCAAAATTACTATTTCATGATGAGGAAGAGATAAATTTACACAAAAATATATGTTAATAAATATAATTGGTAAAATGAATTTTTTTACACATAATAAGTTACTTATATTTCTATTATTCATCTAACCTTACAACTTCCTTACTATTGAAGCTTTTTATTTTATAAAATTACGTTCTTATCATTGAAGCAAACTTCATGCAGTTAATTTTATCCTTAAACGAAAAGAAAAAAAAAATAATTTGGATAATATGACAAGATAACAAGTTTATCTAAATTCTCGAGTTTAATAATAACCTTAGAGAACTAAATATATTGAATCTTATTTTCTTCCAAATTAAACTCCTCTCGCTCTTGAGTTATTAGTTTTTTAATTTATTCTTTTCGTTAAAAAATGTAACATTTTTTAGAGAGTTGTATAATAAAAAATATAAGGCATTTTTAATCTTTTGAGGTGTAATTATTGCTGTTTTTTTTAAAAGTATCTTTATCGATAATAATTTTATATTTATTATAGGGTGTTTAATAGAGGTAAATATGAAAAGATAGAGTTAATTAAAAAAATAAGTAATTACTTTATTGAGGTGAGATTTAGTTAAAAATAATTTATTTTTTTAAATGGAGGGAATATCTAATTAATGCAAAAGTTATCGCGTAGTCAGGGAAAGTAAAATCTTAAACCCTGACATGGATTTTTAGGGCTTTGGGATTATCTTTCATTTAAGATTTTACAAGCTTTTTGTTACATCTTTTTTCTAGGTAATCACTTAGGAAAATGACAATTAAGGATCCCTTAAAGATATTAATCTCAATTAAAGACTATAAAATTTTAAAATTTAGTCTTTAATTGAGATAAAAAAAATATAGTTTGTCTTAAATGTCCTTAAAAAGAAAAACCCAATTATGTTGAAATCCTAATTATGTTATTTTTACAATATACATCAATAATTTTCTCACATTGGGTTAATGAATTCTCAAGTGATGTTAGTGAATCCCATCTCACATTAGTGGATCCTAATTTTGGATAAGTTATTTCTTGTTAAACAATCGATTTTTAGATAGGGTTTTATTTTTTTTACAATATACATTAAATTTTTTTTTTCAATTGAGTTAGTGAATTTTTAAATAGCACTTTTTTTTAAACAATCGATCCTTAAGTGAGATTTTATGTTTTCACAATATTTGTTAAAAAAATTTTTAAGTCGAATTAGTAAATTTTTAAATGATGCTTTTTGTTAAACAATTGATTTTTAAGTGAAATTTCATATTTTTACAATATACGTGAGCAGTTTTTTTTAAGTGGGATTAGTGAATTTTTAAGTGGTGTTAGTAAATTTCACATCACGTTAATGAATTTCAAAGGCATTTAAGGCAAATTATATTTTTTTATTTTGAAGTCCTTAATTGAGATTTTAAAATTTTTTTGTCCTTAGAATTAATGTCTTTACGAGGTCTTTAATTATTATTTTCCCTAATCACTTTCTATTACATCTTTAATCTTAAGCTAAGTATAGAAACTTATATTTTATTTACTATAAAAAATTGTATTATATGAATAATAACGAAATATATTTTAATTTATACACATTAATTAGTAATTAATTATCGTAATAAATTTTCTTAACCTTCACATTAAGGAAAATGCCGAATTCGTGTCGAAACCATGTAAATTCGGCTCACTCACCTGAACGGTCGATATGCCTGCCATCCGTTGCCGTGGTCATCACTCTCCCTATTTTAAAGGCTTGAAAAGGATGGCACGATTATTCTTGCAATCGAGTGGCTTTCCTGTTCCTTCCAGACGATTCGAAACCAGCTTAGGGTTTGTGACCATCACCGATTGGAAACCCGAATCTTGCAGTTTGTGAATCATGGCTGAGCATCATGAGCACGATGAGCCAAAGTCTGAATCACTGTTAGATAAGATAGCTGAGAAGATTCATGATCAGCATTCCTCGTCCTCGTCTTCGTCTGATTCAGACGACGAGAAGAAGGATAGCTCGTCGTCTTTGATCAAATCCAAGATTTTCCGACTTTTTGGAAGGGAAAAGCCAGTTCATAAGGTCCTTGGTGGCGGAAAACGTACGAGATTCATTGTCTACAGCTATTTCTTTTAGTCATGGAACTTGGGTTTCCAATTGATCTAGAGTACTGTTATTCTTATGCTTCGAATCTGCCTTTTTTCATTGCGAATCGTCTTCTGAATATGATTTTTCTAACCTTCTTTTCAGTGATAAAACGATTTAAGTCAAATCATAACTATTGTCGCAGTTGCTTACATTTTCCCTTAAGTAGGGATGAGATTTGTTCTCATATATATAATTTCACATGATTAAACCTTTTTCTCCGTTGGAACTTGGTGGATACATCCTTGAATTTATTATATGTAATATTGCCTTTATTTTGTGTGCTAAAATGATGAGCAACAGCGAAGCAGATATATTGTATTTGTAAATTATATCAAATATGTAATGCATAATTCATAATCGAAACTCTAGAGTCTTGATTTTGTGAGGAAAAACATCCTTAAAATGTTATATCGGATGATTAGTTATTTGACTTTGATGTCAGCTCGTGTTTTTTTGGGGTAGGCTCTGTTCCGTCGTTATGGTTTCTCGATTCGTTGTGTTTGGTGCTAATTCTTCATTAAGATGGCATACTTGGCGTTTAGAGCCTGAATTTGTACCGCACCACAGTTTCTTTGGTTCTTTGCTTTGTTTGCTGCTGTCTGCTGATTTGCTTGTTCGTGTAACAGCGGCAGATGTTATGCTATGGAGGAATAAGAAGATATCAGCTTCTGCTCTTGGTGTTGCAACAGCTGTATGGGTTCTGTTTGATTTGCTTGAATACCATCTACTCACTTTAACCTGCCACTTCCTGATACTTGCACTGGCAATTTTATTCTTGTGGTCCAATGCCTCAGCTTTTATCAACAAGTAAAGCGTTTAGACAATGCATTCATCTTATGGAACTTAATTCCTTTTCATGTGTGGGTTTAATTATTTGTTTTTATCAGGACTCCACCGCGTATCCCAGAAGTTCACATCCCAGAGGAACCTGTTCTACAGTTTGCTTCCGCTCTTAGAATTGAGATCAATTGGCTTTTTGCTACTTTGAGGGATGTTGCATCAGGAAGAGATCTCAAGAAGTTTCTTTCTGTATGTTGATATCCTTTTATAACTTACAGAGTTGTAGTCATATCACAAATGTGGTGCTTGCTGGCGTGTGCTCTATGAAAAAATTTTGGGTTGTCAAAGTGTAAACCTAGGAGAAGGAGGGGTTAATGTGAAGAAATCGAATGAGGGAGAGTGCCTGAGTGCAGTGTAGGGTTTTACAAGAAATTGAGTGGGTTAAAAGGGATGGGGGATGCATCTCTTAACATTGTTCTCACCTACCCATTTTGTTGACTAGATGACCAATTTTGTAACCTGGCGATCATTTAATAGTGAGTTTTGGGCAGTTATAATGTGTATCCTGAAATACCAGTGTAGGTTGTGCTTATTTCTTCTTACTTTCTTGGCTGGCATTTTACTCTGCTGTATTATATGATAGGTGATTGCGGGGTTATGGGTTTTCTCTATTGTCGGGGGTTGTTGCAACTTCTTGACGCTGTTCTATATAGGTAATGAATCTTTCTATTTCTGTTGGGGTTTATATGGAGACCAGTGCTTAGTGCCTTGAAATATTATTTTGATATGTATATTCTAATGTGTGTGGAACAGCCTTTGTTTTGCTTCACACTGTTCCTGTGCTCTATGAGAAGTATGAAGATCAGGTGGATGCACTTGCTGAGAAGGCAACCGTGGAGATTAAGAAGCAGTATGCAGTGTTTGATGCCAAGGTCTTGAGTAAGATTCCCAAGGGACCTCTGAAGGATACAAAGAAGGATTGAAGCGGCTGACAAATGTGCGATGTGGTTGGGCATTCTTCAGTACCCCTTTTTTTTGTCAAAGTCTTATCTTCTTTAGTTTATATTTTTCGAGGTACAGGGGAAAGATCAAGCTTGCTTTTGTTTCAGCTGCTTTCATGGATGTCTCTGGAATTCTGTTATATGGATGTCTCTGGAATTCTATGTTATATGGATGTCTTGTTTACTCGTTCTTAATTCTTGTGTTATTTTGAAGATTTGCCCTTTTGGGAAAGAGGGGGCAACTGGCAAGGAGGTTTTTCTGTACATCAATGCGTGGTTCTCCCATCTTATTTAAAGCTTGATGAACCATGACGGCTCCTTGATTTAACAAGATATTTTCATGTTTGTTGATGGTCTCTTACTCTGCGGGAAATTAGAATATGGAATTTGTTCGCCAATAAGAAGTGTCTGCACTAATGCAGCTGTGAAACTTGGTATGATTGTTTTTGCTCTGCAGGTTGAACCTTTGAGAATATTTGAATTAAATGATACTTTTACCACCTTTAATGGCTGGCTTCGATATATGTAACATTGTGAATTTACATTTGACTTGTATTTCATAACGATTAAAATTGATTTTTCATGATGTTTCACAAAAGGATACTTTCTTCTATTTTTTTTTAACACAATCATTAAGGTTTATAGTTTTATCAAATTTTGTTTTTAGTTTTTATATTTATAAGATTGCCAAGAGTAGGGAAAGAAAATCAAGAGATCTAGAACAGGTAAGGTGTATTAAGGATGAAGAGGGAAGAATTTTAGTTACAGATGATGAAATTAAAAATAGATGGGAGGCTTATTTTTCTAAACTTTTCAATGATGGAGAGGATTCATCTAGTAACTTGGAGGATTTAGTAACTGGTGAAGGAGAACAAAATTTGTCATTCTATCGAAAAATACGTGATAAGGAGGTAAAGGAAGCTCTTAAGAAAATGGCAAATGGTAGAGTTAACGGACCTGATTGTATATCTATCGAAGCGTGGAAATGTTTAGGTGAAGAAGGGGTGAGATGGTTAACTAAGTTATTTAATGTGATTTTACGGTCCAAGAAAATGCCTGATGAGTGGAGGAGAAGTACATTAATTCCTATTTATAAAAATAAAGGAGATATTCAGAATTGTACTAACTATAGAGGGATTAAACTCATGAGCCACACAATGAAATTGTGGGAGAAAGTAATTGAGCACAGGTTGAGATTGGAGACAAGTATTTCTGAGAATCAATTTGGTTTTATGCCAGGTAGATCAACTACAGAGGCGATTTATCTACTAAGGGGATTAATGGAAAAGTATCGTTGTAAAAATAAAGATCTACACATGGTTTTTATTGATTTGGAAAAAGCTTATGACCGTATACCAAGAGAAGTGCTTTGGAAAGCGTTGGAAAAAAAGGGAGTACGGATTGCTTATATTAAAGCCATACAAGATATGTATGAGGGGGTAAAAACTAGTATAAGAACGCCTAGTGGTCAAACAAAGGATTTTCCTATAAAGATTGGGCTACATCAGGGATCATCTCTGAGTCCTTATTTGTTCAACTTGATTTTAAATGTTTTGACGGAACATATTCAAGAGGAAATCCCGAAATGTATGCTCTTCGCGGATGATATAGTTCTTATAGCAGAGACAAGAGAAGAGGTTAATTGCAAACTTGAGTTATGGAGGAGGACATTGGAGTCAAAAGGTTTTCGTCTGAGTAGAAGTAAGACGGAATATTTATATTGTAAATTTGATAAAGGACTATTCGAAAATAATTTGGAAGTGAAATTGGGAGATCAAATTATACCTCAAGTGGAAAAGTTTAGATATTTGGGAGCCATTATCCAAAATGATGGCGAAATCAGTGGAGATATTTCACATAGAATTCAAGCTGGGTGGTTTAATTGGAGAAAAGCTAAAGGAGTTATTTGTGACCGTAAGGTGCCTAATAAACTTAAAGGAAAGTTTTATCGTACTGCTATCAGACCGGCAATGTTATATAGTAGTGAATGCTGGGCTCTAACGGGACAGCAAGAGCATAAAGTTGGAGTAGCAGAGATGAGAATGTTACGATGGATGTGCGGACATACACGTAAAGATAAAATTCGAAATGAGCACATACGTGAAAAAGTGAGGGTGGCACCTATTGAGGAAAAAATGGTAGAAAATCGGTTGAGATGGTTTGGGCATGTACAAAGAAGACCAAGGGAGGCACCAGTGAGAAGAGTGGAACATATAACTTTGAGTCCGATTAAGAGAGGTAGAGGAAGGCCTAAGAGAACACTCTTGGAAGTTGTTGAACGTGATCTCTTAATTAATAATATTTCTAAAAGCTTAATAAATGATAGAGCACAATGGCGTCTTGCAATCCATGTAGCCGACCCCACCTAGTGGGATAAAGGCTTGTTGTTGTTGTTGTTGTTTTATATTTTTGTTTTAGTGTTTTAAGTTTTTATAAAGGTTGAAAAAGATTGTTGAAATTATAGAGAGTAAAAATACTATAAGAATGACAAAAATTGAAAGTGAAAGTGTTAAACATTGCTGTGCTGAGAGAAGTTTCACCTTCTCTTTAGATTTTTGAAGAGAAGGTTTATCTTCTTCATTGAAGCTGACTTCTTCTCCCTTTCTTCATACTTTGTCTTTTTCTCAATGAATCCAAAGTTTGTATCAGGCCCAAACTTCACATTCTCAGCTTCAATGAATACTAGAGTCAACATGAATCCACCTAGAAATGGATCTGCTAAATAGAAATGTGATGAAGTTAGATGATGAAAAAGCAATGAAAGATCAAGACATGGACCCATCCAGAGACACTCAACTGTTGAGTGAACATGTCTCCTCTATTGAGCAACTGATAGAGGATTAAAGAATATCATCAAAAGATAATACCTCTGCCTCAACTAGTAAAGAAGACACCATTAAGAGAACCCAGGTTGCCAAGGCACCAATTTCCTATATGGATTCTCTAATTGGCTATAATGGATGCTACGGCATCAATGACTCCAAAGACACTCAGCATATCAATGATGATCTTGCTAAAGAGTTAAACATAGATTGGACTCCATCTGAATCAACTAACAAGCTAATGGATCGTTGCCCAATGGTCCCAATATCAAATAAAGAATGAAAAAATATATGCTTACTTTGGATGGATGCTTTAGTGATTAACACCCTTGGCATCCAAATTCATCCGAGATTACTTAAACCAAGGTTAGCAAGAAGGTGGAATCTTAAAGATTTTGAACTTATTAATTTAGTCAATAGTTATTATATTGTTAGAACCAAAAATTCTGAGGCTTATGAACATATCCTAAATGGAGGACCATAGACAATATTTGATCACTGCATTTTGGTTCAAAGATGATCATCGAATTTTAACCCAACTACTAACTCACTTGGTAAAATTGCTCTGTGGGTTAGACTTTCGAATGTCCCTATCCAATGCTACAATAAGGATATTTCGTGAAAGATGGGGGATTGTATTGGCAAGACATTAAAAGTTGATAATAATACTCTTTAAAAAGTAAATTCTTAAGATTCAACTAGAAAAACAAAGAGAGGCAAATTCGTCAGAATCAGTGTAGAAATCGATTTACAAAAAAAACTTGTCCCGAGATTGCTTATCAGAGATGAAATCTATAATGTGGAATATGAAAGCCTTAATCTCATTTGTTTTGGATGTGGTTGCTATGGTCATAGTAAAAACACTTGCCCCCACAATCCAAAAAATTCCTAGACAAATCAAAAAACCAAGGTAGAACTACAAGGGCAGTATAACATCTTGATTTTTATATAATAAAGAAATTGTGGAATTTAGGTTTTGAGGAAAAAAATGATAATAATAGGAATTTATATTATTTGAGGTTATTTAAAAATAATATTATGATTAAGTATTTAATTATGAATTTAAAAATTTAAATTTAAAATTATATAAGCAATATTTAGTTAAGATATAATACATAAATAATTTTTTTATGTGTGTGTTAAAAAAAAAGAGAAGGTAGAAGGAAAAAAAAGGGGGGGTGGAAGGTTGTTGTTTCTAAGTCCCACATTGGTTAGATGAGGGAAGAGAAGAGGTGCCTTCATGTATAAAAAGGAGGGGGTGTGTGCATTAGGAAGCATGAGAGGCTAAGATGCAATTTAGAGGAAATTGCAACTTTTGGCCTAAAGGTTTTTATAATTAAATTCAAACCTATAGTTTTTTTAATATAATTTTGGGACTCACAATCCCATTTTTATATTATTTTTCTCTCTTCCTCTCACGTTGCTCGGCGTTTTCTCGCAAGGGGGATTATTTTTTTTTCTTCAGGTATGTCCTAACTTTCCTGTTTAGATTAGCATTTAAAAATTTATTTAATTACAAAATTAATTTTATAGTTATTTTCTAAATAATATTAGCTTTCTAGTGATATGATTATTTTGTAGGATAGAGTAAATATTTTGATTAGGATTTTTCTATAGAATAGTTAATCTGATGATATGATGGATTAAAAATATAGGTTAAAACTCTTAGAGATATAATAAATATTATAGAATATTTTCTTGAGGTTGAAACTCATGTTTAAAAATTTTTGAGTTAAAATCTAGATCTATATGGTTGAATTTATGTGGAATCTGAGATGTAGGGATAAACCTATGATTATTAAATATTTATTTAAGTATGAATAGGTATTTTTGAGGTTATAGAAAGGTGATTTAAGGCTTCAGAATAATTTTAAAATTTAATTTATTTTTGGATAAATTTTTAGAATATAGAAGGATGAAATTGTGATACTAGAAGTAATTTGAGGATAAAAAAAAATAGTTTATTAGGGTACGAGAATTTTAGAAAAGAATTTGGGAAGTTAAATGAGGCATAAATCTTAAATTAGTGTTAATATGGATTATAGATCTAAGACTTTCTAACTATTTAAATTAGAGTTATTTATTTTAATGTAAAATTAATATATAGTATTGTGAAATAATTATGTAGATTATATTGACAAAGATAATGGTGAAAAAGGAGTTGTGAAGGGGAACTTGTTATTCAAGACACAAGGTAACCATTATTAATGTGTTGTGATGAGTGTGTTTGTGAATGGTTATGTGTTGTTTTATTGTTTGAAAAAATTATGAATTAATAAAAATAAATACTGTATATATATGCTTGTTTGAAATTATTGCCAAGTGGGTCAAAAATTTATTTTTGTTTATCATGATGAGATATTATTGTTCGGATATATTCCTGTTTGGATATTTGAATGATGCATGACTTGTCAGGGTATTTTAATATATGGTGTTAATGGGAATTTCTGTTCAGTTAATTATTACCACGTGGTAAGCCCTCATTGGACCCAATGAGTGGAGTGTCGCTTGGTCCAACTCACCTTTGGCCGGGTGATTTGGCATCCGAGCATGGCGAAAGGAGGATATAAGGTGCAGTCATGCAAATTAAATACTTGTTCGGTTTGTTTGAAAGTATTGTTCGGTTAAATGTTTTGTGTGCCTACTTAGCAATCGCATGATTAGTTACATCCGCATGCATCATTACATATTAATTTTTGGTTACTGGGACTTTTAAGTCTCATTCCCCGTGGTTAATATTTTTACAGGAGCGAGTCCGGCCGAGAAAGCACCAGAGGTGTAATTATGGTGTATGAGACACCATCTTTTACGTTGCCTCTTATTTTGGATTATACAATGTATCTTGTGCCAACTTAGGACATATCTTCTTTGTGGAGCATGTAAACTCTAATCCTTTTTATTAAATGCATTTATATGTTCAAGAGGATTATGTCTGTCCCTTTTAATTTATGACCTGATTTGAATAACATGCTATGAGGATCATGTCTGTCCTTCATGGTTCTAATTGCTTTTTGAGATATTTTAAGACCTGTGGTATATTGTTAGAAATTTTTCTATCATGATAAGGGTATGATAAGGGTTCAATAAAAAAAATGAGTTGTTGAATTAATAATTTACGAAAGATCGGTTTGTAAATTTGAGGGTGTTACAGGCAGTAACTCATCCACATGAACCAAAATAATTAGGTAGGCGTAACATTTAACGGACCATCACAAAACTTACTGGAGGACGATCGTAGTGAGTGAAATAAACCCAAGAAAACTTTCCAAGCACAGCAAACGAGACATCCAATGAGTAGAAATTTCGAGCCTCAAATGGGTAGAGTTTTTGATCAACGTCATGGTTGGCCTTTACACACAAACCGAGGTACAAACCCCAACTCAAAAACTCAATTTGATGTTTTATCTAACCTTGAGCAGGTTATTGACTTTGAAATGAAAAAGGATAGTGGTGACCTCAAGCAAAATAACACTTCTATAAACCATTGTAGTAGATCTGTCTGGAAGGTATGGAAAAAGAAAGACCTATTTGGGTCTAAACGTACGAGACAGAACAAAGCAGGGGAAGACTCAGTTCAAACACCATATGATACTGAGAAACAAAATAACTGAGAAGTTAGAAGTAAAGAACGGATGGGTAACGCAATAAAGAAGAAGCAAACTGGACCCAAATTTACTTGGGAAGGCCCAAAACCCTTAATGAAGACTTGATGGAAAACAAAAATGAGTCCAGCAACATACCAAACAAGCCCAATAAATGAATCCACTTAGTTGTTAGAGGAAACAAACGGCACGTGGGCTCATCTTCCCAGCCCATTAATGCCTATAAAAATACCAAGCCCATGAGTGAAATCCAAAACACAGAAAACTACTTCTCATCGAATCTGAGCGTATGGGACAATTCCAAAGTTGATGACAGACCCTCAACTCTTAATTACACACATTTAAAACCCCCAGACCTAGAATCCTCTCCAAGTATCGTCCCTGAGACACAATTCCATGAGGATGCTAAAGTGGAAATCCAAAATAAGAATTTAAGAAATTTAAATAATACCCTTATTGCTGAAGATGTTTGCTTAGACAATGAAGATATGGCGATTATCTTCTTGATGAAGAATTCAAAACTACACCTATTATTGAAAATCTTGAAGATGATGATTTCAGTGACAACCAGATTGAGGAAATGTATTCAAATATTAACGGTTAATATCCTGCAGATTTTTACTCCTTTGTTATTATTAATTATTTTTTATTATTAATATTATTTGTTGAAATTGTAGAGGTTCTTGTGCTAAAAGCTTTCCTTCCAGAGTAAAAGAGATTACTAAATGTCATAATGCTCAAATTTTTATTCTGGTTGAGACTAGAGCTAGTAGTACCAAAGCTGATAAAATTATTAGGAAATTGGGATTTTCTGACTGGATCCGTGTTGAAGCAACTAGTTATGCAGGAGGCATCTGGCTACTTTAGAATAATGATTTTATTAATATTGAATATATTTATTCCAATGTTCAGCTTCTTCATTGCAAAGTCAAGATTCCTCAAAAGGATACTTATTATCTTCTATCATGCATTTATGAGGATCCTAACCCATGCAACTGTGATTATCTTTGGTAATCTATTATTAATCGTTTCAATAACATATCTGAGCCTTGGCTTTTTGTTGGTGACTTTAATGCCTACCTGCCTTGTGAAGATAAATGTGGTGGCAATAGTTTTAATTGGAAATTGATGAAATTCTTTAGACAATGCATCAACCTTTCTAAGCTTCTTGATCTCAATTTCATCAGAGAAAGATTTACTTGCAAAAAAGGAAATCTAAAGGAGATACTCGATTGGGTTTTTTGTAATACTGAATGGAGACTTTCATTAACCAATGCCAATAGCTATCATTTGCTTAAATATGGCTTAGATCACCAGCCGATTAGTATTAAACTTGATGATAAAAGTATTACTACTCAGAGAGCTATAGCTTTCAAATACCATGCCGCGTAGTCTTTAAAAGATTCCTTCAAACCTCTCATCACTGAATCTTGGCATGACAATAATTGCAAGAATAGGACCTCCAAATTCATAAAACTTGCTTCAGAATGGAACATGAATAATATTAGTGGTATCACTGTGAAAAAGAGGCAAATTCTAAAGAGACTTGAAGGAATTGATCGTAATAGAAACTCCAAAGATAGCTACTTCCTCAAAAAACTTGAAAAATCTCTTTGGCAAGATTACAACAAGGTTCTTCTGCAAGAGGAATTGATTTGGTATCAAAAATCCAGATATAAATGGTTGCATTTGGGTGATCGCAACACTAAATTTTTTCATGCTTCTACTATCATTTGAAGGAAAAGAAATCAGATCTTATCTCTTAAAGACGAGGATGGCAACTGGATACATGAGTAAAATTCTCTCAAGAACTTAGCTGTCTTTTCCTTTGAAAACATTTTCAAAGTAGATATTGAAAGAAAACCCAAGCTTATCATTGAAAGATCCATTCCTTCCCTGTCTGACGCCCAACTTCTTTTCTTTTATCGTGAAGTTTCTGATAAGGAAATCAAAACTGCTGCTTTTGATATTGGAGCTTTTAAAGCGCCTGCTCCTGATGGCCTTAATGCTAATTTTATCCACTCCTATTGGGATGATCTAAAAGAGAGCATCTTTACTTTGATTAAAAAGGCTTTCAGGGATCCAACAACTGTTGCTGAGATTAACGATACCTTTATTACTCTTGTCCCTAAATTGAACCACCCTACTTGTATGAAGGATTTTTGCACGATTTCTTTATGCAATGTTAGCTACAAAATTATCTCTAAGATCATAGCTAACCACCTTAAAGAATGTATGAATCACCTAATTGGGGACAACCAATGTAGCTTCATTCAAGGGAGAAAAAACAGTGACAATATTATTATAGCTCAAGAAGTTATCCACTCCATGAGATCTAAAGCAGGAAAAAGAGGATTCATGGCTCTCAAATTGGATCTTGAAAAAGCTTTTGATAGACTTTCTTAGGATTTCATTGATGATACTCTCCACGCCATCGGAATAAATATCCATTTTAGGAGAATCATCATGACAGTCGTCTCTTCTGCTCGCTTGAGAGTCCTTTGGAGTGGCGAACCTTCTCATGAGTTCAGATCTACCTACGGCATTAGACAGGGAGATCTCCTCTCCCCTTATCTTTTTATCCTTTATATTGAGTGATTAAGTCATTGCATCTGTAGTAGTATAGATAATAATGATTGGAAACCTATTAATTTAACTACTAATGGTCCACTTATCTCTCATCTCTTTTTTACTGATAACTTATTGCTCTTCGTAGATGCATTAATTCTACAAGCTGGTATCATACAAAAATGTCTTCAAGAATTTTGTAATGCCTCTAGTTAAAAAATTAGCAAAGAAAAATTGAAGCTCTTTTGCTTAAAAAATATCAACATCAATAAAGCCTTGTAACTCAGCAATGAATTGGGCATCCCGCTCACAGAAAATCTTGGCAAATACCTTGGGATTCCTATTTTACATAAAAGAGCTTCCAAAGTAACTTTTGCCCCTCTTCTTGATAAGATAAAGTCTTGTCTATCTTTGTGGAAAAGCTGCTATCTCAACATTGTTGGAAAATCTGTTCTTATACAGTCTGTGCTTTCTTCTCTTCCTAGCTATATTATGCAGACTATACTCTTTTCTGACAACGTCATTTTTGAATTAGATAAAAGCTTTCGAAACTTTCTTTGAGACTCCTCTGATGGAACAAAAAAGCCCCACCTTATCTCTTAGGACAATGTCACTAAGGATAAGAAAAATGGTGGCCTGGGCTTTAAGAAAATCAAAAGTTAGAACATTGCCTACATTATGAAACTTTGTTGGGGGATTATTACAAAGCCAAACTATCTTTGGGTTTAGATCATTCGAGACAAATACAAATGCAATAAACCCACCATCCCAATGATCTACAATACGAATTTCTCCTCTTATACTTGGAAAAGTATCTGTAAAGTGTGGGATACCTTTATTTCTCAAGTTGGTTGGAAAGTTGGTAAAGGAGAGAAAATATCTTTCTAGCATGACAAATGGTCTCCTTGGCCATAACCTCTTGTTATTTATGCCTCCCCTAAAGCTAAGGTCATCCTTCAAACTAAAGTTTCTGATTTTTGTTCTATTACTGGGGGCTGGAATATCGAAAAAATGAAGCACTACCTTCACCCAAATGTGATAAATTCCATTCTTCTGGTGCAACCTCTTAACCCACATGGAGAAAATGATACACTTGTTTGGAGACCTTCCTCTGATAGCAACTTCTCAATCAGTTCTGCTTATAAAACTATTGAGAACTGTGAGACCAATATAACTTCCAACATTTAGTCCACTATCTGGAAATGGCCTACTTATGAAAAAATCAAGTTCTTCCTTTGGAAAGCTACTTGGGACCGTCTCCACACTACTTTTGTCAATTCCAAAAATGCGACACCTATCATTAGAAAGTGTCCCTTCGGCTGCAACTCCCTTGATTCTTCTATCTACATCTTACATGATTGCAGCAAATCAAGGTAAGTTTGATGAAACTAGTTAAACCTTATAAAATTAACACTTTATTTCTCTTTCTTTGCAGGAATGGATACTTTAAAATGCTAAGAATAATGCTGGAGGGCAGAATACCAGAAGAATCCCTTGGAACAAACTCTTCGCTCAGATATCCTGGAACATTTGGAAAGATCGCTGCTCTCACTTATATTTTGAAGAATACTTTCCCAACAATGACATTATCTTTTTCAACACACAAAACATCATTAATGATTACTGGCTTCAAGATCAACTTGGAAATGCTCATTTCATTAATGACAAATCTTTTTCCAAATAGATCAAACCTAACCCCGGTTGTGTTAGACTAGATGTTGATGGTTCTGCTTTTCTCAATGGAGCTGCTACTTATGGTGGCCTTATCCGAGACCATAATGGCAACTGGATAAAAGGTTTCACTAAATACCTTGGTTACCTTCCTATTACTGTTGCTGAGCTCTGAGCTATTTATGAAGGACTTTCCCTCTATTGAAGATGCAAATTCCCCTGCATCAATGTTTACTTTGACTCCTTGAAGCTCTATCTCTTATCCATTAATACCAAAGCCCTGTTCATCCCTTATAAGATACCATAATGAAAATAAAAAATTTCATCATAAAGAACTGGGTTGTCAACCTCAACCATGTATTTAGAGAGGGCAACAGATGTGCGGACTGGCTTGTCCACCAAGCGTCAAACAACAACAATGACATCCTCATTTTTGAAGACCCTCCGCTAGATTGCAGCACTCTTTTACATTTTGATCTGAACTAGTTTTACACAATTTTTTCCGTGGCCTTGTATTCAAAAAAAATTATAAGAATTATAAAAATTGAAAGTAAAAGTTGAGGTATTAGAAGGGATCCTGTTCCCTTCCTCTTTTTTTAATTGTGATATCTAAATTGCATTGTATGAAAACTCGAATCATATTGGTCGTATTGGTCGGTTCAGCCAGTGAATTGGGAACCTAGTCTCTTTTTTGATTTAAGTTTTCACTTAAACCGGTCAGCCATTAATCTAGTGTGACTTGGGGTCAACTTAAGAGAACCTGTCTAACCCAGTTGGGTTGTTGGGTCAGCTAGATTATTTTTTTATGTTTTTAAATTGTAAAAACTAAATAAAAAGTAAAAAATTCAACTTGAAAATTGTTAAAAAAGGCAATTAAATCATATTTCATTATTTGTGGTTCAAACTTTGAATAAAAGGCCTTAATTGTAAGTTCGAGCTTAGAAGATTCAATATTCTTTTAAATTAATTGTGCCTTAATTATTTTAATTTTTCATTATTTGTCGTTATTCATTTGTCTGATTGTCGCTTAGCATCTATGAATTATAATTGTCATTGTTGATGATTTTAGTGTTAGTAATTATTAGTTTTAGAATTTTTAATGATTGAAAGGTTGTACATCATAATTGTAAGAACGAATATTGAAAAAGCTATATTTTATTATTGTTAGACTTTTGGGTGGTTATAATTTTATAATTATTGTTGTATTTGTATCTTGCATTAGAGATTAATCTTAAATTTGATTGAATATTTGCATAATTAATGTCTTTTTATTTAAATTATATTATTTTAATTATGATCGGTTTGCCCTCCGGATTGGCCCCCAATTCAATCTTGGTTGAACTACTAACCTATTGGCTCGACTAGTTTAGTTTCCAGTAACTTGCTAAATTGAGTTTCTATTATAGTGATTTATATTTATTTTATTTTCTATTTCATAAAGTAATTTGTTTTGGCTAGTGGGTTAAGACCTATTTGAATTTCAATTGAAAATAATTGCTTATGAAAAATTAATTAATATAATTAATTTTAATTATAATTGATTATATTATAATGTGATCATGAATATTGTGTTTTTAAAAATTAATTTTAATAAAATTGATTTTATTTGGATAATTTCATAAGAATTAATTTTAAATATATAAATTATCATAAAAGACAATATTTTTTTAAGATATAAATATTAATATAATTGTATATAATATTATTAAATTTTGTTAAATTTTATTTAATAAATAAAATATGTATAATAATGATTCAGTTAATATTTATATAATATTTAACATAATATATAATTATGAAAATTATATTTGAAAATCACATTAAAATTTACGCACTCCCAACCCTGTCAACAACAGATGGGAAGACGCGAGCCCTTCACTCTAATTGCAGTTTCTTCACTCTTAATTAAATAAGGGCTCTCAAACAGAGATGGGGAGACTTGATGTGACTGTGAGGGAACTTTTCATATTTTTTGAGTGCTGTTCATGAGCCAAGCAATGCCACTATGGGCATATTTGAAAATTTAATCATTCTGACAAAATAATAATGACACCAAAAGTTATAATTGAAAATCAAAGGCTGATCCTATCAGCTTATAAAAAAACGGAGTTTCTGTGGCAAAATCGATTTTTTTATTTTTAAAGAAAAAGAACCGTTCGGGACTTTGGGTTTCTTTTCTTAACACCACGGTTCGGATTGACATAATTGATTATTTGTGATTATCCAAACAGAAGTTCAGTTAAATTTAAAATATTTATTAGTAATTGTGCATTTTTTATTTTTAGAAATACATATATAACACACACACGTGTAAATGACAAGGGGGGGACCCTCAACCTTTGATAGGATGATCATAATAGTACCATTAATGCACCTAGGCCATTGGCTATTACTTATTGCACATAAAAATTACCATTTCAAGAAATAATTATTCTACTCGGCGCTTTTAAACGAATAACCTAGCGCTTTAATTACCTACACATGTCTTTTTGGAAAGATGTCTTAAGCAGACCACGTCTGCGAAGACCTTCTAATTTCTCAATTGCTCTCCAATATATTGTTGGACAATACTAATGACCCATGAACTAAATTTTAATACATAATTTTTAGTGGCCTAAAAATTTATAACCCATTTTAATATTTATCATGATGGTATGTTGAATGTCTGTTTAGTCCTCTTCATATTCCACTTTAAGCAATACTTAGTTGGATCAAAAAATCGGGGGACCAACTGTTGGTCCCATTTAAATAAAGGAGTTGACTTTTCTAGCAAAGGAGGAATTATGGAAGATCCGAACTATTAAATAGAATTTAATGATTTAAATTTGGTAATTTTAAAAAATATAAATTTAATTTAAATGGTTTAAATCTATAGTGAAGGAACAAGAGACAGAAAAAGCAGTGGATAGAAACTTTTCTCCCAACTAAATTGCTACATATATTAGGATTGGAATTTGTACTCTCAACTATTTGTTTAAGTTGCGAAAATCTTTAAGAATTATTACTCAATTCAATTTTAATTAGTATAATAATTTATGCTTTCATCTTGTCTTACTCGATATTTTTTTTTAGTTTTTTTGTATTTTATTTGAAATCAAATTTTACATATTTTTGTTCTTAATTTGTATCTTTTTTATTAAAATTATTTAATATATAATTAAAAATATATTAATTTAATTACAGTTAGTCTGAAGTTGGTTTGACCATATTTCATTAATTGAACCACATACCAATGCCTTGATCCATTTGATGGTCGGTTTGGTTCCGATTTAATATCGTGAAAGATAAGTTTAGATTTCGTGCTCCCTTCCCTCAACAATTTCCAGTTTCATCATTTATAAAAGCTCAGATTCGATGTCTATTTTTCAGATTTTAGATATAGTTTCATTCTTGATGTGCTTAGGGAAGAAACGATTTTTCACTATAGATATATCTAATATGATTATTCATTTATTTGGCTGGTGCAATGAATAGTGAACACTCTGAGGAATTTTACTAGAATGAAATATTGGGAGAAATTTTTGCAAGTGTCAAGGATACTTTTGCCCTTTCAATTTTTTATGTATTTAAAAAATATTTTTCATTCATCTCTTGTTAAAAGTGCACCAAACATATTTGTGGTAATTAAGATCGCCTTGCACCTCACTCCAAAAGAGTGCGGAATTGAACCCCATAGGCCTTCGTATTCTTAACATCAATTGCTATGATGGTTATAATAATAATTCCTCTATGGGAATGGAATGTAACGTGAAAAGGTTATGATTTGTTAAAAAGGAGTTGCATTCCATAAAGCAAGAGGGAGAGCCGGTAATATTTGAAGTTTAACAACCTTGATGAAATTTGCTGCTACTATAATGATTAAGTGGGATATGTCACAACAGCCCTACATCATGTTTTCATTATCCAAGTCGATTTTTCAGGTTTACATTATGCCTTGTTTTCACCAACAACAAGAACAAACAATTGTCAGGCATCGTCCTCAGTTCCTGTTAACGGATACTTGGAGGACCCTGAGATTGAGTCCCTGTTTATCTTAGGTAGACGGTGATCCAGAGCAAATGATACAAATAAATTAGGCTCACCAGTCATGATTTGCTAAACTATTATGGCTTTAATGGAAGCTATTTCATGAGGTCTAAGAAGACAAAGCTATTCCAAAGACTGTGCAAGAGCATGGACGGTAATAAATTCCTTGATCGGGTAAATATTACACCCATCACCATCCCAAGAAAAATAAGTGGTAGCATCCTCTGTAAATTGAAATGCGCAAGAGCAAAGGCAACTGAACTCACCAGTATTGCACACCACACAGGCATGTATTTGGTAAGCGATGGAAGTAGAAAACCACGGAAAAGTATCTCTTCCCATACAGGAGCACAGATTGATACCACTATTGCAAATAATCCCATTGCCACGGGATCCCTTGCCATTATTGATTGTTCAACACTTGAAAGTGTGACAGGCGATGAAGGCAAAAGGGGTAGCAGGTCCAGGTTGAACTGTGAGAGTCGATTGACCAGGGGAAACATGAGACATCCCATGATGACATCCAGCTGCCATTTCCCTTTCAGGCTAAATCTGAACCAATCAGGGGGAAGGGGACGATACCGAGATAGGCAAAGCTGAAGAATTGCAATGCCAGCTAGTCCTTCAGTCATATCAGTGACTAGGCTAAATAGTGCCTGTCCTCTAAATGTCAACGATTCCTTGTTAAAACCAGCTATATGAGCCGCACAAGGAATCAACCAAGATCCTATAAACCAAAATACTGTTGTCCATAGAAGCATAACCTGCATGATACATTCTCTCACAATTTAGCCTCTCATGTTAAGATTTTGCTTTTCTACATTTTTAATCTACCTCACGGGGCCACATCACCCTGAGGGACTCATTCAATAGTCCAAAGCCATGTTGGAAACCATGTCGTGGTTTTATCACAAGAAAATTACCCATCTATTTCTATCCATATATTCTGTCAATTTTAGAATAGAGGGTGATGAAATAAATATAATCCATCTTAAAATACACAAGATGTGGATGTCATTTATTGCTCTCCATAAATCATAAGTTTGGATGTCTGTATATCTGTTTTGTCTGGTGAGAATGATATTTTTCCAAGCCATAGTATCATGACCAGGGCATCAGCCAAGACCAAATCCAGCAGAGAAGATTAAAGGAAGGTTGGCGAATCAAATTGTTATCAGCCTAACAAGTGAAGTCAAGGAGAAGGTTACTTGTCCATTTTCAAATTTTAATCGATTAATGGACTATTCTTAGATTTTTTAGCAGCTAAGCTAAGGTGTGCTTGATCAGAGTGGAAAAGGGAGAACTTAAGGGAAAGAGTGAAAGTCAAGGATGCACCATTAATTTCCACATTACATTGTTATTTCTAGATCCCATTCACTTCCACTCATATCAAGAGCATCATAAATTTAAACTCTACAGAATTTTATAACCAACATTAAGCAATGCTATTAAATAACATCAAGCTTGAAGTAGGACAAAACTTACAAGTAATATGGTCCCTGCAGCCCAAGGTACAACCCATTGTTTGCCAAATATCGTCAATACAGTATTAGCAGACTGAAACAGAATCAAACCTTTCAGTCAGCAAAAGATTAGACAGTATTTACATATTAGCTCTTACTCATGAACAAGATGTTGATGTTACAGTAATATCTTGCCCAGGGTAATCATGTGTCCTTATGTCTATAAAAACTCAAATAGGAAATGAAAATCTAATTTTCCTTATGCTGTAACAGAAAAACAAAAATCGAAATCTAATTTTCCTTTTGCTGTAACAGAAAAACACCAGCATCCAAATAGGAAATGCATTTGCTCTTGTTATCGTCAATTGGACAGACATATTAAAAAAAAACAAAAAAAAAAACATGAATACATTTATGGATTATATGTTTCAACATAGAAATTTTATATCGAACTATTTCAGATTGACTGCATGCTAGTATCCTACTGAACTGCAAAAATACCAATCAGACACATTTAAAAGGAATGAGTCTACAAATTGTGTATGCAAATGTATATGAAGCATGTCTGATTGGTAGCGAGTAGAATTGAGTTGGGCCAACTGAAGAGAGAAATTTCATCTTAGAAACACCGCGCAATTACATGATTCAATGTTCTACTATCAATAATTAGAACTCATATCATGATATGAATATCAATATTAAAAGTAGAACCCACTGACACAGTAAAGCGTGTGATATAGAAAGCAAATAACACCGTTACCTTCTGAAGGCCCGAATTCCAGTCTCTTTTAGTGACACTTGACTGAGAAAATTCAGGTTGCACCAACTCCTCGGGAAGATAATGACTTATAACTTCAGCCTTTGGGGTTTCTGAAGAACGATGTTCGTGCCTAAAGCACAAGATACTCAAATTCTGCAAGTGAAAGGCATCATGAAAACTACATCAGGTACGCAAAATTTAAAAAAAAAAAGAAAAAAAAAAGCTTGACCACCATTTTCACCGGAAACTTTGTACATTAGGTAATAAAAATTATATCTGGAATTTTTATTTGCATATCAAGCTTTTAAGGCTCACTCCAATGCTTAACTGCTCGAGCAAGGTTTTTTTCTTTTAAGAAAAAGGAACGAAGTTCAGGCTCCTGCTTACTGCATTCAATGGGTTAAAAAAAATGTGATACTCGATAGAACAACGTATAATTCAGGCCTCGGGTTAAATTCGAAAATGGATAGAACTTCAGGCCAAAAAAAGAAAAATGCTCAGAACTTTTTCGACCTTCCCTTTTTCCGGGTAGTAGAGAAGGCATTAATAATGACATTTCCGATGTCACATAAACAAGAGGAGAAATAACAAGCGAATAAAAAAGATGAAACTAACATGGAAAGATGCTTGAACTAGTTCCACAAACTGCTTACGTTCTTTGGTGACTTAGATTCCAAGATCCGAAACGGCCGAGAAATAGGACAAAGGGTTGGGGATCCGCTGAAGCCCTTAAATGGAGAGGTTGAGGGTGGAAGAAAGAAGCGACGGAAGACAGCGGAAGAGGAAGAGGCACTCAACATGGAGTCAAATTAGAACCGAACGCTGAAAATCACCAAAGCTTTATATCAAACCAAGTCTGTTTTTGGAGACCGATAAGAAGTGATTTGGCAGCCGGAGTCAAGCTGTTCTTCCCGAGGAATTCAATAGCCAACAGCAAATGGTGGGAGTTTTTAAGGGTGTTTGTGAATTTTAATTCTGGCCGAGGAAATTTGCCGGGGGTTGCGAAGAATCTTGGACTCTTGCTCTAGTAATTGAATTTTGAAAAAATACATTCAAGACCTCCAAAGATAAAGACTTTGAAATATCACTTTAAAATAAGAAAAGTAATTTGAAAATGATTAAAATTATAATACCTCTACATTTCTTTTTTAATTGATAAGTAGCTATTAGTGAAGTAATAAAGACTTATCCACATTTAATAAAAAATTATTCATTAATTGATAAATTCATAAATATAAAAGAACTTAGTTTTAAGAAGGGATAATTATAAATTATATATTATTCATTAATTAATAAATATTCATTCATATTTAATAAAAATTTATTTATTAATTGACAAATTCAAGAATATAAAAGAATTTTATTGTGAGAATGAATAAATATAGATCATATTTTAATAAATAGTTATTTGTTAATTAATAAGTATTCATTCGTATTTAATAAGAAGAGATTTGTTAATTAAAAAGTTTGAGAATTTGAATGAAGTTGATTGTGGGGAGGGACAAGTGTATATTATGTTTCAATAAGTATCAATTTGTTAATTAATAAGCATTCATTTATATTTAATAAGAAACTATTCGTTAGCTGAAAAGTAAAAAAAAAAGAGTATTATAATTTTTTTATTTAAAATTATTTTTAAATCAATCCCCTCATTATGCAATGATATTTCAAAATATTTTACTTCTTATTTGATATTACATTATTGCTATGATCCTTGAATGATATTTTCTATTATAATTTTAACTAATACTAATAATAACAATTATAACAACAACAACAATCGTATAAAAAAAAAGAAGAAGAAAAAGAAGGCATATAATAATTAAAATTTAAATTTCTTTTGAAATCATTTTAAGAGTTTTTTTTATCCTAAAATATCGTTTCATAATTCTTGTCATGATATGACCTAAAGCTATAAGCATGAGTTGCAAGTATCTCTTTTAAGAATTTGACATCTAAATTTCATAATAAAGATAAAAGAGAAAATTAGCTCTTAAATTATTTTATACCTTAAATTTATTTTTTATATAATATTTTTTTAACTTTTAAAAAGCAGTACAATTTAACTCATACCATTAACAAAAGTTAATATTGACCATTAGTTAACAAGAAATGACCAATAAAATTTTCTTGATCATTTCCTATAATTTTTTAAGATCTTGTATGTAATTTTTAGGTTCTTTACATTAATTTTTTGGTAATTTTTAGGTCTTTTTTTATCATTTTTAACTAAACATACTTACGTTTAAAAATAACCACCTAATGCTACATCATTAGTGCCTTATCATCATCCATGTGTGGGTTAGCTTATGACCTGTCACATATTATCTCATGCCTCGTCACTCACCACGTGTGCGACGACTCATGCCATGTCATCATCTATCATCTACCTCGCACTGCATCACTCACTTACTATCATGTCACATATTCATTACATTTATGTAAAGATCAAGACTTAAACCTTTGACTTCTATCTTCCTCAAGCATTATTTCTCTTTCTTTGTCAGTTCAACTAAAATGTACCTACATCCATTATATAAAAAATTAAATATATGTTATTTAACTACGCAAATATATTAAATAATATATTATAAAAATACATATGTATATTATATTATATTTTCAATTATTAATATATTAAAAGTATTTATATTTGTACTTATATGACTCTTTATATTCTATTTTTTTGGTAAAAATATTATTTTTTGTAAGGAAAATGAACTCAAAATACAAAAAATATTAAATATTAAATAATTTTATTATGAATATTTTAGTTAATTTTTAAATTTTATTTTTATTTTTAAATTAAAATAATTAAATATATAATTAATTAACAATTATTTCTAAAAGTTTTTTTTTTTTGTAATAATTAGTTAGGAACATAATCCCTAACTAATTATCTAATTTTAGATAGAGATAACATTCCCTTACTATTTTTCTCGCTAATTATCTTACTTTAGATAGGGATTAATAGTCCCTCACTATTTTTTTCATTAATTATTTTATTTTAGAAAGGGGTTGACATTCTCTAGCTATTTTTCTTGCGAATTTCAAGCCTAACTATGAAGTCAACATCTATCACTAATTTAGCATTTTAGAGAGAGATAGACAATCCCTCAATAAATTCCCTTGCTAATTCACATTTTTCTAACGTTGATGTTTCTAAAACTAGAGTGTACTTTTAGATAATGTGCATAGCTCAAGGCGAGACGAAATTAATAGCTTACTTAGGTTTACCTAAACAATTGATTTAGGAAAGTATCTCAATGTTAAATTCCATTCCAAGCCTATAGGGAAGGGTACTTTTGAGGATGTTGTTTATAAGGTGAAAAGGAGACTGACGAATTCAAAAGTGAAGTCTCTTTCCCTGAAAATATAATCTACCTTAGTGGCAGCAATAAGTAAGGACATCCTTAAATTATCAAAATTTAATTAATTAATCAAGAGTAATTAAGTAATAATTAGGCTAACAGTGATTAGTGATGGCTAATGGACTTTTATATTTGTGGGTATAGCCTTTAGATTGAGTCTGGGAGGCGGATTGGGACATATGGTCCCAAAACATAAGGTAGAATTGGGATGCCTAATTTTATGCCATTTGCCGTGGCAAATGGGGGCTCTTGCTGCAATGAACGACTAAATATTTTAAAATTGTAGCTCATGTTCAAGTTGTAGAAAAAAAAGGAGAAAGGAAGGAGAATGAAGAGTAAGCAGTAAAAGGAGTATTGTGGTTTGCTAGGACAAGCTTTCAAGACCATTCTAAAGGGGTTCAAGCTTCAAGCCTATAAGGTATTCATTTTTCCTTTCTCCCCCACTTCATTTATGCATTTCAGCCCTATTTTTTCTTTAAGGGTGGTGATTTTGGACCTTACAGCAATGGGTCCTGATCCATTAGTCTTAATGGGGCTCATGAGAGTTATTTAACCCTTCTAAACCTATTTTCTTGGATTTTATAAAGTTTTGAGGTTGGGGTTAGGGTTTTGGATGAACCCTAGTTACTATAAGGATAAATTTAAGTTTTTGGGTGTTTCAATTATTCATATTTAAATTAATAGAAACTAAATGGAGTTAATAAAAATTACTAAACTCATTGGTTTAGTGTTTAGACTTGTATTTGGGGAATTTAGGTCGTTAAAGAGTTGATTTTGGGATAAGAAGTGGTACTTTAGTTGAAATTTAATGATATTAGTAGCTTTATGATAAAATTGTGAATATCTTATGATGAATTAGTGGGTTGCTATTGCATGCTTACTATAGTTGTTTTCACCATTGCACATATGCTTGTGAATTTAGTATTATATGATTTGCATGATGGTATATTGTGCATGATGGCATGAACATGGTTCAGGTGGGAAGATGCCTTAAGAGAAGTATGTTATATTTTCCATGTGGAACTATATGACTAACACTATGGGTAACCCTGATGTTTGGTTTTCTTTCATAGGTCGGGTCTTTCTGAATCTCACCCTGGATTAGGTGCAAGTGTAGGTGCCTAGATCCATTGCCCTTTTATATCACCTTGGACTAGGTATGGTATTGAGCATTCCGACCCCATAATGGATTCAAGAAATTAGGGGAACTTATGGTTTGAAATTGAGCTAGGAATCTTTGGTCGGATGCCTCCTCATGATTGATGAGTTTGAGTTAGTCCATTCACACAAACCCAATCTTATTATATTATCAGCCTACGGTATTCAGTCAGCAGTATGTGAAGGAGATAAGGAGCTAATGATCATGTATTAGATTGAACCATGGGATGTGATACGTGAATGTTGTGATAATATGTTTTATGCTGTGATGTGTTTTATATAAATGCTCTCATGTGTACCTTTATTGATTTGACTTGCATGTGCATAATTTAAAGCTCTCCTTGGTTGTTGAGTAGTTATACTCGTATATGTTTACCATTTTTATAGGAACTAGTTTCGGTAAAGAAAGGGGAAAGCCTTTTGAGGCTTTGGAATTTTGATTCCTACTTCATATAGCCTCTATCTTTTGATTTTTTTTTCTTTATGTGTAATCAATATGGTAATGCATTGCCAATTAGGACAATCATTTTTTTGTTTACTTGTACCATTACATGTTATTTGTGGTGATTCTTTTGTATTTAGAGCCATAATCTATTGTTATATGCTGAAGATGCTATTCAAGGCCTAAATACTAGTTTGCAAGTAGGTTTAGAATCTATTAATGTTACTTTTAAAGGCTGTAAACTATGAAGTTATATTATTTTGGCCTCCCTTATGGTTTTAGCTGAAAATCGGGGTTAAGAAGTGATAATGCCATGCTTGTGGTATATCTATGTGTTGGTACATTGTACAAGTAATCTTAAGTCTTAGGGACTTGATCTAAGTGAGTGTTTAGGCTTTTAACACTTGGTGTGGGTTTTGGATACCTTGGAATTGTTTAACTGTGAAAGAAAAGTAGTTTTAATTTTAGGTCTTTAATTTTCTACTAAGATGAAATTTTGATATGAAATCAGTGCCATTAGCTAGCTTACTATCTAAGCTTTTTGAAAACACCTAGATCATTCCAATCGGATGTTGAACAAAGGCTTGGAGTATGTCCAAAGCTTGTCTTTGTGCTATGTTATAACAGTACAAGGGTTATCAATGTTGTGTAGTGTATTGTGGTGCACAGCATGGTTGGGGCTTGTCGTGACAAATTCTAAGGTTGGTTGCAGCAAGGAGTATTGGCCATGATAGATGACATTATACAGAAAAGTGATTTGTTAAGAAAAATGTTACTTTCAAGGATTATCATTTATTAAATGATAATGGGTTAAGATCTAATTTTACCTTTATACTTATTCTTAAAGAACACTGAGCACTTTAAACTCTTAAGTAGGGCAAATTTTCCCTTTAACTACTTTTTAGAGGAGAAAAATTACCTTTCTGTTAATCTATCATTTATTCTCCTCTTTTGTGCTTATGTGTCATAGTGCAGGGCCCATTGTCTTCTTACTTAGTGCCCAACATGTGACCTTTGACCCATGGTTAACCTTCTAACGTGGCATCTTCTTCTTCGTTCTTCTTCTACCTTTAGTTCTAACCTTCCTCACCCAATTTTATCTCCTCCTCTAGCAAATTTATTTTCTAAGGGTCCACATTAGCAACACCATCACCATCACCACTTCCTCCTCTACTACTATGATTACTACAACTATCATTGTGCTTGGTGCTTGAACCATAATACCCCTCAAATTAACAATGGTATTGAGATAAAGAAACTCGACTAGTTGAAGAGGTATGCCTCACCTTTCAATCTCTATTACCAAATTTCTTATTGGGTGGGAACAACCAGAGACTACTACGGATCTGATAGTCTTCTCATTACATAGTACCTCTTCACCTTCGCTAACAATAGATAAAAGCAATGGAAAATTTTGAATTCCCTTCCTATTGACAAGCATAGATTTGGGGCTCAATTATTGACCAGAGCCCTCATTTCAAATGCCTTTGTGCCATAATTTGGTGATGCATTGCAAAGGCAAGGCGATGACCCAGATCTAGATCTAAACCCAATAAAGTGACAATATGTAGAAAAGATCCATATCAGAGGAAGCATGATATACTAGGTGATAAACAGGTCATAAGCAAGGTAGAAGCTAAATCTTCAATAGTTAGTTTGATTTGAAAAGATTGGCAATGATGATGGCTGATGAAGTAATGGATGCAAGGAAAGAGATTGAAGAAGTAATGGATAAGGAAGAAGGGATGAGTGATTTCTTTATGTATAGGGTAAATCTGACAATTGTGAATTCGCGAGAGGTGGACGTATATTGACATAAGCCAAAAGGGTTAGCTATGGCACAAAGATTTTGGGAAGAAAATAGTGAGAGGAAGGAGAATGTATAGTGAAGAAGAAGAATATGAATGAGATTTGGTCAAAGATGGGGTTTGACTTCACAAGTTGGAGGCCAGGCCAAACAATGATGGCTCCATGCCATGACATATCATCAAAAACAAAAAACAAAAAACTTAACGGTTAACTCATAGAAGGATATTTTTTTCCCTAAAAAAATAGTTGAGGGAAAAAATTACCCTAATTAAGAGTTCAGGGTACCTGACGCTCCTCGAAAATAAATACAGAAATAAAATTGAACCTTAACTCAATAATAATTTATGCTTCCTCATACACTTTGATATATGTGTGGCTATATTTCAAGTATTTAATTGGTTCTTCTTTTTAAAGTTTTGTGTTAAAATTTTTAAATGATAAGTACAAGTCTTTTAACTATAGCAGACCTTTTAAGCCGAATCTCTTCTTTTCTACTATAACTAGTTTTCTTTTACTATAGTTAAATCCTTTCTACCATGATAAGGTGTCCAGGTTGGTTAGATCTGGTAGTACATAGAAATATGGTTAATTCTATGGAGTAATTTAGCTGATATTACACGGATACACTATGCAAACTACAAAGTAACCTGTTTCCACTCGTGAGACGCTTGGCCGGAAAAACAAAGAGTTCATATGGGGGATGGAGGATGAGAAACAGCGAGTTCACTTGGTGTCATAGGATAATGTTTGTAAGAGCAAGTAGAATGGCAGGCTTGGTATATGGCAAGCCAAGTTTCAAAATCAGGCATATCTCATGAAGCTAGGTTGGAACCTTATGAAGAAAAGATATGCATTGCGGGTTAAGGTGGTACAAGTGTGGAAATGACCTCATTCTAAAGATCAACAAAAAATGGCCTGGCTCCAACACCTGGGCAAGTATTAAATTATCATGGGATAAAGTTGTTTCTAGTCAGAAGTGATTAATGGTGGACATGATGTGAGGTGGCGAGGGGAGAAAAGTGGTGCGTTCTCTGTAAAGTCTGCCTACAACTCAATCTGCGATTCGGATGTTGGGGGTGATTGTGCTTGGGACAAGATCTGGAAGCTTCAAGTTCCTCAACGATGGCTGGTGCATCATAATAAATTGCTCACCAATACGGCGTGGCTTAAACTGGGTATGGAAACTGATGGGATGTGCCATTGGTGAAGACAAACCGAAAGATGCCCCCCGTGTTCTACGAGACTACTCTTAGGCTTGTCATTACTGGATGAGATTGTTAAACCATCTCACAGAAATGTTTTCTTTGAGCTCTCCTTGAGTTGGTGGTCAAAGTGGAATATTAGAGGAACAGGGACGTGAAGGGACTCGGATTGGCCTGCCAGATTTTCTATAAGCTGTAGGGCGCTTTGAAAACGTAGGAATGAATCTGTGTTTGAGGGAAAATGTATGACGCATGACTCGATTTTTGCTCAGGTTAGTTTGATTCTTTTCAGCATGAAGACTTTCAAAACTCGAATGGCAGATGTGAATTTATCAGGCTCTGCCAACACTAAGAATAGATACTCGTGGACTGCACTACCACAGAATTGGCTTCTCCTTAACATCGACGGAGCGTTTTCACCAGGCTTGAACAGGGGAGGACGTGGCGGAGCCATCAGAGATCACACTCGGGCGTTCTTTGTTGGTTTCACTCACGGGTACGTGGGAAAAGATAGCTTGAATACTGAATTTTGTGCGATGTTGATGGGGCTCAAAATTGCATGGGATACAGTTCATAGGAGATTGATCTTGGAATCCGGTTCTCTAGAAGCTGTTACTGCTGTTAGAAGGGATAATGACCCTGCTCTTCACAACTACAACTTAATCGAAGAGATTCAAAATATGATGATAAGGGATTGGGAGGTTTCGGTGAGGCACATTCTTCGAACGGGAAATGCCGTGGCGGATCACTCAGCAAAGGGGGCGTGTATGGCCTGGTTTTAATCGTTTTTGCTTTCCGTGTTCTAGTCTTACTACTTGTAGAGGATATGAATAATCTGAACAACATTTAGGCTGTTCACTTGTCTTGCTTATAAAACATGAAACAAAAAATGATTAGCTAGACTAAGAATCTCTTGTGATTGGTAATTGGCACAAATGATTTTGACTATTATTTCCAGAAATTATGCATGATGATAAGGAAATTTTCAACCTAGAAAACCCTTGAAACATAGATTGCTTGAGGGCAAGACTTGTTAATTTGTTATCTCAACACATTTGAATGATGACTTTCTTGTAATCAGTCGGCATCGTCTTGAATAATTTTCTCAATCAAGGTATAACATAAAGTGTTGCGCTTTATAAGTTATGAATAATGGAATTAAAAAAAAAATCTATGATAAAAGAGAAAACATGCTTTGTTTGATATGTGAAATTTTAACTACAATCTTAATTTTTGACTATAGAAGAACTTTAATCAACTCCAGAGTCCATACTCCAAGAATATCTTAAACGAATTTTGCTTTTATGTTCTTATCTTTTAAGATTTATATTCTTGTAAGTCTTGTATTATTTTCCATCTTTTTAATATCTCAAATGACTAATTATATCGACCATTTTTTCATGACTATGATGATAATTGATAACCGGGTGCAAGTAAACATAGTTTTCGGTTAATTTTTACTTAAAATTTCTTTTACTGGTTTGTAATAGAATTACATGAGTATATTTTTATAATTAAACAACAAATTTTTGAAAATAAAATTATGATTACGTAAGATTTCATTGATTCTAATCTCTTATACTTTTGTTTATTATAAATTAAAAAAATATGCAAGTAGGTACCTTTGCTCCTTCCTTTCCTCTCCAACCAAATAGACACAAAACGACTAACGAGCACAAATTAGATAAAACAAATTTCACATCCACCTTGACCAGCATATATCAATCCGAGATTAATTTTGGAAAGTTTCATTTATTATTTCACTAAGGAATATAATTTACAATAGTCAAAATGAACAAACATGAAGATGAAAAGTTCATTCTGAAATCTAAATACAGACGCAAAAACGAGTGAGACTGTATGCGTAAAACCAAATATAGCAGAAAATGTGATTCTATGTAACAACAGTGACTGAGACATGGAAAACCAAGTACATATTTGGCAAGCTCATCACCCCGCACCAAACACCATTTCATTACAGAATCAAACATCTTGATATCAAACTATTCCTCTGGACACGCCAAGCATAAATGCTAGCGCAATACGGTGTGTATCGACTCTGTATAAGAAACAATCTGCCTATAGGTATTATGGCTTGCATATTCATCTAGTCGACATGATATCATACTCACAGAATAGTCTCAGACATGATAATTCATGCCTACCTTGATCAGATAGATGTGAGGAATGTTCAAGCTTACAGCAGGGGCCCGACAATTCTTTCGTAGAAAGGAGTACAGGTTGATGGCAAACCTTTTTATGAATGATGAGTTCCACTTGGCCTTTACGTGAGAATGGCTGATTACATAAGATGCCCCTGCACGCTTGGCTTCCACAAGCTCCAGAAGCTCCTCCTTGACACGTGGATCTTTATATATTGTATTTAGCAACTCGAATCGAATCCGTTTTCTATTGTTAAGTTCATGCGATTCCTGTTCATACATGGCTTGCAACCTCTTGAGCGTGGGGGACTTGCTGCTGCTTACTGTCAAGGTTCCAGAAAGACTCAAACTACTACTGCCTTCTTCAGCAATACCAGATTCTGACATTAACAATCTCGTCCCATACTTTCCAGATGTCTTAACCACTGCCATTCGGCCATCCACAGCACCATCTAGGTTTCTGGAACCACCTTCTGCTTCCAATTGGATGAATTCTGCTATGCTAAGCACCAGGTCATTCTCAAAATCAGCTTCATTGTTATAAACATCTTTATAACCATTTCGAACAATGCACCGGTACATTCGGTAAGATTTGGGACCAATTCGGCCAATGAGGTAACGTTCCTTGTGTGGTACACTAGGAACAGGTACAGTCTTAACACAAACAAAAACAACCACTCGGTAAAAAGCCGGCAAATTGGTCAAGAAGTGGGTGAAAGTCGCTGGTATTCCAGCAGCTAATTCAGTGTAGATGAGGCCAATTCCTGGGACCCTAACAATCCCAAGACTAGGACCCAGTGTAAGGATCCACTTCATGGAAACTTTGTTATGCAAGTCAAATAAATACTTTTTTCTAGAACCATAATGCCACACAAACATTACCACCAAGAAAACTGCAGAGAGAAACAGAGGAACCCAGCCACCTTTTGGGATTTTCATGCAATAAGAGGAAAGGAAGAGAACCTCTATTGAACCGAAGAATAAAAGAAATGCAAGAGCAGCTACAAGACTTAGATTCCCTACAAGGTTGATGACTAGAGATGTCAAACATGTGGTCACATATGTGACAATTAGACAAGCAATCCCTGCAATGCAGACCTTCATATTAGCAATCAACAGAAAACAAGTAATAATTTATAAAATATCATTATAAAGCAACCGTGGCTCCGTTGATGTATTTCATAACATAACCAGAAATTAGAATGTCCCAAATATTAGTCATTCAATGCCAGAAAATTGAAGTGAGAAAGATGCTTGTAAATAACCTCAATATGTTGATGTGCTGATGTGACAAGACAGGTGATTGGCGGATCAAAAGCAAAGGGTAGAATGCAGACACCACGATGAAAGACAATTTCTATACCAAATTAGTTTATGAATTCAAAAATTGCAATAGTGTGTGACTTAAATGCATGAGCAAGGGTAACGTCCAGTTCCTGATCAGTGAGTTCCTAAACTTCCAAAGAACCATAAGCAGATTTATCAAAAGAAACTTGGATGGGTAGGCTTTTATATGCTTCCATGTTGTAGAATACTTGGAGCATACCAAAATGCTAATGAACTTGGCCATTCCTCCTAATGCATCCAAAGTGATATCCACACATATATACAAACTTCTCAGGGGCAACCTTAAGAAACTGCCTAAAATTATGTTAACATTGCAATGGCTATCTGCTTATCACACTAATACTATAAACACCATGAACAACATCCAAATTCAAAATCATAAGGAAGGAATAACTTCTCTTGAAAAATAAAGTAACATGAAAATAAATGGCCTATAAGCACGATAAAATCTGCTTGGAGATATTACGTTAATCACAATTTTGAAGGCTGTTACAACACAGCTTACCATAGCCATATCCTATATGGATTGGATCTCCAAAACCAATTGTCACAGCCAAGCTGATAATCATAAGAATCCAATTTATCTCCGGTATGTATGTCTGCCCTTGGATCCATCGTCTGGAGTGTACAAACTTAACACGAGGAAAACAATCAAATGCATGGCATTGTTTGACAATTGAGAATGCTGCAGAGATAACAGCCTGACTTGCAACTATTGCTGCCAAAACAGCCACCACAAATACTGGCCAAAAAAGGACGTCTACAAAACAACAAAAGCATGCTGAAATACATTAGCAAAGTCGTAGGGGAATGAACCTGAAGAACTACCACATCAAATGCACTGTTGTCAGAAGACATAAAGAGACCAAAAATTGTACTGAAGCGCTAAATCTGGTTTTGCATGATACTGTTGCTAGCTGCATGATACTGTTGCTAGCTCAACTAATTTGCCTCATTTTCTAGTGAAATATCCCTCTTGTTAACTAGTGAACCAAACGTTAAGATATGATGTGCCCCGAAAGGTGTATGGCATGTAACAGCATGGAGAGCAAAGACAGATCAAATATAAAGATTATTCCAAAATACTTTGACTCTTGGTCTGTTTTGAAAGGGGGAAACTTGTGTAGTCAGCCAAAAAACAAACTTTTGATTAGGGCAAAAAAAAGCACTTTTTAATGATGGCAATTATGCATGCATCAACTTCCTACTTATTGCCAGAACGTGTTTAGATTATTTTTTCAACGACATCATGGGACTTTAATTATTCAACTGTTCAAACCTGTGCGGTTAAATAAGAAAAAAAAAATGAGTTGAATTACTTGTCGAGGGATGAATGAAAGAAAGAAAAAGCTTTGCAATTCTACTTGGATGCATATATTATGGTCACTCAGTCCAGAAACATCTGGACCAACATGAGCAGCCAGGAGTATCACTAATTCTTGAATTGGACATTTAACTAATGTGACAATCACAATGATGATATCATGGCCTAAGGGTTCAAATAGTAGCATCTGCAGAACATTATTAGATTTGGATGCAAAAAACTTCATGGATGCATTTTAGGATTTTATAAGATGGTATATCAGTCCTCAGTTAATCCTAGTACTTTTATTCTCTGACCTGGAATGGAAGCATAAAAGCTTATACGCACTGCAGATATATTCTTTGAAAGAAAAGCAGCCTGCCCCATGTATTGAAGGACTAGACATGGGTAAATGACACAACAAAATGCAACCTGCATGGCAAAGAGTCTTTAAAGTACACAATCGCAACAATCATTTCAACAGAAGCAATCTGACAATTTCTATAGCATGTTTAAGGAGGAAACAAGCACTAGTGAAGGCTTGTATTTGTTATGCCATGAATCATAGACAAAGCAAAATAATGTATCATAAACTCCTTATTGGGTAAACTATTTGACAAATTTATTTTACATCTTCAGCAATAGCTTACAAGTTTACCATAGTACAGACAGAATATTCCTTTCTAAATATAATTTACACACAATCTCACTGCTCAATCCCTCCACTTTTCATTATCATTTAGCAGACTATGACTATATCCCAGCCTCACCTACTCTCACACACATGCTAAACTTCAACAGTGCTATATCTCAGTGGAATAAAAATTGGTATGCATCATTAATTCATTATCCCTCAGATGAATTGATTTTGTCATGACCAAGTGTAAAAAGCATATCACAGTGAGGGCCACACTGACATGGATGATGATCCAAAGGATATCTCCAACCTCCCTAACAGAAACTTGCAGCTAACACCATTGAACATTATTGGGCTATAATCTATAGAAAAGACACTCAAGGACTGATCAGTGCCACATAAGGTAATTATTGAATTGAGGGTCAAACCCATAATTTGCCCACACATACCCTTATAGGTGCTTGCCCGTAGTATCCTAGGTCTGCAAACATAGCTTCAGTCCCTGAAGTTATCCAAGAGACCACACAATGAATCTAGTGAGTATAAAGTTTAAGCTGATTTTGAGTATCAATAGATGCACTGACCTGTACAACATAAAAACACTCCTCCAAGATTAGCCCAACCATCTTTTCCTGTAACCCGGAAGAACCTATATATATAATATGGAGATAGAGCCTGATATACTCTTGGATTCCATTTGATGACATTGTAAAGGCCAACCACGAAAGTAAACAGTAACCATAGGATCATGATGGGAGGAAACATGAAGGCCACATTGTGGGCACCACGGTGTTGCAGTACAAAGAGTCCAACCAGTAGAATACAAGAAATAAGAAGCAACATACCTGCTTAGGGGTATCTATGTAAGCTTTCATAGCAAAACTACATAGATTGCATACTATTTCTCAAGAGACATGGGACTAAACCAATACAGGCTATGGAATGCAAAAATAAAAATTGTTAGGAATAAAACTAGCATTGAATGTTTCATCAATTCCACTTTACTGGAAATACACGGTCAGCGATTCATTTAACGTTCCCTACTTAGACCAAGAGTGCCTATATTCCTGGAAAGTACTACTTCTGCCACTCTTCCTTTTTCCACTCCACTTACTCCTTCCCCTTGCAACTGCAATTGGCAATTCTCTGCAATAGGTGCTGCCAGGGAAAATATTGGCTACATATGTCACATCTGAAAACTTAAAAGATCATGACTGTTTCCTTGCAGCCAGTTGCAACCCTAGCATAACATAATGAACTTGATGCATAAAAGAGGGAAGTCATCCAAGTTAAAGGCCTTAAGAAATATCAGCATCATGTGAACATCACATGCCCTGTTAATTGCTGTCACCATTTCATGACTTCACCTTACAATCTAACTTGCAAGACATAGGCAGCAGCTTCCATGATAACAAAATAATACAATACAATTATATCTATATTTAATTAAAAAAATTCGTTGATTTATTTTATTAAGATGATTTAGGCATTGATTATCATAATGCTAAGTAGAAGATTAGGTTTTTCTTGACTTACTATTATTCGTAGCCATTGTCTGGTTTTCCAGCCCTTTAATGGATGAGAGAACTGCAAGAATTGGGTTCTGATCAACACAGATGCTTATGAAGGTAATGAATGGCATAGAAATGCACTAAGGTGAAAAATCAACCAGAAACAATGTCTTCCTTTACCAGAAATAGCAGGTGTCAGCGCACCAATGCAAACAACCATACAAGCACCAAGAAGAACGAAAATAAGCAATGCAGGTTTTGTGCTCTTATGTCTCTCAATGAATCTTTTCAAACGTGAGGATGGCATATTTCTATTTGAGCTACAAGGCTTATGATATGTAGAAAGCTCCTCATCAGATGCTTGAAGATTAGGTAGCAGACAAAATTTTGCATTTCTGCAAAGAAGTGAATACAAAGCGATAATTCCCCCTGCAAAGGAGCTGAAAGTATTAATAACACGCTAAATTATGAAGGGCAGGCAGAAAACAAAGGAGGGAACCAAATTCACAGCATCATCATAAAGACCAACCCTTACCTTCACCATTATCATCTGAATTCAACATGATAATGATATACTTGAACAATGACGTAAGAGATAGAATCCAAAAAATCAGAGAGAATGCACCAAATATTGCCTCCTCATTTTGAAGATGTTGCAGTCTACCAGAAAATATACTTTGATATACATAAAGAGGGGAGATGCTTAGGTCACCAAACAAAAAACCTAAACTCTGGTATGCCAAGAAGGGAACTGCTTTACGTTGATATTTGCACTCCACCTGTTTAAAGAGAATCATCAAACACACTGGGCATACTTTTCTTTTACAGACGAAACAGACTGTAAATACAGGTTCTTCTATTATGGGTAGAAGATTTAAGTTCCCTTTTGATTCAACAATGAGAGGTCCAAAATGATAGCCAAAGACACAAAATTAGGAAACTAAGAACAATGATGCAGATAGAGGCAGTCAGCCGCTTCTTTTCTCCTTCTTTTTTTTCCTGCACAAGTGTGCATGTCATACAATTTGCATGTAAAAGAAAGAGTAAGAGAGTAATGATAGCGAGGGCATCAGATACTTACGAAGCTCAACTATCATTTGAGAGACATCCCTATCTTATAATGACAGATTAACAGCCTGCTTAATCAAATTCCAGCAGCTATTTTTTCGCCCAGAATTTCATTCAGAAGCAGGGTTGAAAATATATGTTCTATCGTACCCCATAAACTGCTGCAAGCTTTTAAATTACACGGAAAACCCATCTACTACTGCCGTAAAGACTCAAAACACATCTCGAGTTTTATTAACGCCTCTAACACTGTTGAAAATCTATGTTTATGTCGATGACCAAGTTTTAAATGACAGATGTCATTTTCGCTTTGGAAATAAAATCTGACCACATAGTGCCATCATATAACCATATTTTCGGTTCTAACTTGAGGGGGAGCGTTGAGAGGATGATTGAGGTCGAGCACGGAAGTGAAGGATCGATTGGAAGAAGAATCAGAATAACACGTAATTTGAATCGAAGCAGAGGAAATCAAATCTGTAAAAGAATTTTAAACAAACCTGCAGAAAAGCCATATTGGATACGAATGGCGAATGCATTTCATTTGCAGTAAGTTTAACCGGAAAGGAAAAGGAAAAGGAAAATAAGCTTGCTAGGGCTGACATGTTAAGACAGAGGTTTCCAATTCGATGAAGAAAAGAAGAGTACCCTGGCGGCAACACCTCGGTCTCTGTCCGAATCGTCGGAGCTCATGGCGAAACCAGAATAACTGAATGGGAAAGAGTTTTCAGTTTCCCGATGGAGCGTTTAGCGTTGAATCAGTCCGCGGGTCTTTTGACAGCTCGTTTATTTCACTTTGCCCAATATTCATTCATTCTTGGTGCATTTGGCTTCCAAAATTTCCCCTTTCTGGTTCGTAATTAAATTTTGGATCTTTTTTCTATTGCGGCGTGCTCTGCACAAGGGCGTGGGCGATCACGTCGCCTCTTCAATTTGAGAAGGAAGCACTTTCCTTGGAATTTCTCAAAACCATCAGTATCGGAATGACAAGGACGTAACTATGTTGCGTTGCTAACGTGTCATGTAAAATACAAAACAACAAAAGAGCAAAAATTAAAAATAACATCACAGTGTCTGACAGCTTGGCAACCTACCTGCGACTTCCCGCCTAAGGCCTGCTAGTATGGCTGCTACAGAACGCCCAGTGAATAAGCACCGAATGGTGGGGCCGGAAGCGGGCCACGTGTCAAGCAATGATTATCGAATGTAATATGATGGATGGTCGAAGGCAACGTCATGAAATTGTACCCTTCATCAATTTAATGATTAATTCGATTAATCCAACCGCCATCTTCATCAATTCATCCAGAGTCACCTGATTCACCATCATGTTCGGACCGGATTACTGGATCGGTTCCTGATTCAACTGATCCGCCAGTCCAATTTGATTCTCAAAATAATGGTCAAAGTCTCCTTCCTTTTTTTTTTTTGGCTAAATTACTTGCGCGCGCGCGCGCGCGCGCGTGTATAACTAGATAAAAGTGCATTCTTAGATAGACTTTCGGAAGGACTCTTCCATACGAAACACAGCAAGCATGAATTCTCACCGCATATGAGAGTGTTAGGAAACTCGACTGCCTGGATCGTTGGACTCGAATGCAGTTCAATGTCCTGTTTGATGTAATGAGAAAACTAAAGAAAGAAGAAGCTGACCAAAAACAACAAACCGGTCTGGAATGAATTACAACCGATAGAATCGATGGATCAATGAATCAAACTGGTCACATATTCTGTGTTTTAAAAAAAAATTAATCGATAATTTAAGTACATCCATATGTAATAAACATAGAAAAATGAAGAACAATAGGTAAATAAGCAAAAATATAGATACACATATACACGTACACAATTCGGAATAAAATTATGAAGTATTAATGTATATTACCTATCTCTCTCTTTAGATTTAAACATTTATCCTGTGATTTGAATTATTATTTCTTTTTAATTTAAACACAAAATATCCAACAAATAGACCTGAAAACTTCAGCCACCAATAACAATAACAATTGCAAATTGCAATGATTATAGAATGGTTTTGTTGTGTAAATAATTTCTTCCTCTTGTGCTCATTCAAAGGGAAGCAACAAGAAGGGGAAAACAGCATGCAGTTCTCTAAACAGAAAAAAATAAACAAGTGGGCTTGCCATCAGCAATTGGAGATCATAAAGCCAATATCAATTAAGCTATGCAAGCACGATGGGATAATTTTGCTCCTCCGCACTGCAGTAGCTAATATTTAAAGATCGAAGATCTGATAATGATCATCCGGAATCAATCCTCACGCTCCCTTGTCTTGATTGCAATAACAGTAAATCTCAGCATCTCTTACCTAGTCTTGGTATCACCACTTTCTTTTTAATGTATGAGTACTTTACAGGCTTTACATTTTAGAAGACTCAAACTCTATTTTCTAATTGCAAGAGCTGTCTTGAAATGACGTCACTAAATTTTCCTTAGTATGATACAATTACAGTCAATGCTACTTGCACGTGTCAAGTCTCCGACAAAATAAAAAAGCAATTCAACCAGAGGTTACTTGCGACGTCTGTTGCTTACCGTTTCTGGGTTGCCTTTCCTCATCATGGCAGCAAACTCATCATAATTAATTCTTCCATCCTGCAAGAAAGATGAGATTTTTAGCCAAGGATAACTTAACAAGTATATACGAACGACCAAAGCTTCACAGGATGCAGAATGAAGGATCACCAGATACGTAATATTTTTATTTGTTTACAGGATGCGGATTGAAGGATCACCAGATACCAGTATTTTTTTCCCCCTTCCATAATTCTCCAGATTTCACCACTACTGAAAGGCATGTTCTTTCCAGTTTTATCGTCTTAAAATTAAATGTTGACAATAAAAGCCACCCAAAAAGATTAACCATGTTTAGAATCCAAAATATGCACCAACTAACTGCATTTCCTAAAACAATTTTATGAGCAGCAAGGCAAAATCCCAAGGATCATGCCTAAAATGACCAGGAAAAAAAAAAAAGGAAGACAACCGGAGCATAAGTACAAGCAGAGTCCAACTTCTAGTTCAACTAGGTCTTCTACTACCTTTCACCCTAGCTTAAACACCCAATACCAAACAGAAATTACATAGTAATATTTTCTCCTCCTGGTTGTTTTTGGGTTGTGTTGGATGGCACCTGAACATGGCCATTCTTTGTCCAATTTCTTGAGTGAGAGACAGTTACAAGTAAATAGAAGTAAAATAGTTTATGGTGGCCATTCCAACATTCGCAGGATGCCTGCATGCTTGAGGAAGATCTAGACACAAAATTCAGAGGACGAACTTACATTGTCTGCATCAACTTCAGCAATGATCTCCTTTATAGTATTTTCATCACCCATATTATACTTCTTTAGTGCATATTCCAACTCTTCCTTCGTGATATACCTATAAAAACAGAAGTTAAAAGACAGAGAAAAGAAAAACTTAAATATAAGATTCAACAGTGAAAGAGAATGCTCTCAGTATGAAGGAAACTTAAGTGTGATTACCCGCTCCTGTCCTTGTCAAAATATTCAAATGCTTTGTATAGGTGGTCCTCTCTGTCCATTCTATTCATGTGCATGGTAGCTGTAATAAATTCAATATAATCAATGGTTCCATTTCCATCTACATCAGCCTGAGAACCCAAAAATAATGTTACAATGGTGAACTGAGAAGGATCATTTTAAGTCAAGACAAGTGGTAATGGTGTTATGATATAAAGCAACTCTAAAGACAATACCTAAATCATTTTTTGCAGAGCATAAGTTTAAATATGAATTCTCAACATTAGACAAATAACAGTTTCCTCCAACATATTAATTGCTCCGGCTTGTGAGGTTCTAATCCTAATTGGTGATTTAGGTCATTGTTTTGAAATCGGATGCAATCTTTTTCACCACCAAGCATTCGCCCCAGTTAAAAATAACGGAGCCCAAATTTCCTAGAAGCAGACAGATATTTTCTCTTGGGCCACTAGAACCAGACAAAGCTAAGGTATGATCAAACAAGAAAACAAAATAAATTTTACCGCTTCCATCAACTGCCTCACTTCAGACTCAGAAAGCTTACTGCCCAATTTGGGGAGACCGACTTTCAACTCTTCAAAAGTGATAGTTCCACTGTTATCTGTGTCCATTGATTTGAACATTTCCTTCAAGCCAATGATTTCTTCTTCAGAAAGATTTTCTGCAATTACCTGGAATAAATAGAAGATTTTTCTAAATCCTTTTACACTAAATCCAAGGACTGGGCCCTCTGAGGGACTTCAAGCCCCACATTAAAGAAATGCGTGTACAAGTGTATTAAAGGAGGAAGTAAACTCAGGCCCAAAAACAGCAGGATGCATACTGTTTGGCTAGCACTCATTGCGTTTTTTCTTTGAAAAAAAAAAAATGATGAGCAAGTCTTTTTCTTTTCGACAAACGGCAGAAAGTCTTATTTGTGCAATAAATATTTTTTTCCTTTCCACATCAATGGACAGCTTGGCAAATGAAAAAACAGAGATTTCAACAAACAAAGCAGATGCTATTTAAGCACAAGTGTATCACAGCATTGAAACCCTTGATCTAGTCCAGCCACGGTTACCTTTTCCTCATTTATTCTTTAACTATCTTTTGGCATTTCCATTACAAACAACAATGATGATAACAAATAAGTTACCTTCAGAGCTACTTTCTTTAGTTTGTTCATTGCCCGGAATTGTTTCATTCTGATCAAAACAGCAGTGTCAAGAGGCTTATCAGATGCATCCCCATCTTCTCTCATCCAAGGATGATCTAGAGTAGATGTAGAACTCTTATTATGACTGGTTGATTTGAATAACCAAAATGCTTTGGAAAGTACATCATCAATCATCAATATTCTTTTAAGGTGTTTAAAATAAAAGGACATGCATGTAACGTATGGATATTATGTTTCTTAAACAAGCACCCTAACCAATCATTTTTTTTTTTAATTGTGCACAGGAATCCTTCTTTTAGAGGCAATCTTGTTTGAGGCATGGAGTACCTTATCGTGTTTCAAACAGGATTGCCTCCAATAGAAGGATATATCTGCACAATCCCACAAAAAGGGTGAGGCAACAGTCACTTCTTAACCATGATATAAATCATTGAATAAGCATATGCACACTACTCTTTTGATACAATTCTGAATGTAACAGTGTATGTTTACCTTAGAAGCTGATAGAGCCCCTCATTATTTTACTAAGACTTATCAAAGGAAGTCAAAGGGGAAGAATGACTCTAGTAGAATAATGGTGACTGGTCCAGAGGTTTATCCTTCGGTCTCTAGCCGTAAGGAACAGTAGCGTGGAATCAATGATAGAGCCCCTCATTATTTTACTAAGACTTATCAAAGGAAGTAAAAGGGGAAGAATGACTCTAGTAGAATAATGGTGACTGGTCCAGAGGTTTATCCTTCGGTCTCTAGCCGTAAGGAACAGTAGCGTGGGATCTTAGTTATGGTCAAAGATCCCACGCTACTGTTCCTTACGGCTAGAGACCGAAGGATAAACCTCTGGACCAGTCACCATTATTCTACTAGAGTCATTCTTCCCCTTTGACTTCCTTTGATAAGTCAAACCTCTGGACCAGTCACCATTATTCTACTAGAGTCATTCTTCCCCTTTGACTTCCTTTGATAAGTCTTAGTAAAATAATGAGGGGCTCTATCATTGTTACAAGTCTTCCTCTGATTCTGGCCAAAACCCTATCTCCCCTGAATGATCACAAAAGTAACAACATTACAAGCTCAAACCTCACAAGAGGGTTCACTCCTTTTGGCATTCGAGAGGCCAGTCTCTCCTCTCGCTTCTCTTCCTTTCCCCCGGATATCCCTACAATACAAGCAAAAAGATAAAATATACCCACAGCATGGACAGCATGGCTTCCCCCCTAGCCCATACCTCCCAAAAGATCTTAGTTATGGTCAAAGATCCCACGCTACTGTTCCTTACGGCTAGAGACCGAAGGATAAACCTCTGGACCAGTCACCATTATTCTACTAGAGTCATTCTTCCCCTTTGACTTCCTTTGATAAGTCTTAGTAAAATAATGAGGGGCTCTATCATTACCTTCCACTTATCAAAGGAAGTCAAAGGGGAAGAATGACTCTAGTAGAATAATGGTGACTGGTCCAGAGGTTTATCCTTCGGTCTCTAGCCGTAAGGAACAGTAGCGTGGGATCTTTGACCATAACTAAGATCCCACGCTACTGTTCCTTACGGCTAGAGACCGAAGGATAAACCTCTGGACCAGTCACCATTATTCTACTAGAGTCATTCTTCCCCTTTGACTTCCTTTGATAAGTCTTAGTAAAATAATGAGGGGCTCTATCAGAAGCTGATGAGAGACAAATCAAGAGCAAGTCATGCATCAGGCAAGGAGAAAATCAAAGGGATTTTTTTTTTTTTTTGGGTCGTTGGCTCGAGGAGAGAATTGAAGGCTGAGTAATTAGTAGACACTAAACTAATATGTAAAAGGATTTAGTACTAATATGTGAACCATGCTCGTGTTCTAACTTCGTTCTTTGTTCCTTCTTCCTTTCTTGAGTCCCCTCTCTTTTTCTTTTTATATTTGGGTATGGGAAGGGGGGAGGGTTGTGTAGAGATGTGTTAAATGTGAATATAGATAGCATTCTTTGTTCCATCCTATACAAAGACAGAATATTGACATATTTTTAACAATATTATTATGGAGCAATAAGAACAAGTGAAAATTCGCTTGAAGATGCAAGATCCAATATAGAACTTTATCAAAACAAAAATGAGACCGCTTTTGATGAAAAGCAAAAAATAATAATAATAATAATAAGTTTACGAGAAGAATCAAACTTACTAAGGACATCAACAGCTGAAAGGCGTTCTCTAGGATCAGCTCGTAGCATCTTTCTAACCAAATCTTTGGCACTACTTGATATGGATGGCCAAGGCTTTGACACAAAATCAATATTTCCCCGAAGAATCGCATCAAAGATGCCCTGTTCATTTTCTTCACACAGAAGATTAGAAGAGAATATGAGAAGCAAAGATAAGGCTAAAAAAGTCGAGGTAATATGTCTGATTTTAGACAAAAAGTTCAATTTCCAAGGTGAAACACTGAGTAACAACTTTTAAGCTGAATGTCGCACAGAAAGCTCAACCAACAATGTCAGATACAATGACAAACATTTAACTTTCATGTGCCAATTTGATATAAATCAATAACAAATTTCAAGCTCTAAAGGCTTAAAAAGAATAGGAAGGAGCATTACCAGCCCAGAAAGGCGGGACACCACTAAGCAGAATGTACAATATAATCCCGGCACTCCAAATATCAGCTTCTGGCCCATAACTTTTACGCAGCACCTCAGGAGCAACATAATATGCACTCCCAACAAGATCGCTAAAAAAATCTCCTGTTCTCAAATTTGAACAGTTAAGTTCAGAATCATCATTAGTTGAAAAGTTCATCAAAAGGGTGCAATGGGACCACCAAATCGTGCCCAAAAGGCAAGGGAAGGAATAGGATAAGTCAACGAATGCAAATAACCACAAAAGAAAAAGAACGAGAGCAAACCTGACTTGAAGAACACGGAGAGACCAAAATCAGTGGCCTTAAGAGGCGAGCTATCGTCTTTACTGAGGAACAAGAAATTCTCGGGCTTCAAATCTCTATGAAACACTCCCATGGAGTGACAACTATGCACGACCGTCATGATCTGGCGACACAAGTTTGCTGCCGCTCGCTCCGAGTAATGGCCTTTGGCTATGATCCTATCGAAGAGCTCCCCGCCAGCACAGAGCTCCATGACCAAATTGACAGAGTGACGATCCTCATAAGCTCCTTTGAGCTCCACAATGTTGCGATGACCGGTGAGGTGGTGCATGATCTGAACTTCGCGGCGAATATCATCGATATCGTCGCGGTTAATGAGTTTGCGGGTGGCGATGGACTTGCAGGCGAATTGTTGTTTAGTGACTTTGTGGCTGACTAAGTAGGTGACACCAAATTGACCACGACCTAGTTCGCGGCCGAAGATGTAGGCGGAACGGACGTCCTCCATGGGACGGCCGAGGACGCGGCCGACGGCGGAGGAGAGAGGAGGTTTCGGCAGTGGGGGCCTAGAATTTGGAGGAAGGACGGAGAGGCCATTGGAAGGTAGGGCAGACTCGGGGCAGTCAGAACTGAGTTGGTTTTGGTCGGAGGGGACGCCGCTGCAATTGCCCATGGACGGGGTACAGGTCGGGTCAACGTCACTAGCAGAGAGAATAGTCTTGGTCGGCGTTCTGAAAATGAGGCGGCAACTTCAATGGCGACAACACATGGACTCCGAAGTTGCACCCAAGTATATTTAATTGCTTTGGAGTGCTTCGATGTGAGATGTATAAATTAATGAAAAATATTAGCCATTTTGAGTTGTTTAAGAGAGTTAAAAGGTAATTTTTGTTTCAGGACCTTCCGTGTAGAATCTACGGTTGTTCTAAACTTAGATTTTGATTTATTTTTATACTTAAACTTTAAAAACTCTACACCCTATTATCTTACAATTTATGCTTCACTTGTTATCTATTATATGTTTAATTGGACTTGTTTTATTGATTTTTTTTAGCCACATAGCATCTAATGGATGTCAAATTAAAATTAAATAAAATTATATTTGTTTTTGAAGTATTCGTTAAAAGACACATGATGTCTTAAATTTAATTTTTTTTGGTTTATTTTCTCCCTCAAGATGTTAAGAAAAACTAACCACACATGGCCTAACTTTGATGACACGTGGCAAAAAAAAAGTTAACAAAACATATCCAATTAAATAAATAATTGTCACGGCGAATGAACAACAAGGCAATTAGATAACGAATTTTAAAAGTTTTAAGACAAAAATAATCAAAATTTGAGTTTAGCTGCAGGCCTTGCACGGAAAGTTTGAGTATAAAAATGACCCATATCCATTTTAAAAATGTAATTAATAATTTGTTAAACAAATGTTTTTAGTTAGGATGTAATAATTAATTAGAATATTAAGATAATTGAACATGAATGAAAGGAGTAGAGTTTAGGATGATAAATTTAAAAAATTAAAATTATTTAAAATATTCTGAAATAAATAATTGTAATTACAAAAATAATTTAGAAAGCCACATTTTCTTTTCTTCTATTCTTAAAAAAAAAAGAATTCTTTAGTTGTATTTTTGAACTTATAATTTGAGATGTAACTTTCCCCCAGAAAAAAGTGCCTCCCAGACAAACACTTGAGGTATTAACCTTGCTTTGATAATTTTTATTTTTATTTGTGTTTCTAAAGTACATGGGAGTCTCAAGGAAATAAAAGAAAAAGGAGGTCTTTTTAAGCTTTTGCGATTATCTACTTCCTAATTATAGGTTTTGTTCTCGTATTAGAGCCATGTTTGCCTTGAAAATTGATACCATTTTGGATGTCTTGGAAATTCAAGAACTCAATTACGGTTTTTGAAGATGAAGAGCGTTGAAATTGACTTTTTACTCTATCAAAATTGCTGGAAAAGCAGCCGCCGCGGCTGCATGCATGGGCGTGCATGGGCGGGGATAGACTGGAAGGAGATCGTGTTGAAGTCAAAGTCAACACAAAAAGATATTGAGAGGCTCCAAAGTACCAGTGTTTAAACGAAGGCCAATCCGTAACCCAACTGCATTCCAAAAAGATACAGTACCAGTGTTTATTTAAGCTTGTTTTTATTTGTAAAAAAATGTGGAAAGTGAAAATATATATATATATATATCATCTCCATTATTATTCATAATTTACAAGTTTTCCTTAACTAATTTACATAAATAAAAAATTAAATGTAAAGTATATATTTGGTCCTCAAATTTTATATAAAATTTTAATTTAATATTTTAATTTTATAAAATATATTTTTATTCTTCTGTTAGTTCAAAATAATCATTTTTATGCTAATTATTATTATTTTAAAAAAATAAATTCAATATGTTAACATCTATACTATTTTGATACTATTTTATTAATATTTAAATGTTTAATATAAAACTCACGATACTAGAGTTAAATAATTAAAAATATATTTTATAAATTTAAAGAATTAAAATGAAACATCATTTATGAATTAAAGAATTAAGTGTGCACTTTAGTCAAAAATTAATTAGAATTAGTTTGTATTAATATTATCTCATCTTTTTAAAAACACCCATAATTAAATGTTATAAATCACGACCAAATTTTACGTATTTCTCTCAATTCCCTTTTCTATTATAGTCCTAAAAAAAAATACTATAACAGATAAGTCCAAAATAAGAGAAATATTTTTAAAAGTTATTATTAATTTCATAATTTATCAAAATAACTTATGAATATTAGTATAAGTGTTTTTATAAAATATTTATAAATAAAAACTGAGTACATGCGATGCGTTGATTAGCAAAAAAATAAACAAAAGCATTGGATGATTTTTTTTTTTTGGGGGGGGGGGGGGTTGTGGAAGATGAACTGGATCGTTGTTCGGGCAAATGATGTCCAACGTGCTCAAATTCTTTTGACATGACCAGAACAATCATCTCTCCCAAAGACAAGGGAAGACACGCTAGTAGAGAAAAGTAAATACTCACTCTCGTTCTCTATATAAATAATTTTTAAGCTTTAACTTCTTCGTCAAAAAATATGGAATGGTTTTGATTGAGGACTAAACTTATCAGATTTACTTTCATTAAATAAATCATCTTTAAAAACATTTATCTTTATTTAACCCTTTTTATAAAAAATAAATCAACAATCAATGCTCTATTTTTTAAAACCAAGTAACTTATAAAAGAGGTCAAAGATTCTTTTTTATAAAATGACTTTATCATAAGATACACTAGATTATATATTGGCCACTCGATACTAGCTTGAAGTAATGAGACTGGTTGGGGTAAGATATAGGTGTACAGAAAGAGTTTAAATACCCAAAACATAAAAAGAATAGTACCATAGGTCACTACATGCACTGTTCTAAGGTACTGGTTGCTTAATGTTACATGTAGGGTGTGTTTGGATTTCAATTGAAAAAAATTAATTATAAAAAGAATTAATTATTAAAATGTGGTGATGTTTGGATAAATTTTTAAAAATTGATTGTGATAAAGTTGATGATGTTTGAATTATTTTTTTAAAATTAATTTTGAGTGGATAATTCTACTATTTAAAGTGACAAGTTAATAATATTCAAAATTAATTTTTTAAAATGGAATAAATTTTAGCTTATCTCAAATGGAATTTTGGAAATCAAATGAAGCTTGAAAAAATTGGGACGTTTGGATAAAAATTTTCAAAACTATGGTTTTAAACCTAAAATTGATTCTAGAAAGGTATCCAAACAGGCTCGTATGCATTTAAACGCTTACTCCTTTCATTAAAAAAATATAAAATATTTTTAATTAAATTTTACTTTCCAATAAAATAATAATTTGCTTTCAAACTAATCATATCTTTTTATATTTATCTTTATTAAACATCCTATAATAAATATAAAGTCATTCATTAATAGGAACATTTTTGAGAAAAAAAGACAATAATTATACCTTAAAAGACTAAAAATGCTTTATATTTTTAAATATTTAACTATTCAAAAAATACTGTATATCTTTAAACAGAGAGAGTATATCTCAACAAAATACAATAATATATGGTCAAAATATTTTTAATTCAATCTATTCCATTTTCAAAGCAAGCATTTACTTCAATAGTCATTGTTTTTATTCACAAAGATTAAAATATTCAAAATTAGTTAATATTTAATTGAGATTGAAATTCTTAAATAATAAATATGTTGAAAAATTAAAACTCAAAACCCTAGGTGATCAAGATGTATTTTGAAATAGGTTAAGTAAAATAGTATATTTAAAATTTCAAAACTTTAAAAGTTCAAATTTAAATACTATATATATATAGATATATATAATTTATCATACTCGGTATCAAATAATAAATATTCAAAAATTCATTATAAAACCTTTAGAAAGTTATAGTTTTAAGGGTTAGATTCAGACTAATAAAAAAAATTCATACAAGTGACCTCCTTATAAAGCTTCATGTCGACCACATAAGTTGGCCATTAAAAAAAGCGGAGAATTATATTCAAAAATAAAAAAAATTTATCACGTAGGAATTAGCACAAAATAAATTATTGTTAAATGAAAATGTAAATTCTTTTTATAAAATTTATTATTAATCCTTATCTTGGATTAATTCAATTGAATGTTCTTTCAATACGGTTCCCCCCCCCAAAAAAAAAAAAAAAGCAACTACACAAGTCACAGCGACCGAGAGCGTGGGTCCCTATAAATCTATCATCTATGTCGGCTGCTTTTTCCATTTTTTTTTTGGTTATTTATTTCTTTTACCAAAAAAAAAAATATTTAATTTTTAAAGGCACGCTACTATGAGAGTTCGTGGCACACCACTTCTTTTCCATTTCCTTTCCTTTGTTTTTTTAATTATTTATAGTGTGAATCCTCTTAATAGGCGTTTACAGGCCCGGGTCTTGAGCCCCAATAACCACTTGGGCCAGCCAGACCCAATGAAGAGCGAGTGAGCTTCGGCCCCATATAAAATGTTTTAATAAGAAACAAAAAAAAAAAGGAAATGAATCCATTTATGAAAGACAATTATTTTCATTTAAAATATATTTTAAAAATATTTTTATGATAAAATAAAAATTATGAATTACCAATAATAATTATTTTTACATGATATTAAGTTAATAAATTAATTTATATTTTTAAATAAAACTAGAATATTAAAAAGTCTCAATTACTGTTCTAGAGTAAATTTAATTTGATTACCCAACTACATACGAGTAATCTACGGAAGCGAAGCGTAGGAAAAACACATGGTAAGCTTTGCATAATTGCATGGGCAGGGTTGGGAATGGGAGAATGCAATACCAGGTAACCAGAATGAAGATCATTGCATTTTGAGTCAATAAAATTCTGAAAATTTTTTCAGCCTCAAAAGATTCAAATCAAAATTTTGTTTCTAGGTGAAAAGTCAAAAGTATACCCAGCTGAAAAAGTAAATATATCATAAGAACATACCTTGATATCTAATGCTTATAATTGAACAAGTACATGTTCAGATTTTGACAAGTATTGCTATATGTCCGTACTTTGTAAAAAATTATCAAGTGCTCCTTCTACCAAAAAATATAAAATATTTTTTGAGGAGTTGAATGTTAAAAAATATAAGATATTTTCAGTCTTTTAATATGTAATCACTGCCTTTTTTAAAAAAATGTTCCTTATTAATAATAATTTTATATTTATTATAGAATAGTTAATAGAGATAAATATAAAAAGATAGGGTTTAAAAGTAGATAAATACTTTATTGAAGGGTAAGATTCAATTAAAAATGCTTTATATTTTTTAACAGAGGGAGTATATATTCAAGAGTCAAAAAAATCATTTTAACTTTAAAAGAAGACTCGTTGTAGCAAACTAATATTCAGCTTAATTTTACAAAGTTTGTGTCAGCATAATATTTAATATTGATATTATATTTGTACATTTCTTAAGGTTTTTTCTTTTTAATGATAAACATATTTCTTAACAATATTTGGACGTCCTCGAAAAGACTATATTTCTTGACAATATTCAAACAAATCAGATTTCACCCAAGCATGATAGAGTTTTTTAAGGGAAGATGATAAATAAAGATATCTGAAAAATATTAAGTAACTCTTACAATTAAAATATATAGGTTTTATAACTGAAATTTCATGGATTATAACTTAAATATTTTTATTTTACATTGTTTTAAGATCCTTATTATTTTCCTGATCTTTTATTGTTTGACATCATTTTCACACGAGATCAATGAATATGTACGCGTGAGTGTGTGTATTGCTGTCACTGTCCACCCTTCTTTTCTCCTTTTATATTTTTTTAATCTTTTTTCTAGAGTTAGGAAGGTTAGCTGAATGCTTTATTTAAATAAAAATTTAAATTTTAAAAATTAATTTTTTTTAAAATAATTAAACTCGAACATTTTATTTTAATAAATCTTATAAAAAAAGATTCAAATTCTAACAGTTTTTTAAGTTCTGTTATTTTATTATAATTTTTTAAATTTTTGTTGGTTTTGATTAGTTTGAAAAAAAGACCCCTGCTGCTAAATCTTAAATATCTAAACACTACTTTTTGAATCATGTGATCACCTCTTGCTCCTCCTTGTTTGTCTTTTCCTCACCGCCTCACGCCTCTAGTCACAGCCAGTCAACTACTCTGCTTTATGCCTCTCATTCCTCATTTCTCGCTTACCGTCTCACATCTGATCTCAATGACAGACCAAATTTTGCTCTCCTTGCCTATCACATTTGATTTTTGAATTCACATGAAGTCGCTCTGTCATCCCCTTCTCAGTCATTGTATTTTGAATTATTTATGAGAGGGATCAGTTTAATGACAACCTCTTGATAGTGTTATCATCGTTTTAAGCTTGTTTAATTGATATTTTTGAGGTGTGATGTATTTTGATGTTAAGATTAATTGTAAAAATTTAAATTTATATTAATGAAGATTGAAGATTTTAATTTTCATTTTAAATTCAGACTTTTAAATCTTTATTAAATTTTATATAAAATTTTTATTTATTTTATATTAAATTTAAACTTTTAAATTTTTGTAAAATTAAAATATTTTATTTTATTTTTCGAAAAGAGGGCTTACAGGCTTAAAGTAAGGGTTGGACTTTAGAATTATATTAAATTTTAAAATTAAGTTTTAGGATCTAAGATCTTAAGGGTCGAGCTTATAAAGGTTGAGCTTACCTTAATTCTTATATCTATTTTTTTTTTTTTTGGTTTGAACTTTCAAAGCGTGATATTTAATTATTCATATCTATGATATTTGAACTTTTCCATTTTGATGCTCGAACATGCTATTTAAAGAAATATATTATAATTATATAAGTTATTTCTTAATGAGATTGAAATTTAATTCGGAGAATTTTTGTTGTTGTTGAGAGACATATTCCTTGTATTTTTTTTCCCCATCAATACAAATTCCTGTTCGAGCTGAGTTGCTAACGTAAAGTTCCTCTCCCAAAGTGCTAATTAATCTTGCTAATCGGCACTTTCAGAGAACAAAGCTCGAGACTTTGTTTTCCTCATTTGAGTTTAATTTCTTACGTAAAGAAGTTGTTTATTCTTGATGCTCAACCCTGGAAAGAAGGAACAAGAAGAACAGTAATTAAGGAGAGAGAATAATATCTATATATATATATATGCAGGTGAAATTAAAGCGACCAGATTTGTTAAATTTAGAACCGCCAATGGAATGTCAGTTTCCCTCCCTTGGTTCCGCATCACTCGAGCACATTTCACACTTTACAACATTAAAGTTCGCAGATTCCAATCAATAAGTGAGCACCAGGTGGATATTTTCTGTTTCTTGTTGTAGAGTTTCTTAAGGAAATCAAACCCAAAATCTTTTCTTTTTGGAACATATTCCTCTATCAGTCCATCTTAATCTGGCGTCCCTCCGTGAATGTCTTCCTTTTCTCTCGTTCATGATCCAGAACAGGAATAATAAAACTTGGAAAAATATATTCATAGGTCTTACAGTTTCACTTAATTTTAAATTAAGTCCATATAGTTTATTTTATTTTAATTTAATTCTTATTGTTTCATCTATTATAATATAGACTCTTGAAAGCTAAAATTAATAATGAATTATTAAATTTTACCAAATAAAAATACGCTTGGTTCTTGCAAAAAATTTAATTTAATACTTTTAGATAAAATTAAAAAGAGAAAATTTGATTTAATCCATTGTTTATATTTTTATTATACTTTTTTCATACAAATTCTACATTTATAAAAAATATTTTGAAGACAACCTAATTATATAAATTTTGAGTTATAAAAATTATGTAATTAATTCTAAAGTCATATAATCATTTAATAAAAATATAAAAGTTCTTAATTTTGTTTTTTAAAATAAAAATGTAAAGATTTTAACATTTTGGGATTAAAAATTTAATTGGTTAAATTATAAGGGCTCAATTAAAATAAAATAAACTTTAGGGATCTAATTTAAAATTAAGTAAAACTATACAAACCTACAAATATGTTTTTCCATAAAACTTTAATTCATTTAAATTTCTTTAATTATTGATTTGATCTTTTTTTTTTAATTGATAGCCATGAAATCTATATCGAAAGAAAACAAAACTAAGTCTTGTTAAGACCCGTTTAGATAACTCTTAAAAGTACATTCAAATTATATTTAAAATGTATTTTTGTTAACTTCAATAAATAATTGAATTTTTTAAATATACTTTTGCTAGATATAAACTGAAAACTAAATAAATTTAGAAATTAACAAACTTCTATATCCTAGAGGTGGAAAGTTCAATAAAATGATATGGTGAGAGTTCACGAGATGCTTAAGATGGGTTAGCTAGCCACAATTTTATTAGCATTTTTAAAAATATGGTTGAAGACAACGGTCCAGTTTTGCATAATGAGAATTTTTTTTTGTGTTTTAGTTGTAGAAGGGATGATTCAAGGACAACTCATTATTAATGAGCCTGTAAGAGCTTCAACTGAATCAATCCAAACATGGACTTTATGAATTTTAGTATTTTAACAAAAGGTAAGGCCTTTAAAAATATTCAAAAGCTTAACCTTAATATTAGGATAACAACTACAAAATTTAGATAAGTTAATACTAGGATAACAACTAACAAATTTAGATAAGTCCTTTATCCAATTTCCTTTACCATAAAAATTGATACTTTCACAAATTGTAACACCATAGTGGTTAACGGAACCATTAAAATTATTATTGATTTGATTTTTAAAGTTTAATTTCTATCAATCAAATACTTGAAGTTTCATCATAGTTATAAAATTTTAAAGACTCGATAGAATTTAAATTTTAGTAACTAAATTGATAATTAAGAAAATTTTAAAAGAGCAAAAGTTTTATTTTATTTTTTTTATGAAAAGAGCAAAAGTTTTATTATTGCTAAGAATATAACACACTCTTTCTTCTCTGTTTCCAACTATTTGGCGAAACAAAATCAGAATTACTCTCAACAGTAACATGAGAGTTTCCTCCAGAGGAAACAATATAGAAGTTACCATCACAGCGGAATTATTTATAAACAACTCTGGTCTCACCAAAAAACGTGGGGTTATAATTGTTCGGCAAATAGTACTAGAAATGGGTAATAATATACCCGCTGTCTTGTACCTTGAAGAATTTGCAGACAGCACTGAAATTCCTCGAATTTGTGGCTTATATTTGAAAGATAAACCATTCATGCATTCAAATTTTAGATTAACATCGTTACAAAGAACTGGAGGAATATTTAGGGGATATGTGACTTCATAGCCTATGAGTAGCTGAATTAAAGTTACGATCTTGTGTGTTTAACTGTGAAGAAAAAGCTACAGGTTAAACTGTTGAGAAGAGGGTATAAAACAGAGCAAGCAGCAGAAACCACTGATCAGACACGGTGGAAATCAAACCCCAAATTCCAATGAGATGATGTTAACAACTTGAGAAGAACAAAAGGCTGTCGGTATTAATTTAGACACATTTGTGAATGCATTTGTCTGGCAATTTCATATTCCTATTCTCAACAGATGAAGTATTATTGAGACTATGAGCATCTTCTTATCACATCAGGTTTCTTAATATTGGCTCCATTTCTTTCCCCTCTTCTGTTATTGTCGCATCAATTCTTTTCCTGGATATATGGTACATTGACTACACAAACCTCATCTCCCATTTGCATTAACAACTCAGATCCACTCTTCACTTCAAATTGCTATCTTTCTCTGTTCCGAATATACTTGAACGAACTTGAGCTCATTTCCACCCTTAACCTCGTTCTTTTTAAAGAGGATCAATTCTGTGACTGTAACTCAAAAATTAAGAGGCTCTAACAGAATTGCAGAAGCTTGAAATTCTTTCAGAATGAATGCCAAACAGGGAAGCATAGAAATAAGCATTCCTACAAGTACAAAAAGTGACAAGAAATGTGAAAGTAGAGGTCTGTGTAAAGCTTTGGCACAGAATATATGGGAAATTTGCAAGGAAGATAAGGGCAAAGCGATATTTGGTGTCAAAGTTGGTGTGGCTGCTCTTCTTGTGTCTTCTCTGGTACTCTTCGAAGCACCTTATCAAGCGCTTGGCACCAATACCATCTGGGCCATTCTCACTGCCATCCTGGTCTTTGAGTACACTGTTGGTACGTGCGTTCATGGCATTGCATGAAATGTTAAAGCAAGTATTAAATGAAGCTAGCATACGTGTAGTTATACATTGAATTAATTACTGTATTATTTGACTTTGGTTGTTTTTGATTTCCAAGGAGAAACCTTTAACCGAGGATTTAATAGAGCATTGGGGAGCTTACTTGCTGGAATCTTGGCTATTGCTGTTGCTGAGACGGCCCTGTCTTGTGGTCACGTCGCTCAGCCTATTATCATTGGCTTTAGCATCTTCATGATCGGTATGCTACAAGTTTCTTTCTTTCTTTCTCTTATTTACTTTCGTGCAACCTAAAGCCTGTCGTGTTATTGATTTGGGTATGTGAAGCGGCGGTGACGTCATTCATGAAAACTTGGCCATGGCTTAAGCAATACGAGTATGGGTTCAGGGTGATATTGTTAGCCTACTGCTTAATCATAACCGCTGGCTATAGAATGGGAAACCCCATTAAAACAGCAGTGGATCGCTTGTATTCAATGGTGATAGGAGGAATCATATCAGTGTTGGTCAATGTCATTGTTTTTCCCATTTGGGCTGGTGAGTTGCTCCATAAAGAGCTCGTAATCAACTTCGATTCTGTTGCAGATTCACTCAAGGGTGAGGAATCTTCAGCACTAATTCAGCTGGCATGCTCTGTTCTATTAAGTATTAAGCCATTGATTATGCTTTTAAACCAATGTAAATTTCTTGTGTCTGTATGTAAAAATCTCAGAGTGTGTGAAGAAATATTTACAAGACGATGGGCGTGAGCATTCTAGATTCAGAACAACTGTGATGGATGAGTTTCGAGACGAACCAGCTTATACCAGATGCCAGAACACCTTAAACTCAGGGCCACAACTAGAGACTCTGGTAATTATTTCATGTAATATATTTGTTGTAATGAAGTTTTAAAGCTGAGAGGGAAAGTGATGTTTATGGAATTTTGTTGTGATGGTATGATTGGAAGGCAAATTCAGCAAAATGGGAGCCACCTCATGGGAGATTCCTGCACTTTTTCTATCCGTGGTCAGAATATCAGAATGTGGGAGCAGCTTTAAGATATTGTGCTTATGAAGTTATGGCACTGCATTGTATTCTACACTCACAAATTCAGGTACGTGCGAGTCTGATAAAAACTTGAGTTCTTCGCTTCTTCCAATTAATGAAGAATATTTGCTGTGTCATTAGTTCCAGAATCTGTCAACGAGGGGTGTGTATCAAATTGCCGACTGGCTAGCTAGTGCTATTAAAGGATCATACTGTCAGAATCACATGTAACGTCCAACAGATTTGGCTGTAAAAGTTGACATATTTTATATGCATAGTCCTTCAAAGTAAAAACAACTACGGTTGTAACTAACGGCTAGGAAAAATGGTTGATCTTGAATTAAAATAATTTTAAAAAACCTCTATTACCCAACACCCGCTCTGAAGTTCTTTTTTAGATTCCATGATTTTGATGAGTGTTTCAAAAGTTTCACTTGGAAGGGTTATTACATCCCTTATCTAGTGTTCACTTTTGGAACTTGAGAAATTTTGGTTGCTTAATATAAATATATAATGGCCTTTTTTCAACGTCATTTTTTCTATTGGCAAAAAAAAAAAAAATACACCCATTTTTTTCAAATAAAGCCGGCCTTAAATTTCTTTGGAGATCCATTGTGTTTGTTCCTGGGACTTCACTCAGTGTCCCTCTTACCCTATATTGCAATTTTCAGGCCAATGTTGTTCACTAACATCGCCTACTGCTGTAGTTCTTATATATTTCGACCAGAAGGTTTAGTCCTTCTCATAAAAAACATATCATCAAATGAGTTGAATCTTCTTGAGGAATAGAATAAGCATATCAAATTGAAGGACCTTACTTTTCATTTCAACGGTCATCAACTCCAACCAGAAGCACCAAGCAGGGGACTGGCTGTAATCAAGACTTATCTTAGACTAAGGTGTCCAAACTGGCAGGGACTAGGTTCCTAGTTCTAGATATCGATCCTGTAAAAGATAATTCTGAATGAACACGAACAAGAAACAGAGCATTACATAGGTGAGATTAATGTGCTATAGTTTTTTTTTTTTTTTTCCTGGTTGGGTTTCAGGCGCCTTACAATTTGCGGATGACATTTGGGTCAGAAATCCAGGAAGTGTCAGATCAAGCTGCAGAGCTAGTGAGAGAGCTTGGAAGAGACATTAACAACATGAAGTGGAGTATTAAAAGTTCGCTAATCAAGAAAGTTCATAGCTCCACGGAGCGACTCCAACGTTCTTCAGAACTCCATGCTTATATACTCACATCCACTTTGGAATCTAAGCACCTCACAGTTTCCAAACTCTCTCATGCCCAGTCAATGTCGTCGTCGTCGTCCACCGCTATCAGCACCGTCGCACTCGCACCGGACCAAACGGCGGATCTTGACCCTGAAAAGAACTCAAACACGCAGGCCAAGAATGCTGGTGATGGAATTTCGCCGGCGGCACAACAAACAGAGTGTTATCATGAGATGATGAGGAGGCAATTCAGGAGGATATATTCGTGGCCGTCTATAGAGGTGGATGCCTTCGACGGAGATTATGGGACAACCTCGGACTTATTGCCCAGAATGAGAGCCCTGGAGAGTACTGCGGCCTTGTCGCTTACCAACTTCACTTCCACGCTGGTTGAGTTTGTGGCGAGGCTTGACCACTTGATTCAGGCGGTGGACAAGCTTTCCAAGAAAGCCAAGTTCAAGCATGAATCCTTGTAAGAAGATCAAATGGAATATTTTATCCTCATGTATCCAAGTTTCAGAAACTTCAAGATCTGGATTGAAAATTAACCCTTTATTATTATTTAATTAATATTTAATACTTGTTTATATTACAAAATATATATATATATATATATATATCTCTATCTTTAATGCCCTCTTTATTAAAAAATATAAAGCATTTTGTGTCTTTTAAAATATAGTCATTACCTTTTTTTTCTTCAAAAGTGCACCTATTAAATATATTACTTATTTTATATTTTTTAGGATGAAACATTTGATTAAATAGGGATAAATATAAGATTTCTATATGTTGAAGGTGAGATTCGGTTAAAAATATTTTATATTTTTTAACAGAGGGAGTATAAAATAAAAATTTAAATTTTTGCCAAACAAAATTTAAGATTTCTATATGTTACGATTCCAAGAGCATCTTAATGATAAAATTAAATGTAATTTAATTATTTGAAACATGAAAAGTGGTTTCAACAAAATTTTGCAACAAATCATTAGAAATTCACTTTGCAATTGCATCCTTTGAGGGAAAAAACTTGCGAATTTGAGCTCATCTGGTTGGCGGTTTTATTACTAATTAAAAGTGGATCTTAAACTTAAAAACATTAACAATAGTTAGTTAAAGAATTCATTTAAGTCCTGTTCGGTTACTGTAATAGAATGAATTAAAAAAATAAAAGTAAAAATAAAATAATTAAAGGAATAATAAACTACATTTATAAAAAAATGGGTAATTTAATTCATAAAGTTGAGAATCATGATTTATAAAATTTTTAAAGGGTGTGAATAATTTTTATATTTATAATATATATTAATGAGTTTTATCATGTTTATTATGAGGAAGAAGGAAAATATAATTTACTTTTGTATTTATTTTTTAAAAAAATTAATCTTTTAGTCTTTCAACTTTTAAGTCACTTGTAACTAAGTCCCTCAATTATGCCTCGTTGTGACTCAGTCCCTCAACTCTGACTCGCTTATAACTCAATCCCTTAACTTTTGAATTGCTTACAAATTAGACCCTTAACTTTTGTTAATTTTTTTTCATGTTAGCTTATATCTCACATCAATGAGCAAGAAAAGGGTATTTTAAAATAATATATGAGCATTTTTTATCTCTTTTATTTGATAAGAAATTTTTTTAAAAAAATTAAAAAATAAGGACCGAGTTATAGGTGAATCAAAAATTGAGAGATTGAGTTATAGTAAATTATAGTTGAGGAATTGAATCATAACGAATTATATTTGAGAAACTGAGTTATAAATAAGTTAAAAGTTGAAGGATTAAAAATTTTTTCGCTCATCTTATTCTAATAGCGAAACGGGACTTTATTTCGATTTGATCTGCGAAAAAAGAAAAGTACATCAGGCATCTATATACAGTATAAGTTGAGGTGCCCAAAGTTGGTACCCCCACATGCGCAATTTGAGAATAGGAAAAATAGTACAAGATCTTTAACAAATATTATTCACAGATAATAATTAATATATGAAATTAATTGATGTTAAAATAGTTAAATAGATTTCTTTTTTTTTTTCCAATGAGAACATATTATTGATTCTTATTTGCTAATAATATTCTCAACAGTTCTTGAGTGTGATTTTAAGAAAATATAATAATTTAATTATAATCTTGATTGTCTTTTTTGTTTAAAGTATATTTTCACGATCTCATATTTTTCAAAAAATGTACTTCATGGTTTCTCAAATTTTATTAATATATGCAATTAAATATACTTCTGAATAATGTTTTTACGAAGAGCTCTTAGAACATCTCTTACAGGCGAAAAGATTTCTAATTTATATCATATTAAAACATGTTTAAGTGCTGCTTCTTGCCAGAGAACATCAACACACGTCACTCACTCTCCAAGTCCTTACTAATTTAATAATTTTAATCTTCACTGGCCATATAAAACGCAGCCTCATAAAATCTGTAAGAGAAGCGTGGCCAAAAGTAAAACAACCACAATCTATTCTGCGAAAACCTGTCAAGCAGTTATTCACGCAAACAATGAACTCCTAAAAAAATAACGAACACTATCAACAAAAAGGGTTTTAGGAAAAGGCTTTTATTCCATGTAGAATACATAGCACACCAACAGAACGTTTTATCAAATATTATATGTACAAAGGATGAGCAAACAAACGCCAAATACCAAATTGAAGTACAATAAATATCCTACTTTGACACTGTTCCCTCCATAAGAATGCCAGCAACTTCGGAGTCCTCCCACCGCCAAGGTTGATAGAATAACCACCAATGATCAATGATCAAACATAAAAGGGAGCATACACGCCATGAAATTTGCCAACTTTAAAGACCAATAGCAACAACAAGCCTTTAGATCCAACTCTGTCGCCAAACGTAAGGTTTAACTAGCTCAGATGGATCACTAACCAAACCTCTTCTGCTAGTTGAACCAAGGCCAGAACTCCCCGCCAGCATTGCCAACAGACTCCCACCATGCACCCTACCTTCAGGAACAGCAACTGACATTGGCAAGTGGCTACCTTCACCGGCTGAGACACGAGCACTCACAGCAGCAGTTTCCACTTTTTTCAAATTCATATCCATGTCTCTGACAGTAACTACCTGCTTTAGTTCATCTGGTTTACTAACATGAGGATCCTGAACTGATCCCAAGGAAACACCACCGTGAACCCTCTTATCCTGCACCAGTCCATTATGAAGTGCACAGAGACCTGTTTTGCCCCTTGCAAATGAGTTACAAGGGCCGCCAGGCTGGTTGCTATATTCTGACCCAGGATGGCCCCAGGAGCATCTCTTCCCCCCACCATGTGCCTTGCAAAAATCAGTGCTCCCTTGCGCACTCTTTCCACACGCTTCAAACTTGCACCTCTTGCCTCCCCCATGTCTCACACAATAATCAGTCCGTCCCCTAGCACTCTTGGTGCACTCTGGCACAGCACATCTCTTTCCACCCCCATGTGCCACACAGAAGTTGGTGCCCCCATGCACACTTTTAGTACAAATCCCACCACCTTGGTATGCACATCGCTTTCCTCCACCGTGGCCCTTGCAAAAGGGGGTGCTCCCTTCAGCACCCTTAGTGCACCCTGGAGCAGTACACCGTTTTCCCCCACCATGTGCTTTGCAGAACATTGTGCTCCCTTGGGCACCCTTTGTGCATCCAGGAGCTTGGCATCGACGACCTCCACCGTGAGAAATGCAAAGACCTGATAGTCCTTCTGCACTCTTGGTGCAATTTTCTCTCTGGCATCTTTTGCCACCACCATGCCGGATACACAATCCTGATTTTCCTCTAGCAGCTCGAGTACAACCCTCATGACTGCATCTCCGGCCACCACCATGAGCAATACAAAAATCTGTACGCCCTTCCGCACTCTTCGTGCAACCAAGGAATTCACATCTCCTGCCACCCCCATGGGCCTTGCAGTACACAGTCCGACCCTCAGCTCCTTTGTGGCAACCAGGTTTCTGACACCGCCTACCCCCACCATGAGATATACAACGTCCAGAAGCACCCCTGGCTCCTTTTCCACATCCCTCAACTTGACATGTCTTAGAACTACTACTGCGATGATGTGTCTGTTGCTGCTGCGTTACCCCAGAAGTACAGGTGACTGCACTTGGTGTATTTGATGGGAGGTCCAAAACAAAGGGATTCTGGCTGAATTCCCTTGAAGCATGAGTTGAAATGAAGCTAGTGCCTGTATTAAAGGAAGTCTTCAATGATGGTAAAACAATTCCTTCCTTCCAACTGCAAGAAGTTGATCCCTCATCTGCATTTTGTGCCCCACTTAATGCTAATGGCATCTCCATGCTCAATGGAAGAGGCAAGGGGCTTGGATGAACACTAGTAATGTCAGACTCGGAGGGTCCAGTGGAAAGGCTCAACTCCAAATCAACCTTGGGCTGCAATTGCAAGGTCTTCAAATTTGAAGCAGCAGGTTTTTTCAGACTCTGTGCCTTTTCAGAACCAAGATGAAGTGTAAAGTCCAGCTCAATATCCATAGAGGATTCCTCATCAATTTCTTTGGCTGAAGACATAGCCGTGCAAGCAGTAGCTGAACTTCCCTTGCTGTCTGAAGAACTTGTTGAACGCCCAAGCCCAAGAGACAAAGAAGAGCCAATGCTCTGGCCCGTGCATCTATCCATTAACTCCCACTTTCTTTTTGTTCCCTTTGAGGAGGACATATAGGGAACTGAAGAACAAGGGGAATCAAGTCGTAGGATGGTGTCTGTGCCATAATCCACTCCAACTCCATCAACTTGCATAGAGTTTCCCAAAATATTAAATGCATTAAGAGAATGATTAGCAGACAAACCCAAGTTCTGGAACCTCCCGTCCATAAATCAATTGCAGAACTAATAACTAACTCTAATCAATTTATACAGAACAGCCTGCCTGACTTCAGGGTGAATAATTATATAACTATATACCTATCTCTACAGAATTACGGTTAGATGTTAGATGTAAGAGTACGATGCACCCCCACTGACAAAGCCAGAAGTATCACGTCGATCCATCTAATGGAAGTTTAAACAGTGGCTGAGTTTATGAGTTGTTGCAAGAGCAGACTAATCCAGCAAGATCTAATTCTTTCAAAAGTTCAGCTTGGATGTCAATCATCCTGTTAGAAAGAGATCACATTAGTAATGGATACGCAGACATTATAAATCATCCCAAATTTTTGAGTGCACAGAAGAGTCACAACACATACCAACTCCAAGAGATTGAAGCTTTGACTCATTAATATGCAAGAAGAAAATGTGAACCCAAGCATTCAAACTTAGTTGCCCAAAACTTGACTTCAGTATCTGACTTACAAAAAACATAAATTCTAAAATAATTATTCAAACTGTTGGGGCTATACCACAGCAGATAACCAAACGGTGGCATGGATGCCTATCAAAAAGCAAGAAATTCAAAGAAACCAAACCAAAAAAAAAAACGGAATAATAGTCAGTAACCTTGCATCATTCTCCAAATTATTTAACATTTTAAAAGACAAGAATGGAAGAATAAAACATAAAAGTTATTTATTCTTCAATCCGTATAATCTCTCCTATTGATCAAAAGGGTTAAGGCTTGGAACATGGTGTTGTACATATTCAACGCCAAAATGATGACTAGGGCTAGAAATTCGAAAATAGACAAACAATAGGCAGACAACTAGAAATGATAAAATTGGATTAAGAAATTAATCCAGAATCTTATCAATTCAAAATTAAAAACAACACAAGAATACATATAATGATTGGAGAGAGATCAAATCATGATTATTATCATAATTATCGTGATAATCCTAATGAATTCAAAATATGTCTTCCCCATCAACCGGCCAACCCAACAGCAAAACATATAATAGCTGATAGGCGATAGCATTCTCAAAACGTGTGCAAGAGAAGGTACTCACTTTTACACTGTAACATACTTAATCACAAGCAATGGAGGTGAAAAGTAATCGAAGTAGCATGTACCATGAGCCGGAAAAAAAAAGTATTTTAGAATGAAATGTGTAAATTGAAAAGGTAAGTAATGAAAAAGAAGCGGGGAATCGCAAAACAAATCAAAGTGATCGGAGTTAATCCGACGGTGGGTTGCAACACTAGAAGTTGCCGGATAAATAAAAAGACTGGTTTTTTCCAGCTTTCACCATTCTATTCACGGAACTAATCAAACTTTCCAATTTTTCACTCAGCACCAGAAGGGCTGCAGTATTGAGAGTTTAAAAGAAGATTACACTTTTTTTATCCTTCAGCCAAAGTGCATCCTCCTTGCAATTCACACAATCCCAGCAATCAAAGAGATAAATTGATAGCGTAAAAGACCCGAAAACGACAGCGAAATTGATAGGAGCATTAAACACAGAAGAGTTCCGCATGACCGGATGGGAATACACTCATTACAGATCAGATTGAATCCCAGGGGGGAAAACAGGATTTTAAGATTCAACAATGAAGAGCTTGAAAAAGAGTTACCTAGTTCATGGATTTGATATGATAGGGAATTATCGGGCAAGACAAATAGAGTAGAGGAAGAGCCTTAGGGTTTTATAAGGCGGCAAGGACGAGAAGGATTTGGTTGGGGTGAGAAACGCGAGCGAGACCGACAGGGAACGGTGAGGTGTAAGGGATGGTAATAATAAGGGATGAGAATGCGAGTTCAGGGTCACGGCGCATGCTTGGATCCAGACGTGGCTGTCTTTGTAAGATGGAGAATGGAGCGACTAGGGTTACGTTTCTATTTTCTTTTATCATTATTATTATTATTTGATGGAATGTTTATTATTCTCTCCTCATATTTTTAATAAAATATTATTTTTTTAATAAAATAGTTACCTATTTTATAACGAACTCTATTTTTTTATATTTATCTTTTTAAAATACCTTATAATAAATATAAAATTATTAATTAATAATTACACTTTTGACAAAAAAGTAATGATTATATCTCAAAAAATTAAAAATACAATCTTATGAGATGGAGAATGGAGCAACTAGGGTTACGTTTTTATTTTCTTTTATCATTATTATTATTATTTGATGGAATGTTTATTACTCTCTCCTCCAATATTTTTAATTAAATATTATTTTTTAATAAAGTAGTTACCTACTTTATAACTAACTCTATCTTTTTATATTTACCTTTATAAAACATCTAATAATAAATATAAAATCATTAATCAATATCTTATTATTTTCATTATTATTATGTTGGAATATTTTCAAAAGAAAATAGTGTAAACTAAGAAGTTAGTCCCTCCAATACTATTTATATGATACTTTTTAAAAATATTTTTTAATTTAAAATATAAGATATCTTATAATAATTAAATTATTTTTTTAAAAAATTTACCCTTTTTGATTAGTATAAAGGTATTAGTATAATTGTATCATTATTTAAACTCAAAGGCACATGTCATTTTTTATTATATAAAAAATAAATTTTTTTTAACATGCATAAAATAATTAAAAAAATTTTACAATAAAAATCAGCTGAAGCATGTCTTTATGAATTAAAAAACTTTTATGAGAGATTACATGGAGAGTTATAGTTACCAATGCTGTGTTGCTCTAAATTCTTTTTATGGGAAGTTATTCTAAATAACTATTGGTTAATATTAATTATTAAATTACGTAAGTTCATGAACTAATATGAGGATATTTATGAATTAATATAAGAGTTATGAGCCAGCATTAATTATAACTTTTAAAAAAAGTTTTACTATTTAAAATGCATCATTTTAAAGCATCACTTCAATATTTATAAATAATCCTCACCATTACTTATTTGAGACATCTAAAAAAAATGCATACATTAAAACCTATTGTTTTTATTCTTTTGAATGTATTAAAAATAAAGTGAAACTATCATTTTATAAAAATTATTATTGTCTCAGCTAGAAATTTGATATACTCGAGAATCTTTACCGTATTTTTAAAGAAATTCACACTTAACCCAATTTGCATCCAAAATTTATAATAGATGAGACATATTAAGCCTAAAAAAGCACTGTGCACAACTTTCTTTGTTGCCCTATTTATTTTGTTCCTAGGAGCCATGGCCACAAACATATTATTATTCTCACAGTAACTGATTAGTGTGCTATGTTTTGTCGTGTTTCTGATAGTCGTGCGGGTGAGAGTCTCTCAACCCAAGAACTGATAAAAATTACTCTCAACCCAAGAACTGATAAAAATTACTCATAAAATTTTATACTTGGGATTAGCTTTGGTGGTATTCCGAGGACAGAATACAAATATTTATAGTTTAAATATTACTCATATTTAAAAGGGATTAAAATGGCTGTTTGATTTGATTTTTCTTCGTCCGAACGGAGGACAAGTTTTTTTTTTTTTTTGACCAAAAAACGGAGGACAAGTTGAAAAATGGATTTGCACATTTTCTATGGGCTCCATTGACTTCAGCTAGCATAAATGATGGGACTTGAATATAACCAGCGGGCAATGCCGCAAAACAGCGTGTAAAAGTTTGATGTTAAAGGTTAAACTAAACATTTATAAAATGCCACTATCTTTATTTTAAATTATGGAATATTTAAAAAAATTATTTTAAAATATAAGACACTTTTAATTAATTAAAATTTTATTAAATATACTGATTTTGATATTATATTTTGTCTCTCTATAATTAATTTTTATTCTTTCTCTTTTTAATATATTAAATTATAGATATTTTTAAAATTTTATATTTTTATTTTTAAAAAGATAAGGTTGTTAAGTATATTTAATAAAATTTATTGGTATGTGAAATTTTATCTAAAAGTATTTTATAATTTGAGATAAAAGGAGTAACATTTAAGTGAAATTATAATTTTTAAATATTGTTCATAAATAAAAATAATTTCTTAAATTTAATTGTTTTCAAGTTTCACACGATATTATTACTTTTTAAAGATGAAGAGTAGATAATGACGACAAAAAATATCTCTTCTGAAATATTAAAAATTGAAAGCAAATTATATACTCATTCCGTTCAAAGTTGTATTGAAAAGTGAAAGCAAATGATATGCTTTCCCGTTGAAAATGCAATAAGATAATTTTTAATAAAATCTCATTTTTTAATAAAATAATTATTTATCTTCAGACTAACATTATTTTTTTGTATCTGTTTTTATTTAAAAGAATATTTTATTTTAAAATAAATATAAAATAATTTATTTATTAAGAATATTTTTTAAAAAAATTATAACAATTATATTTTAAAATATTAAAAAATATTTTATATTTTTAAACATACAATCTTTGTAACTGAGGGAATATTTCTTCCAACTAAATTGCTGACTGAAATAGTGAAATTTGAAACACAGTAACTTTCTCGAATGGTGAGAATCGTGTCATTTAAACTAACTTCTAATGGATAGGTGGGGGGTGGATGAAGACAAAAGAGTAGGTTAACGTGAAATAATAATTGTTAGAGACTTGAACGGCGGAGAAAACCGAAGTGAAAAAAATAGAGAGCGTGGATGGGGGAGGCTGATTGGGGATGGGGGTGGCGTGGCGAAACGAGATCGCTAAACACCGAACAGATTCACATAAGGTCCCTATCCTCTCCCTCTCACGTCAACCCTTGATGCCCATCTTTCCCAATTCCTCCTTATTATTCATCACTCTTCCCTTTTTACCCTTCTCACTAAATCATTGTTCATGCCACCAAAATCTCAATTATGCGTAATTGTTTTCGGAGATGAAGATATTAATTAATCAGTTAGGTGCATACCAAATGGTTGGTTCATATGAGAGGATATCATCTGATGAAAAGCCCGTAAAAACCAAGTGCTGCTCCATGTCAATTGTTAAGCTTATATAAATCCAGCCATTTTTTCACGTAATGGATCGATCAAGTTTTAATTTCAATCCCTATATCGTCTTCTCTTGTCAATCATTGGATGGTCTTGTGAGGAACCTTCCTCGCTTCCACATTGCGTTAACCAACAAATGCATTTTATACTTAAAAAAATTGATGTTCCATTGAATAAGTAATGACATATAAAATAATTATCATAAATTATAATCAAAATTGTTCATTATACAAAACTCGTGACTAAAAATTCTATTGTAATTTCAAATTATGGTAAATTAAGCCTCGAAATTAATAAGATCTACGAATTTCAGGATAATTAGCTCCATCCATGGGACTTACATGTCAATACCTTGTTTTGGACGTCCTCGTATGTCATTATGTTTGTTTTAAAAAGAATAAAAGTCAAAGGGACGTAGGGTAAATAATTGAAATGGCAGGATGGGGGAATATGACCGCATGAGGGCGAGTGGGAAGGCAAAGGATATGCCGAGTGAGATTCGGTACGTAGGGGGCACGTACCACGCTGGGAGCGTGGACTTGGAAGCGAGAATCACGTTCACACGGAGTCACCAGTCCAGTGTTGGCGAGCAACTAAAAGGGCCGATTTTCGGGCATATGCCCATTGGTCCCCCTAAATCGTCTCGTCTACCCCTCTCCCATCATTTAAATCATACAATTCAGTATCTATCAATTCCCTCGATTTCCATTGCAAGCCCTTTTAGAAATATTTTTTAGTAAAATATGATGATTTCTTTTTTATTCTGATAAAATTACAGAATTTTTTTTATTTTCCCTTTAATTCAATTATTAATATTATTAAAAATATTTCATTAAAAATTTCAGAATACCTAATTTTTTATTTATAATTATGTTAAATTTTTAAAATTATTAATTTTCTGTTATAATCTAACTGTTTACTCTCTATCTCTCCCCTAATTTTAAAAACTTTGAATAGTTAAGTATGTTGATATTTAAATGAATAACTTAAACATTTTGTATTAAAATTAATGAAATTGTTTAAAATATTAATATAAATTATAACAAGCAATTTAATATATTAAATTCTCATTTTATTTCTATAAAAAAAAAATCCTTATTTCATTAAGTTTTTAAATTGTGTTTTTAATAAATACGTCCACAAAACAAAATATTTAAAATATAAATTAAAAAGAAACAAATATATATATATATATATATGCATTGATTTTTTTTACTTAAATAGGAGCATTTTGATCCAACTTATATAACATAACAGTCAACTAATGATTGAGTGAATAAAAATAAAATATTAAAAATAAGGAGGATGTTGTGTTTTGTAATTATTTATATTAGAAAAGGTTTAAAAAATAAGAGAAAAAAATATGTAATTAAAGTAAAATAGAAGGGAGATCACAATATCTTACTCAATATTTTTCAATCCTGAATGTAAAACACACAATGCCTATTAAATTTTTTAAAAAATATTACATTTATTTTACAAATTAATCATGGAAGAGAATGTAATCTAAATTTAAAAAATTTTCATTTAAATAAAGATAAAATTAAAATATTATTATATTTTTAAATAAAATTAATAATTTAACCATCTCTTACTAATTTTAGAGAGGTAATTGAATGTGTTTTATAATAGGAATTGGGGATCTGTACTGATTTAATTTCATTATAAAATCAAATCCAAATACTTAGTGCATTTGCTATACTCTCTTTGTTAAAAATTATAAGGTATTTTTAAATAAATTTTACCTCTAATAAAGTAGTTATTTACTTTTAAATTAACTATATTTTTTTATATTTATCCTTATTAAACACCTTACAATAAATATAAAATTATTATCAATACGAACACTTAAAAAAAATAATAACTATACAGATTAAAAATGATTTATGTTTTTAATATTTAATTTTTTAAAAAATATTTTATATTTTTAAATGAAAAGAATATTAATTTAATATATATATATATATATATTTTGGTCAGAGCCATATTCAATATCAGTGGGAAAGAGAAGGTTGACTTGGAGGAACACAGTGATGACGTGTCCACTTGCACGCTCATGCCTTTCAAGCGGGAGCTACTTTTTGATTCTTACCAGTGGGCTACCCACAGGCCACATGCGTCTCTTTCATACTTCATTCCACTCTTCGTCAACATATAAGATACAATAAATTATTTCTCTGCACAGCATGTGAGGGCCGGTTTAAATTTCAATTAAATATAATTAATTATAAAAAATTAATTAACATAATTATTTTTATTATAATTAATTATGTTATAACATGTTTATGTTTGAATATTATTTTTTAAAAATTAATTTTAATAAAATTAAAAATATTTAACAACTTAATTAAAATTAAGTTTAGATGTACAAATTACTATAAAAGATATTATCTTTTAAAATGTAAATACCGATAAAATTGTATATATTGTTATTAAATTTGTTGAACTCTGTCTAATAAATAAAATATGCATGATGGTGATGCATTTAACATTTATATTGCTTTTTTCATGGAATAATATTTATATTATTATTTAACATGCAAATAAAATTTTAAACTTTTTATATTATAATACTAATAATTTAATTTAGTGTTATTATTATTTAATGTTAGTACCTGCCTTCATAAAGTTAGTGCATTAACTCCTTTCACTCTTGGCATAGAGATGTGATGAAGGAGGACAACATATTGCATATTCGACGAAGGAGGGAGGACAAATATCAGAGGATATGGTCAGGGTTATGTTTGGCCCAAGAAATTTTTGACAAATAATGAATACATTTGATGGTCTAAAAGCCACTTCCTTCAAAAGGAGTGTAAAGTCAAATTACAAATTAAAAAAATCTTTTATCAACTCCCTCCGTTCAGGAATGGTGGTTTTTGATCAAAGACATATAACACATTATCAAAAGAGTGACAAGAGTGGGTTAAAGAGTGGACAAGACAGTGAACTCATCTAAACATAAAATGTAGATAAATAATTTATGTGCAAAGAATAAGTTTGGTATCTTCCATAATCTTTTGAAAAGGATGATTGGAAACTTGTTCTTGAGATAGTAAATTCAACGCAACAGCACAATCATTGAATAGTTCAACTTTAATAAATCATGATATCAATAAAATTTTAAGCCAAGTTTGATTCCAATAAATTCCACAATAGTTGAAGGAACTTTCTCTAATTTACAACAAAATCTTGAAATCCAGTATCCTATAACATTTGTAATAACACCTCTATAAGTTGCTTATCTATTTGATATGATCAAATCATTAACGTCAATTTTGACACAATTTGAAATAAATAGATACCATTTTTATTGTTGTCTAAATTAATTCCTTGTATTTTTAATTTTCCTCAACAGAGGTTGATAAGCACGTGCTTTCATAATACATTTCTTTACATCCATAACAGGAATATTATCTTCCAAATCAAAAAATCTTTTATACGCATAAGTGAAGAGAAAAAACAGGTATTTTTGTGTGTTAAGTTTTTCAATGTCTTGTTTTGAATTATAAGTGATTCACTAAGCAGTGTCAAGAAGACTCAGGAATATTTGCCATTAGTCAACTTCTGTTAATTCCCCCCTGATCACACGTGCTATTTGGCAATCTTTCATCACATGTAAGCTTGTTTCTGCTTCGTTACACCCAAAAGGGCAGCTCTAAAAACGAGACTTTGATTCAAATAATCAATTATGAGAAAATGGAAGTTTTTGGGTGTTTTTGGCCAAGGTTTTGGTTCGGATAATTAATTATCAATGTATATCCAAAAAGGCACTAAATTGATCTAAAACATTGCCTTTTTTCTAAACAAAATCCACTAACACATAACCACTAGGTCAAATGTTTGATAAACGAAAGCCATGCTACAAGCATCTTCTTTTTCGGCCAAATTGACATACTACAAGTATATTGTCTACTAGTGGAATTACGTTGTCATTACAAAATTCAACCCAAAAAGGGGGGAAAAAAACGCCAAAAAAAACTCCAGACGCCCCTGCATTCTTAATGTCTTGTCTTGGTGGCTTGCCTGTGAATTTGGGAACTTCACGAAACTAACTTCAGGTGAAGCTTAACCTCTAATTCACAATTTCGAATAAGGTCACTGCAGCGAAGACGAGAAACAGAGAGCCTCCTATGAAGGCGATGACCTTCAAAATGGAATAACAAGAGACTTGTTAGCTTTTCGCTGCGTAAGGTATATTCCCACAAAACAAAATCATCACAATAACAAAAGTAGTCCCATTCTTCGCCCATAGTGCTATATGTCTACAGAATATAAACCAGAGTAAAAGGACGTCCAAATATTCTTATGCTTATATAAGGTACTTTGAGCCATCCCCACCGGCGAAGCTTCCGTTTCGCCACGTCTTGTCAGGTTGAACGAACATGTTCGTTCCAATAATGGCGCCTCCAAATAATCCTCTGCCATGTTGCTCTTGTTCAGAGCAGCCATATTAGAGATTTTATACCCATTTTCATTGGCTGTAAATTAACCACTTAAAAGAGTTGCGCAAGCTGGATTCCATACGCTGCACTAATTCAATAAAGCAATTGTAGAACATATCTCAAGTTTTGTTGTTTATCCTAGTAAGTAGAGCACGCCCTTTTGTTCGATTGAGGGAACTCTTAAGTTGGAAACTGACGTCATAGAGAACACAGCCTATTAGGAACCGAGGCAAAAAGTCAAATGTTACCTTCTCTGATAAAAATGTCCCAAGTAAAGAGCCCCCCAGTACTGCTAGCTGCATTTAAAAGAAACCGTGATCCAAAAGTAGCCCATAATCACTGTGGAAATGCGACAGGAAAGGTAGAACGACTTGTTGGAGAGTTAGAAATAACATAATCATACTATGTGCTTAATTGGAGGGAAAGTTAGGTTGCATAGATACAAGTACGAGTATCTGATACGATATGGCACGATACGGGGATACGGGAAATTTTCAAAATTTTAGGATACGGGTACAGGGATATTTATAATATATATTTCAACATTTTATGATATAAGTATAGGTATTTTGATTTTTAAACAATAATTTCTAAAGTAATATAAGGATATTTATAGTAATTAACTAAAATATTAAGTGTTTTTTCAAATTTTTAAGTAATATACTAAAAAATTATTGAAAAAAAATCATATTATAAATGTTAGAATATAAGATACGTATGCAGAAGTATCCTACAAGTATCGTATCGAATACGGGTACGTTTACTTTTTTGAAGTATCCGCTACATAGAGGGAAAGTGAGAACGTGGTAATTGACACTGTATCTAGACTTAGATCACGGATGATGCATTGTTATTTTCCACCCACCTATTTTGACCTGGACCAAGCACGCGTGTTCTTGATATTCAAGGTCTCACTAGAAATATAAGTAAGCCGTGCGGTAACATGCTTTACAATAATTTCTTCAAAAGCCATCGCATATTTTTGTGTTTATTTGAAGAGCACTTGGAGCATAAGCACTTTCAATAAATCATTTAGATGAAGATCAAAGCATAAGTGTACTTACAGGCTGTTCATTTATTCATTTTCCAATATTTTAGGCGATGATTTTAGGACAAAAAAGTTGTTTCAATATTGTTCAGGAAACTTTCCACGTTAAAAGTGTTGATTTATATTATCTTCGTAAACAATGCATGCTTGTTTCTCTTAAGCATGACATATGTTCATATCCAGAAGATGCATCTACCTCTAGATACTGCTATCAAAGGTCCACTTAAGTTCGAAGCAGAGAATTACCAAGGTTGCAACACCATGACCAGCCAGCGCTCCCCCAATGACTCCAAGGGGTGAAGAAGCTGCTGCAAGGGCTGCATAGGAGGAAAAGAATGCGGGAATATGTAAACTCTTTCTGAACTATGCATATATAAGAGTCAAAACTCAGCTTTAGGGTCTCTTTTGTTCCATTTATTTATGCAGTTTATATGTTTACTTATACGCTGGTTTGTTCATTTAGGTGCAAGATGCTTTTGTTTTCGGTAGGTGAGATTAAAGGAAGATTTCTTTCTTACCCCTTTCGCATACATTTTAGCACAGTGAAATGTTTAGTCTGAAGATGTCAAAACACACTATACTTTTCTAATCCAGGTCTTTTCAAGTTTTTATTTTCTAATTTTGCTTCACTAAATAGAACTGTCCAAAATTTAGCATGAACAAGGAGAAAAATTAAAGGAGGGCTCCTCATTACACGCGATCCATATATGACAGTATGCTTTATCAGCTAGCAATTCTAGCTTTGCTACTCACCAATTGTAGAAAAAAATGATTTGTCACCCCATTCAGCAACAAAAACTAGGAGAAAAGTGCTGACTACTGTACTAGCAGCAGCTAGTATGCCAGCACCATTTCCTGAAAATTCTGAAACTGCTAACTCTGCCTGGTTAAGAAATAAACAATTATATACCATTCAAATTCACCTATCAAAGTGGGGTGTTAAATAACATTGCAAAGTGCAAAACCATTTCAATGCCAAGTAACTCAGGGCATCAGAATTCATGTATCCTCATAGCACACATTGTGCTGGGACCGAGATATAAATTTAATGTCAGTATTACCTCCTTCTGCTCATCTTCTGATTGACCATCACTAGATGAAGCATCCAGCAAGGTAGAGATCCCAAAATAAACCTGAGGTCAATTGAACACAGCATAAATTTGAGAGATGACTTTGTTTAAGAACAGAAAATGTAATTCATGCAAGTTAGACACAGGATATGCATTGATGCAGCAAAAGAACTAGCAGATGATATTTACCAAAAGGCAAACAGCAGCAATGTCATCAACAGGTAAATCAGTCTCACCGAACCTGTGAAAGCACAGAGAGAACAAGTCTTGTGCAAGTCACTCTTAAACTCTGGCTAATGATATTTTTCAATAAACTAATCAGTCTGATTAAGGTTTCAGGTCATAAGGTTCTAAACTCCACAAACAAAAAGCAAAAGGCAGGAAATGCGCGAAAAGAAATCCTGACTCCAAAATTACAATTATATCATTAATTGAAAGTTGGATATAATAAATAGACACTTCCCATTTGCATGGTGCAAACTTAGTCTTTTCTCAAGTTAAGATATTACACAATTTCCATCATATTGTATCCTGATAACTTGAAACATAGATTGAAAAGTCACTGGAAGGATTTCAATTATTTGCACCCTGTCCATCCGTGCATGCCATATCAGAGTCTAGCCCAAAATAATCTTGAAAAGAAGCCAAGTACCTGAATGGCAATATTTCATCAACATAATGAAAAGTTCGTCCAAGAACAACAGATACAATAGTCATTGCCCTGTGAATAACAAATAGATATTAGTAATCTAAAGAATGACATATAATTGAAGAATCTATACTTTTATATATAGAATAAATATCAATAACAAAAAGTCAGCCAGATTTTTTTATTACTTAACAACTAAATGCTAGTAAGATGCAGCCAGTGTAACTGAGACTATTCACTTGTAGACACATCACATGCCTAAGGACTACAGCACAGGGGAAATTCGTGTTCTCTCCAGAAGGTTTGGCCAGAAAATCATTTACTATTGATTCTTCCCATTAATTTGACTCCAAGGAGGATTTTATTCTTCCACTTTTACTATATTAGACGGTCAATATTTTCACAGTAGTCACTTTAATCAACTTATTGCTCAAAGTGAGTAATTATAAGGAACTCCACATAGGTGAAGTATAAACCACAAGGAACATCTAAGTCACTGAAATATAAAAGCATACGCAAGTGCACCGAATGTCCCAATGAAAGTGACAGCAGCTGAATTCCTAGCAGCCAATAGTGCCTGCACAAGACATCATCTATCCAAATTATACAAGATATCATTGTCATATCCAAGCATAATCATTCTATTTCACATGAAATCACAAACAAAAAATGTGAAGAATTTTTGTGCCCTTAGTTTCACTAGAACAAACTTACATTCAGAATAACAGTTTGTATATGTCACCAACCATCTTTTAAAATGAAATTACGAAAATTAACAAAAAGGTCACCATGCTTTAGCAATTCTAAACTTCTATTTCTCCATTATTCCACTTTTGAACGGGCATCAGCAAGCCATGGATTGTTGTACACTTACTGCAATGAAGAAGGTCTTGTCACCTAGTTCTGAGAAAAAAATTAGGAGGAAAGCCTGCAATAAAGTGTGCAGGAAGAGATAATCAGTCCTTGAGATGCAATCATTAAAATCTAAGTGATTAAAATTAAATTTAAAAAAACATCGCTTGGTTCATCATAATCTGTTTTGACTAAACTTTCAATCTTAAATGAGGGCAGAGAGTAACCCCAAAACTCCAAGTTCCAATGTCCCTTCTAAATGTATTACTTTGCTTGAAGTAGCTAAAAAAGTCTGACCGTAAAAGTGACAAGGAGATTTTACTAACTGAAGCAAAACCTGTGCTTATATCACCCAAATCTCCTAATATAGGAACTGAATTGAACCCACTAGCCAAATCTGAAGCAGCAGCTGGATAAGAGTCTTGAAATGTGAGCAACCCAAACAAAATCATAAACTTCAGGAGTCCACTGGATGAACTATTAAAAGAAACTTCTGTAGCTACGTAATATTCCTGGTTGGAGTTCTCGACAACCAGTATATTTGAATTACTGCAGTTGCTCATTGCGTCACCATTCTTGTAAACATGACTCAATTTCTGTGTCAAGATACACATGAATTAAACATGTTACATCTATAATGACAAAGGAATTGACGCTAATAAAAATATTAATTAGTGCAACAAGCCTCTCTGAACGAAAACGGCATGGTGCAGACCAGAAAAAGTAAAAACAATCAAAAGCATTCAATCAGGCCAGATGAAAGGAAAAAAAAAAAAGTTGGCGAAAGTAAGGATCATATGGGTTTGCAGCCATAAGTTAAGAGCAATTGCGACTACTTTGACGAACCAAACATGTAGCCTTTGAAATACATCATCCAATCAATAGTTGGATTTCAGCCCAAAACGAAAGTCCATTGACAATTAATCAGACGGCCGAATCGATTTAGTTTAGAAAGAGACATGCTTCTTTCCTCTTTACTACGGACTAAATTCTCCCCTCCCCACAGAAGAAGGAAACTGAAATTGAAATTTGAAAGGAACGCTGGTGCAGAGAATTACCCCGGGGTCCCTCAATTTTTGAAAACCTTGTTGTAGATTGTAGTAAGGTCTCTGCTTGAAGGTACCTGCATACCTTTGGGAATACCTGCGAGATCAACTTTCACATTATGAGTTTGCACAGAAGTTGAATAACGTAAAAGCAAGATAGTCGCAATTTTGTTGGCTTCCCAAAATTCGGCTAGAACCCCATTGGATATCCGGCCAAACAGAGGAGAACTGGCTGTCCAATGAGAAAAGAAGAATTTCAAGTGGCAATTGTTAATATCTTTACTAAGGACAGTACAGTATTTACCTGGAGGAATTGGAAGTCGGAAATTCAAGAGCGAGCTTTGAAGTATGCTTCTTGGAGTGGGAATTGGAAGAGAGAAGAGAACAGGTGAATGGTTTGGGAATGTAGAGAAATGAAGGAAGTGAATGTAGCCTCAAAATGCTCTCAGAGAGAGTAAGGCCACGCATTCTTGTCTCAGTATGCTCTGTGTGCTCTGGGGAAGGTTACTCCTTCACTAGGAATGGATGTCTTGTTGGTTTTGTTTTGGGATAAGCTTAACAGAAAGCAATAGAACGGCGCCACCAAAGTTCTCACACACGACACTGGGGCGCAGGTTATCTGGCTTTCCCTCGGAATAAATTGGTTAGTGGTTATCCGTTTGCCAACGGTAGTCTTTTTGCAAATTCGTGGCCCTTATCGGGTTTTTCAGAGGGAAAAGGGTAGCCCATAAAAATTCCGCGTGCCGATGTTTTAATTTTTGACTGAGCTTGGGCTTAGTAATGCCATGGGCTCAGGTTTGATGAGCGAACCTGCAGTCATGGAATCTGATTCAAGTATTCTCGAAGCTAATTAGAGGAAATGTGCCAAAAAAATTTCCCATTCACACAGATATGACATGTTTCACAGGGAACAACGCTTGTTGATAGCCTTCCCTCTTCTTAAGAAGGCCACAAATAAATTATGCTAAATGATAAATTGTATCTTATCAGCATACAAAATGCTTTTACAATTAAGTAGTGAAGTATAAAAAAAATGAATGTTTAAATTGTCAATAGAAGCTTGATGAAACCTTCTATCTTCTTTAAGCATGGTTGAGTTTTTCTTTTGTCTTCAACAATTGACAAAATGAATAGCCATCTAAATTGAATTATATCCATAGGAGATATTAACATTTTATGAAGACCAAAAATTTCATATTGAAAGCTAACGTCAATTTGGTCAACAAATTCTCGAATTTGATTTCATAATATGAAATATTAGATAATTGTATCAAAAATAAAAAACAATTGAATTAAATCATAAAAATGTAAAACAGAATTCTAAGAGATATTGGTTTGAGTGGAAGGTCTCTGATTTTTTTTCCTTTTAATAAGTGGTTATGGGTTTAGTCCTCAATTCTTGCTTAATTGGGAAGGATTTTTTTTTTTTTTTTGGGTATCTATGTCTCAAAGAACATTAGTTTTGGTTGTTAGTGGGAAGATACTCTTAATCGAGGGATCGTAACGGTGCAACTTTCACTTTTATATTTCCCTGATCTTATTTATAAAGCAGATAAAGAAAAAAATTTAATTCTATTTATAGAATACTTGTCAATTTTTAATACTATTTTTTTACATTCTTGCTCTTATTAAATATTTTGAATAAAAATATCAATAATGAAATTTAAAAATATTTATTATGAATAAAGATGAAAACCTATTAAATTTTAAAATAAAATTAATAAGGTTTAAAATTTTTCTTAATTTCAGTGAAATATGTTAAAAATAACTTATAAATAAAATTAGAGTGATTATTGATTGATATGCATATACATATACATATACATATATATGGATTTTATGAAATATAAATAATGATAACATTCAATTCTTTAAAAATGTGAAAATACAATAAATATTCGGTCATACAAATTAGAATATCTTGAAACCAAATGAAATCTCAATAATTAAAACGAGTTACAAGTTAAAACTCTCGGCCAAAAAGGGAGATTAAAACGAAGGGAGAAAAAAGCAAACAGACGAGTCAAAGCGGATATAAAGCAAAGGAATCACCAACATTCGTGCAAGTGGATATGGACGCGAAGTCGGAAATACACTTCACCCTCAAAAGCATCAGTGATCAGAGTAGCAATGCCTCTGGCCATGAAGAAGTCACCGGTGCCGCCGACAATGGAGATATCTCTGGTCCTGTTCATCAAAGGGTCGGCGCCGGCGAAGTTGATGCTTCCCCTGAGACGACTCGAGTTGAACACAAAAGAGAAGCCCAACCAAGCCGTGAATATCTCCTTCTTATCGTAAAAGTAGAACCCCTGAGCTCTACCCACTGGCGTCGAGTTCAAGTTATCGTTCAGCGTAATGGGATCGTCGAACACCACCATGTCTCCGAAATGATTCTGTCCCGATAACTTGATCTTGTTTCCCCATGCAGGAGAACCCACGATGGCTGAAGTTGCATTCGCTGCGTTCCTGCCATTGTAGAGTATATCGTGAAAGTGAAGCACCAGCTTCCTGCATGGCTTTCTTTCAGCTTGGATTCGCATCCCGTCACAGGTAATCACGAGGAGGAACAATAGCAAAATTGGTGATCTTAGTTTTTGACTCTCCATTTTTGGTTAGTGGGTCGTTTCTCAATAGAAGTTCGTTCTCAGCCTTGCCACTTGCCAGTGATCGTGCAGGTGTGTGGCTTTATAGTTTACAGGAAGCTTTGGCTTGTGACTTCAGAAGTGTGGCTTTATAGTTTATAGGAATTGATTACTGCTCAAGCTTCACTTCAAAGCCAATAGGTCAAAGACAGCTCGTTACAATTAAAAAGGGCAAACGACCACTTGTAACTCTGGTTTGCTGTTCTGTTTTTCCCGGTTGCTTCAAGTTTACCATGAAGCTCACCATGTCGGGCACTTTTGGTAAACTTGGTAAATAATAATAAATCCTTTATATCACTGCTTTTTTTTTTTTTATTTTAAAAAGCACATTTTCCTGCAATTTCTTTCACCGAAAGTTATGTAATTTCAAGAGTATTTCCACTGAGGTCACACTCCTGCATTTTTTCACCTAAAAATATTTAGATGACTTGGATCTGATGACATATTTGGGTTAGGGCATGCCTTTAGACTCAAGGATCATTTACAGAGTTATTTTCAGATTGTCTATCAACAAAATTTTCATATGGACAATGAGATTTGACCTCACAATTTTGTAAATTATAATCAAATCCTTATTAACCGAATAGTTAGGATAAAGAAGAGAAAGTAGGTTGCTTTGAGAAATTAGAGCATTTTTTTGGGCCAAGTAGATATTGGAGGAATGAAGGAAAAGACTGGGCCCAAATTAATATCCACGTTGATACGAATAAGAAACCGAAGTTGTTAAAAGCAGCCCATATAAGCCCATATAACAGACTTATTAAAGGTTTCGAAGATAAGACTTTTTTTTTTTTTTTTTCCAGATTGTACAAGCATTGTGGTCAACAAGCAAGATTTCGCAGGTCCTCAGTCAAAATAGCTCCGATGAACGATGCGGCGATGCTAAATACAAATCCGTTTCGTTTGAAAATGGATGTGTGGCTGTGTGCCGACACGGAATCGTCTTCGGTGCTGATCAGGTCAGCCTGAATGAATTCTCGAACATCCAAATTTTAGTTTAAAATGTCCAGATTTAAACCTGTAATTTATTGTTTATATTTATTAAAATAACAAATTATAAAAATAATACTTGCATGTTACTAATTTGAACAGTCTGAATTTAATTTAAATAATTCAAATTTAACATTATTTTTTTAATTTTTATAAATTAATTATCCATATTTACTTTGTACTGCCAATATTTGAAATTTTTAACTTATAATTTAAAAAAAATTAAAAAGTACCAATTAAGAGATTATCTTTGTTTTGTTTTAAAAAAATTATCTTTATTTTTTAATATTAAATATAGACTGTTAAATTTTATAATACATCTAAATAATCAATTTATAAAATTATAAAAAAATTTAATATCAAATTAAATCATTTTAAAATACGTACTGTCTAGATAGATAATAAACATGTATATTTAAAATGTTTATAATTTTTTATTTTAATAAATATAAAATAAAAATAAAAATAAAAAATAAATTAAATCTTTAAATCTGGACCCGATGACAATCCGATTTCTTTTTTTCATAAGGTGCTCATCATTGCTATGCACCGAAGACGGGCCGTGCGGACACCGACTTCAGTTCCTCGAACCTTCCAGATTGGTGAAAAGTGAAAACTTCGAATTTCGTTTTCTTTTTTCTTGGCGTGCTTGGCATTTACGTTAACTTTGCTCAAAACATGAGAGTGATTTTAGTCAAAACGTGTTCTAGCAAAACCCGCTCTCAGTACCATTCCTCTTTGCTTGGTCACAATGACTTCATTTAAACACGCGCGCGCGCACCAAAAGGCTTGCCAATAAAATGGTGAAGAACTGAAGGGTGAACCGTGAGAATGCAGCTCTGTTTTCCCCCATTATTTGTTGCGTGAATAACTTTTCGTTATTTTTTTTTATTATCGTTGCACAGTAAGTGATCACTTTGTCTTCCAAATAAGATAATTGTATCCTCTATTTCTTATTTCTCCACTGGCCAATAATTTTAATAACTATACTGGTCGGCGACCCTTCTGAATCTTTACCCTTGTCACGCCATGTTAAAGAAGAGATAGAAACATGCAAAATGGTAAGACGTGTAAACTCATATTAGTGGAATTCCTTTTTAAATCCCTCTCGATTTCCACATATACTTCATATTCCAGGGCATCGAGACAGGACCGTGTGAACGTGTTTTAAGGCCTAAGATAAAATTATTAGTAAAACCCAACACGTGTAATTGTCCTTTAAAAATGTACTCATTATTTTTTTATAAAATTATCTATTAAAATTTTATAATATAGTAATTATAATAAAATATTAAATTAATTTAATAGTTAAATGAAAAGTAGCGGTGGTTAACTGCTCCTACCTCATCTTATATATTGGGATAGAATATTAACAATGAGATGGGATGGCAATACATTTTTAACAGAAAAAAATAACTAAGACTAATAATATCAATGATTAATGTAAAAAATTAATAATGATTATATAAATTATCAAAAAATTAATAAGGTTTAAAGGTATCACGTTGATGGTTTAAAGCTACACGAGACTTTGATGCTAATATTTTTTAATATTTTAGGCTTTAGAATAAAAAAAAGAGAAAAATGAAAAGCGAGATTGTGAGATGAATTTAATGCAAGTTAATGTAGTGCAAATTAATATCTTATGAACTTCACTATGCTTTTTTATATAGATAATGAATTCAGCTCAATAATTAATGTTATAATGGGAATAATTAAATTTTTGAACAGAAAAAAATTAATACTTTTTTATTCTCTTTCATCTACAGGTAAATATACAATAATACAAATATCAATTATACACATATATACAATAAGGATATTAATATTTTTTTTTAAGGCCTAAGGCAACTGCCTCACTTGCCTTATGGCTTACACGGCCTTGCATCAACAATTGTCGCGATTAGACAAGCTTCTGGGGGCCACGCTCCGTTTATTCGTCAAAGTTAAACAGTGATTGTTGAGTTAGTTTCTGAAGTTAACAAGTTGTAAAATTAAAATTAATGACGGATTAATTGACCAAGTACCAGCTGACGTCAATAGTAATTATAACAAATTAACACGGTTTCTTCGGGTTCAAAAGATTTTAGAGACCTTAGAAAACTAAAAATCACAATTATAATTCCATATGGATCGAGAAAGTGAAGGGTACAAGAAAACCGACCGTAACGAAACTCAAATTCACGAAACAACTTATTCCTTGCAGGCTTATCATCAGATTTTGAATTACAAGAAAAAAACAAACGATGTAATTAATCTGAAAGCTAAGTCATGAACCAGGCCTTGAGGCATCATCAGTTGGTTCGACTTGCCCCACTGTGAGATACCATTTTCCGATAATGTAATGTGGATAAACAGAAAAGAAAGAACTAGCAGCAAGCAGCTACCGATCAGAGAAGCAAAAACAAAAGTTATTCAAGAGATGGACCACACAGAGACTTGATCTGAACTAAGCAATGATAATTACCAACATTCATACAACTTAATATCCACGCAAAGCCTGAAATAGACTTCACCCTCAAAAGCATCAGTCGTGAGAGTAGCCACACCCCTGGTCATGAAGAAGTCACCAGTACCACCTATCACCGATATATCTCTGGTCTTGTTCATCAACGGATCAGCTCCGGCGAAGTTGATGCTTCCCTTGTGCTGTGTTGAGTTGAACACGAACGAGAACCCAAGCCAAGCCGTGAAGATATCCTTCTTGTCATACAAGTAAAATCCCTGAGCTCGACCAACTGGGGGCGAGTGGAAATTGTTGTCCATGGTAATAGGATCGTCGAACACGACCAAGTCACCAAAATGGCTTTGACCGGCCAAAATGGTGGTGTTGCCCCAGCTTGGAGCACCGACAATGGCGGAAGTAGCATTCTTGGAGTTGTGACCATTGTACAGGACGTCGTGAAAGTAGAAGACCAGTCTCTTGCACGGTTCGTGAACCCTTTTCCTCCACCTGCTGGATGCAGCAGACGATCCTACAGACACCAGCAACAACAGCAAGAGAACTGTAATGAGCCTCATTTTCGTTTTTGCCAGCTATGATGAGATCTGGTCTGTCCCAAGATTGGGCTGTAAGAAGCTCAAATTTATAGACTCGCTAGCTAGCTACAGGGCAAGTACAAGCTTGTGGCAAATGTACGTCTGTGACATAATATGCAACTTTAGATTCAAATATACTCTTAAAGAGATCGTATACAATTAAGTTTATTAGTATAAACCATATATTTACACAAGTGTCCACACAACACTAGACTGTGACCAGTTGAACAAACTAAAAAAAATATTTTAATATATATGAATTCTCACAACGGAAAGGAGGCATTCGTTTCTATGTTTTTTATGGATCAGGAAAATCTGTTCCTAGGTCACTGGTGGGAACAATTCTGGCAGAAGTTTAACTTCACGGATGTGAACATTATTCTTAAAGTAGATAAAATTATAATGCAAGTTGGAGGTTAAATAATTCATGGCGATAACAGGAAGCTAAATGTAAGCTTGGCTTTGAAGGGAGCATCCGATGGAGAAGAAAAATTAGCCAAGAAATATAACTGTGTTTGTTTATATATAGCTTTATTTCTACGACTAAGGAAATCATTGGCCATTATATTGGAAATGAGGGGACCGGATTGGGGACAAGGCTTTTCTTGATGCAATGCAACCAAAGGTGGTGAGTTGTGTTTGGTGCTACATAGTTACTGCCACGCAAATATCAACGCACATATACGCAACCACAGCTGGGTAAAACATGCATATATATAATTAATATATGCTGCTTTGTGTTCTTTTAGAGTCAAATTAAGTAATGGTTCGTTAGTATTTCATATTTGGCTGGAGTATGTGGTGTGATTAAGTTCGTTGTCAATGACTTGAACACTCTTCAATAACTTACACATGTATTTGATGAGTCAAAGGAGATCTGGCAGTAGTAGTTAAGAACAGTGATCAGATGCATGCACGGCGACTATATATGGTGAATCACATCTTGGGTTGACGTCTCCGACATATCGATTATGGAGCGGTTGAGTAATTCCCGTTCAATGGAGATGACATTATAAATTATTTGATTAATTAATGAATGAGGCACCTAACTAACCAGGAAGTCGGGTTCGATTGCTCTTTGTTGATTTGTTCACTTGTCATATCCTTTTTATGTCAAAGCTAATCGATGATTGCTGGCATTGAACTCACCTAGATTCGTTTTGAAGAAAATGAAAATGATGGCAGCCTTTCCATTTGTAAATGTCACTTTAAGTGGGATCTTTGTTCATTGTTGAGTTCTGGTTTTTCTAATACTTGTAATCATAAATTTCTTGTAATGCAAATAATTTAAAATTCAATTCCTAACTTTATGTATATAAAATAAACCTGTGATTTGGAAGAGACAAGTCTTTAATTAATACTGAGGTGGGGGTTGGGGGGGGTGGGGGAGCCATTTTCTTGCGAGAGGAGGCCTGACTTGTAACTACCCACGCCATTTTCCAAGACTTTATGTTGGAGCATAACAAATAATTGATGCCATTAATTAATAATTAGGCCCGCCCTTGACTTTTTGAAGGTTTCAACCACTTCACTAAGCCATTTGAACCAAATTTTATTTTCTCGGCTGGTGTCTAATGCTGCAACAAGTGATTTTTTTTTAAAATAATGATGTTGGATATTAAATATTTATACACATGTATATATACCCTAGATTTACATGTCTACATGTGTTTTAAAATCTACATAAAATTATATTATTTATAGGTCATGAAGAGTGTGATATGTCTTGAACTTTATACTAAGCATGGCCAATGGTCTTTTAATTGAAAAACGAAATAGCCCAGTTATGCTTACAAGAACAAGATTTTTTTTTTTTTTTAAGTTTCTCGTTATTGTAGAGGCAAATCTCAAAAGTGACCAAAGATAAGGCACATACATGATCATAGCCATGGGCCTGTCTTGTTTAAGCAGGAAGGGATATGTGCGTTTCAGTGTTATGTAATTTTCCCTACGGTGTCATTTATAAGACGCATTTTATAAAATTTATTTGATCTCATTTATATGTTATAATGTAGCTTTATAGGTAATAGTTAAAAAATTTTTTAAAATTACTCTTCATGAGATAGAAAAAATACCATGACATTACTTTTTAAATTTATTATATAGGTGTATATTTAAAATTTTACACACTTTTATTTTTTTTACTTTTTTTTTATTGGTATTAAAGAGATTGGTAGAAATAATTTATAAAAAGGATTAAAAAAATAGACATTTGACGTGACAGGTTAGAAACCTACCAATTAATCAAGCGTGGACTTCGATAGGCTATAAAACATCAATACTTCAAATTTTCTCACATATCCATATTGGTATTTTATCTGATATCGATACTCATTGATATTTCTTCAATACGTGTCCATAAAATATCAAAATATTTTTTAATTTTAAAAAATTAATTTTCTATACATATCCGATCTTCAGGATTTCAAGCCAATACTTCAAAGCTAATATTTCAAGAAATTAAATTTTATTAAATATTATGATATGAAACTTTTTATTACTAATATCTTTTTTGATTTAATTTTAAAGTCAAAGAGTAAACTTTCCTTAAAAAATAAGTTTTAGATGTAAAAAAAACTATTAGAAAAACAAACATGAGTTACAAAAATTTAGTAATGGATCTCTAATCCATCACTAACTATGAGAATTAGTGATAAAAATTTCATGATAGATTGAAATCTATCACTAATTATATAAATCAGTGACATTAGTGACGAATATAGAATATCATCAAATTTTATAAATTTGGTGACCGATTTAAATCTATCTTTAATTTTTGTCACTAAATTTTTATATTAGTTACATATATTTTTAATTAAAAAATTAGTAAAATAAGCTTAGATATCTTATAAAAATAAAAAAAATGTATAATATGCAAAAAGAGTTTCACATAAAAAAAATCTTCAAAATGATCAAATCCAATAATTACACAAATAATTTTTCTCTTATTAAGAGTAAAATACATTGATATTCACAAATATTTAATGGATTTCACAAGCATATGGTTCGGAAAATAATAAGTGATGTGATTAGAAAATTGAGTCCCAAATTTTATTTAAATTGAGCAAATAAAAATTTAGATTTGATAATGCAAAATAAAAATTGAAGTTATAAAAATGCACTAAAATTAAATTCCAACAATCACAAATAGTCAAGGCAACTTAATGTGGCTAATTCCTTCTTAAATTCATAGAGCATGTAATTATTCAAATAAATTCATGTAATATTAATTTATTAATCTAGAGTATTAATAGAAATAATTATCTTTTGATTAATTACACCCTTCTCTTGAACTAAGATGTTATTCCTCACACAACTACCTAGGAGGCAAAAAGGCACAAATTCACTCTTATATGATTATATGGGTTCAATAGGTATATTTCTATCCTATTGGCAAATTAAAAATAATTATAATCTCACATTATTCAATCTAATGGTCAAATACATATTTTTTCTTTTAAAGCAAAATCTAAACCCCTAAATTCATACTCAATGGTGGCCAAGCAATAAGTAGATAAATAAATATAAAATTAAGTAAAAAAAACTAATATTAAGCTCAAATAAATGGTTCAAACATGCTTTAATTCAAGAATCAATTCATAGTTAAATCAACCACACATGACTCTATGAAAGGAAAAATCAATAATATATATATATATATATATAGCAAAGTAAAAAGAAGGAGAAAAAGAAAAGCTTAATCAGAATAATTTTGAACGAAATCCTTGATTTTTCACTAAACCAAGCCTCTACAAATCCTCCTTTGGCTCCTTTTGCTTTCCCTAGACATTCTCTAGCTGCTGGAAGTGAAGAATGGTTGAAAATGTGGTCTCCAAACCTAAAAAGTTTACTAAAGATCAAAACTATACGTTTTATTAAAATCACGCTTCACCGTAACAAACATTACTTGTTCAAATTTTCTCTTTAGATTTACTTCCTCTGACTTGGGCTTTGAAATTTTTATGTTTTGGCCCATAAATTGGACCTCCCTATATGCATAAAATCTAAAATTAAAGATAGAATTGGTTCACTAACTTTCAATCACATTTACATGCCCATTTTCACACATAATTATTCATTTAATCATATTTTTGCTAAAAAATTTAAATAAATAACTTTCAATTACATTAAAACACTAATAAATTTAATAAAATATTGGAAGTCATCATATATAATATAAAATTATATAAAAAAATATTTTTTATTTTATTATGAAATTTAAATATGAAATAAAATTTTTATCATATAAAAATATTTTAATTATAACATAGATAATATAAAATGATATTGAATAATATATTTATTAACTAATATTAAATATTGAATTATATATTTATATGTGTTAATAGATGTGTATATATGATAATATATATTATCAACATATTTAAATAAAAATATATTAAATATATAAAAATAAATTTAAGTTAAATATATGTGTACAATTAAGTAATATATATTAAATTTTTCATATTAAGAAAGAAAAGTGATCACAGCTCAACTGGCAAAAGTTACTAACAAAAAGAAAGAGATCTTGAGTTCAAGATGAGGCAACGTCACATTTAAAGAGAATTAAAGTAGATTGTTGACATGGCGGTAAGGTAGCATGGAGGCCCAAGTGACAATGATGTGGCAAGTGATGTGTAAACCTCTAAAAGAAATGAATTATTTTTACATTCAATTAGCAAAAATAGAAATTGGCATTTCTAGATGAAAAAACAATGGCTCATTAATTTTGGAATAATTTCACTAAGTGCAATTTTTTTCATTTATTTCATTTTAGTACAATTAGTGGATAAACCTTCAAATTACTAATTATAAAGAGCTTAAGAACTTATTTATGAATTTTGTTGTTTTACTTTTTTTATTTTTTATGATTATCTATTCATTTCATACGAACAAAACTAATGGATAAATAATTTTGCAAACATTTGTGGAGGAGCTTTTGGTTGGTTTAAAATATGGATAATTTTGAAAGATTCTATGTGATATAATTTAAAAAAAAAACATAATCTTTGATCCCTATAGTTTTATTGAGTTTTTTTTTAGTCCTTGTAGTATTTATTTTTTAGTATCCTTAAAAGGACTAAAAACATTGAAAAATAAACTATAGGGATTAAAAAAATAAAAGTTACCCAATCTTTTTAAAACTATAGGGACTAAACATAAAATTTGATAAAATTATAAGGATCAAATATTATGTTTTCTCTAATTTTTTTCAAATTGATGTATCTTGTGCATCACCAAGAGTCAATGCTAGTTAAGTGAAACACAAACCTTCAAACACATTGAGCATAGAGTGTAAATACTTTACCAGTGAAGGATAACCTATTAAAATTTATCTCTACTTAATTAATTGCTTTACTACTATTATTTTTGGGAGGAAGGAAATATTTCTAATTAAATTAAGCTCTTGAAAGTTTGAATTGAAATTGACATTAAAACATTCACATTTTTGTTTGCCCTTTTTGTATAGTGATTTTCTTTTAGTTGAGGATAAGTAAATATTTAAGTGTGGGGGTTTGATGACTTTTAACATTTTACTAAATTTATTGGTATTTGTAATAAAATTAGAATTTATTTATTTGAATTTATTAGTAAAAATATGATTGAATAGATAATTATGTGTGAAAATGAACTTAAAAATGTAATTGAAAGTTAGTGAATCAATTATAGCATCAATTTTAGGTTTTATATACGTAGGGAGGCCAAATTTATGGGCCCAAAGGTGAAAATTTTGAAGTCTAGGTCCAAAGAAGTAAATCTAAAAAGAAAATGTATAAAGGTTATGTTTGCTGTAGTGAAAATGTGTTTCGCTGGAGTGAAGTGAAATTTTTGTAAAAAGCAAAGTTTTGATCTTTAGAAAACTTTTAGAATTTGGAGACCTCATTTTTTTATCATTTCTTCACTTCCAACAGCTCCAAAACATTTAGAAAGAGAAAAAAGAGCCAAATAGGGGTTGGAGAAGTTTGAGTTTAGTAAAAAATCAAAGGTTTAGCTGAAGATTACTCTTATTAAGGTTTCTTCTCTTTCTTCTCTTTGCTTTGATGTATATTTTGCTAATATTTGCTATCATTAGAGCTATAGGTGGCTAATTTTCTCTTAATTTAAGGTAGCTATGAACATAATTTTTGAATTAAAGTATGTTTGAACCATTGATTTAAATTTAATATTAGTTTTGTTTACTTAATCTCGTGCTGATTTATCTACTTAATGCTTGGCCATCATTGAGTGTAAATTTGGAGATTTAGGTTTCGTTTTAGAAAAAAAAATCTAAATTAGACTATAATGTGAGATTAAAATTTATTTAAATTTGCCAACAGCATAAACATATACCTATTGGATCCATATGATTATATTAGAGTGAATTTATGCATTTTGCCTCTTGGGTGTAGGGGTGTAATTAATTGAAAGATAATTAATCCTATTAATGATCTAGATTAACAAATTAATATTAAGTAAATTTATTTAGGTAATTACACGCTCTATGAATTGAAAAAAAGATTAGTAGCTCTAGATTATCTTGATTATTTATGGTTGTTAGAACCTTAATTTTAATGCATTTATATAACTTTAATTTTTATTTTACAATATTAAATCAAAATTTTGTTTTTTTTAATTTAAATGAAAATGAGAACCTTATTGCATATTGCATATTGCATATTGACCCTGTATAGTCGTGGTAAAACATTTTTGTGTGCATCAATTTGGTATAAAGCAATAATTGCATAAAATATTTATCTTATAGTTAAACATATATTAGTAAAAGACTATAATACCTTTATAATTAATAAAAAAAATTGTAGCTCTAAACACCCATCTTCTCTATCATGATACCCATCCCTCCCTTCCCCACCATGATCACATTATTCCTCCCTTAGCTCTCGCTCTCATCTGCGTCTCATCGAGGTCAGTCTCGTTCAAGTTTGCTTATAGAGTTAGAAGTAATGGAGCAAATGTTGCAAGTCGTTTGACAACTTGGAAGCGACGACTGGGAAATACCTAATTTTACACTAGCTCGTTTAATGATTTCGAAGCGATGGAGCAAACGTTGCAAGACATGGATGTGGGTTCAGCAGGGGATCTGGCCTCTCAAACACAACAAGCTAGAATTAGATCTAGACTCTCAAATTGAGGAAGGCAATGATAGGATTTGGACTCTCAAACTCCCGTCGACACTTACACCACTGACATGGGTTTGAAGATGTATGAACACAAGGAAATGGAGTTCGATTGGGAAGGTTTGAACCTGGTGTTGATTTGGCCAAGTTGATGATCTAAACTAGTGAAAGAAGAAGAAGTGAGAATCAAAGGGTTGTCAAAGCAGAGATAAGGGCACTTTGATCTTACAAAAATCAATCCCAAATTGTTTTTTAAATACTAGAGGAGGTGGTGGTACTAAGTAATCTCAGTTGCATGAAATTGGGATTGAGATTAAAATTTTCATTCCCATGTACCAAATAGAGAAACTTGGTTTTACTCACTCTCAATCCCAATATCACTCTTTCATTCATTTGTATAAAACGGGGCTAGTACCGAAATAAAATAGCAATAGTATATTATATAAGTCTTTTAATGGTTGATTTAGTACATAAAATTCAGTGAAATTAAAGAAAAATTATCTTTGCGCGACCGAATAAAGATAATTAACCCTCTTTTCGAAGGTAATGACAAAACAATAATGGGTAACCCTCGTGCTCACGGTGAGGAATGGTCAAGAACTCGAATTATACGTTCCTGGGCCCACCCAAAGGAAAGAAAATTTTGAAGAATGATGTGATATTTATTGACCTAGTGTAGTTCAAATATGCTATATATATATATATATAGTCTCCCCAATTAACATGCATACTTACACAAAAATGCACTTTTTAAGTATAGTAATAAAATTTGAAGGTAAAATTTCTTTGTTAATAATTCAATTTCATCATTAGACAAAATTGAAAAACCATTATTTAGCAACAAAATTAATTACTTTCTATAACTGATTAATTACCTGGGGAGCCCCCTAAACCAGTATTAAACTCTTATATATAACAAGTCAACTCCTGCTGTTATAAAAAAAAAAAAAATCAACTGCTGTTGGTGGTTATATAGATGATGAATCTCTGAAAATGGACATCTACGGGTAGGAAGCAGTCGGGACCGTCTTTAGTGCTTATCACCCACTCATTACCTCTAATGAGATATGGGATTTAAAGTTTTTAACTTATAATTTTTTTTAAAAATACTTTTATGGAATTTAAGTTAAGGGATTATCTTTATTTTTAATATTAAAAATTAAATTTTTTTAATATTAAATCTAGACAATCAATATTGATAATAAATAGATTTATTAAAACCTTCCATAATTTTTATAATTTTTTATTTTAATAAATATAATATTAAAATTAAAGATAATTTTTAACTGGTACATTCTAAAAATTATTTTTAAAAAAATTAAAAATTAAAAATTTAAATTTAAACCGTTTAGATTAAATCTAAACAGTCCATATTTTATTACAAGTAACGAACAACTGAGCAAGCACCGAAGACAGTCCCCAAACGTTAATTAACGACAGCCAGCGTTAGTACGGGGGACTCTGTATTTGTCGTTTAGTACAGTGCTTCACTCCAATTCCCGTATCTCAATCTAAATTACCTTAAAATGCGTAGATTGGAAGCAGAAAATGACTTTAATTGAAACAATATAATATTAAAGACACAAGAAGCTTACTTTTGATACATGAGCCATGCGTGAGGTGAAACTTCTGAACTAACTATAGAACTTCCACGTTAACAATCTGTTGTTTCCCTCGTCATCATATGTAGACCGCACTCAACGAATTGGCGCAACACTCGAGTCTCAACTGTGTATATGTTTATATCTTAGTTACTCGATCGACGCATACTTGTCTACTAATTTGTTCATCACCAACACTCATAGAACTTAATGTCTACACGCAGCCTGAAATAAACTTCGCCTTCAAAAGCATCGGTGACGATGGTGGCAACTCCGCGGTGCATGAAGAAATCTCCGGTGCCACCAATTACTGAGACATCTCTGGATTTCTGCAAAATGGGGTCAGCTCCAGCGAAGTTGATCGTGCCTTGATGATCTGTGCTGTTGAGCACGAACGTGAATCCGAGCCAAGCGGTGTAAGTGTTCTTGGTATCGTAAATGTAAAATCCCTGTGCCCTCCCAACAGGTTTGGAGTGAAGGTTATTATCGAGCGTGATGGGGTCATCGAAGACTGCGATGTTCCCAAAGTGGAATTGACCTGCTAATTTGGTTAAGTTAGAACCATCTGGAGCTGCTACAATTGCAGACGTGGCATTACCAGCATTCTCTCCGTTGTAAATAATGTCGTGAAAGTATAGTATCAGGTTTTTGCATGGTTTGTATTGCTTCCTGTAATTACTAGGGAAAGCCGAACACAGAGAAAGCAGCACGAGGAAGATGATGAGAAAGGAAGCTTTGGCTGCCATTGCTGGGCGACTTCGAGTTCTTGAGAACGGAACGAAGAAAGAGTGCAACGCCAAGGGTTGCTTGGCTTACTCCAGTGCGTATGTGTCCTTTTATAAGGACCGAAAAGAAGGTCGTTTCTTCTCCGGACAAAATTAGAAAGGAAAAGTATTCGAGAGCGAAGAAAAAACAAAGTAGGAAAAACATATTTTTATATTTTATCACTATTTTTGTTCACTTTAATCTTATTATCATGTGAATTTTTTATGTTAGTTTTATTCTTATTTAAGATTTTTATTTGAAATACTCCATGCAGAAGTAAAAATAATTCAATTTGTATAACACTAGTTTGATCCCGATTCAACCTCAATTAAATTATTAACCGTTAACCTAATAATATCTTAACTTATTTAATGATGAGTTTGGTTTTCAATGCTTGACATGTATTTATTCAACATAATCTTGTGCCTATTTAATATTTATTGTGCATTGGTAGACTTTTCGTTGTTTTTTGTTCTTGCCTTGAAATGGACTACTCTGGCTTTTTGGAAGATAAAGGATAAAAGCCCGAGTTAACAAAAGAATAATCCTCAGTTACCAATTTATATATTCCTCTAATTTTATTTATAAATTATTTTTAATATATTTTATCGATATTAAAGAAAATCTTAAATCTCATTAACTCTATCTAAAAATTAAATAAATTTTTAATTTTATTCATATTAAATATATATATATATTAATAACATATATTTTTTCTAAAACATTCAATAAAAAAAGAAGATATTTGCAATGAAAATTTAAAAATATAGCTTATAAATGAGACAAAAAATTATTTTCTCTCCACTCTATAAATAAGATTAAAAGAAATATTAATCCAATGCCAGTGTTTCACCAATTTCGATCATAATCTCCTTTAAAGCACATTTTAAAAAAGAAAACATAAGAAAATTAACTTCTCTATGACTGGATAGTTGGTTTAAACGATAAGGAAGTTGTGGTTTTGAGTTAAACCTCTGATGATCATGCAAGATTTAGATTAGCTCGAGCCCCCATTAAGTCCCTTTAATTTGATGTAAGGCAAATCCAAGATGCTGAATGTCGCTTACAATAATAATAATATAATAATAACTTCCTTTTTACGTAGTAAACTAAATATGCAGGCATCATTGTAATTTATATGTTTCCATCTCATTTGATTTTATTTATTTCAAATTATGTTTAACTTTGATTCATAGTCAAATTAAAATTTAAAATTTAAAATATAAGTAACAGTCAATTGAGTAGTAATTTGTTACAAATGATGCCGATATAATAATACTATAAATATTATAGAAACTCTAAAAATAAGATAAACATTTACTCTCAATTTTTTTGCCAACTCCCCCTTGAGATTTTGCATCCCACGGTAAAAACAAGGAGAGAAAAAATTAGCAGAGAAAACTCTAAAAATATAGTAAAAAAATTTAGGATAAAAATGTAAATTGACCCATAAACTATATGTCTTTATTATATTTTATAAAAATATAATAAATATGAAAGGAAATATTATACAAAAAATAAGTTTATGATCCCAAACATTTTAGGATTTATAGTTTAAGAGCTAATTTGCTCGATTGCCCAAAAATTTACTATTATAATTTTTTTCTCATTATAGTTTTCTATATTCCATATTTTCTTTTTACTTTTTTTTCTATCCAAATTACCAAGCCTAAAGGGCAACGGCATGTGGAGTATAATGAGAGTCTGGTACTAATTGTGACCAAATCAATTTTTTTTTTTTAAATTAGAGGAGTAGACCCTAATCAAAATTGAAAATAAGGACTGGGCCACCCATTTAAATTCATTTTTATATTAGTTCAAACTTGAAAAATGAAATTTTTTGATAAAATTGAATTTTGAAGTTTGGCCCTAATAAATTATGAAAAAATGGGCTTAGGTTTAGCTAGACTTTTTAGGCTTATTTCCCCTAAAAAATAAAATAAATTTTAATTTTAAAATTAAATTTTAACTTTAAAATATATGTTTATGCTTTAATATAAAAATTTTTATTATTTATTTCAAATTTTTATATGTTATAACTTGTATTTTTAAAAATACAAAATATTATAATTGAAAATTTAAAATTTTCAACAATTCAAAAGGATAGAAATAAAATAAAAATGAACTTTTGGGCTTGATATGAAACCATTTGTATCAAGGCACTTAAAAAAATGATAAATTTTAAAATAATCGGGGTAACCCTATAAGAACCTAGCCCATATGGGTTAGATTCGTCCAATTTTCATCTCCAACTCCAATACTATGGGATTATAAGTGAGATCAAACCTATAATCTCTCACTTATAATAGAGAGGTTACAAGCACGCTGCTAATCTATAAGTCCATTGGCAAATAAAGGTTAAAATGTATACGGAGAACAAGTCAACGGGTCAACATTATTTATTAAGCGAGGTAAACAAATGTACTCTATGAAGATGATGAGTTATAGCGTTGGACAGGTACAGCTTTACAGTTGCTTTGGATTTGCAATAACCAGTATGGTATTTTCGTGGCATTTTCCACTACTTGATGAAGATTTTGAAAAGGAAGAACAAGAAAAAGAAGAAAAGGAGCGGTGCACTATTGTACGTTGCTGGTGGATGGCCGATTAGGACAGTATTTGATTTATATTAATTAATTTTCTTTGCAAAAACTTTTGTCGACCAATATTTTGGAGAAAGAACAAGTGATGGTGGGGCGTTGGGTTATTATAGACTCGCATCATTTTCGTAAATTTGTGATTGATGTTGATAGACAATTTGAAGAATTTGAAATAGTATTAATTTAATGATATTTTTCGTGGTGATAATTAATTGGGAGTACCAATAATTAGGAACGACGGTTGGTGAGAGTTTGGTGAAATTTGATTTTGGCAGTGGAAGGAACCCTTTCTGAGCAGTCAATGATAAGAGTAGGTGAGTTTTATGGTAAGAGTGATATGCAAACATTCCACAAAATTAAAAGTAATGTAATAATTGGTCTTTTAATTTTTCTCTTGGCTGTTCCCGTATTGTCGTGTTGTACTATTAGTATATTCAATTGTTCATCTCCAATTAATAACGCCCTACTCAACGAATCTAAGGCGGCACTACGGAAAATGATGCTTCCCTCAACACTTTCTGGAGTTAGGTGTAACCTCACCAAATCATGGCCCCCCTTAACTACTTAGGAAGTTATTAACTAGTGTCATTTATAAAAATTAAAACAACTTTCAACAATAATTCATATATTAATAAAATTCTTATTATCATAAAATATATATTATTTTTTATTTTTACCCTTAATTTTAATTTATAATGAGTGAGAATAATGCAGTAAATAGTATACACAAGAATTTATGTTAATAAAAACAATAAATAAAATGAAAAAAAATCTACAAATATCTACTCCCTTCATTTAAAAATGTAAAGCATTTTTTGAGGAGTTAGATGTTCAAAAATATAAAGCATTTTTAATCTTTCAATGTATAATCATTGTCTTTTTTTAAAAGTGGCCCCATTGATGAATGGTTTTATATTTATTATAAGGTATTTAATAGAGGTAAATATAAAAAAAAAGAGTTAGTTTAAAAGTAGGTAATTATTTTATTAAAATGTGAGATTTAGTTAAAATTGCTTTACATTTTTTAACGAAGTGAGTAGTTCCTTATATCTTGGATTAAGATTAGTTGGAAAAAAAAAACAACTTATATTTTGGACAAGAAGGACTACTCCTTGATCATTCATATTAATTATATTGCTATTAGTATATATCATTAATTAATTATCAATAAATATCAATATATATAACTTACATAAAATTACATTTTTATAAGCAATGAATCGTGCGAAACTTTGTGCAATGCTCATTGGAAAAAAAAAAAAGACTTTGTACAATGCACTGAATTCGCACTCATTAAGAGCTAATTAAATTTGTTCATATAACCAAAAAAAAAAGAAATTAATTATAATTTTATGACGTCAATATTACCAATGAAAAAATTTCTTAGAATAACAATATTAAAAACATGATACTCCCTCCGAATCAAAATATAAGAATTAGTAACTAATTCACTGTTCTAAAAAAATATTAGTTGAAATTTTAATTTCTTAAAAAAATTTAATGCTTTCAATTTTATCCTCATTAAATCTCTATATAAGTATTTTGATAATGATAATTAAAATGTTAATGCATCATTTAATAAAAAGTAACAAAAGAAGTAGGGATATAATTGAAAAAAATAATTATAAAAGTTATCTAACACTTTATATTTTAGATCAAGTAAAGTTTTTTGAAAATACCCTATATTGTGATATGAAGACAGTAATCTTTTACGTATTTAAATAACCTTAAAAGAGGTACTCCCTCTGTTTTATTTACAGGAGGAAAGACTATCATTTTTAACTTATTTTTTTATATAAACAAAATCATATTTTTCAATAAACATTTATTGCAAGCTTTTTAAATTACCTGTCATAATTTTATTATTAAAGTCATAACAAATAACTAATAAAGGCTTAATTAACATAATTAATGAAGGGCATTGTAGTCCAATTTTTTATTTTTAAACACAATTAATTTATTTAATTGATTTTTTTAAACTATATGATATGGTTTTTTTCTCCTACAACTAAAAATAGAGGGAGTATATATTTATTATCAACAAACTTAAGTGTAAATTATGCTGAGGAGCAAAGCCAGAGAACATATAATTACTGAGAATCTAACACATGGACAGTTTGGTTATTTAATTAATTTATACTATTTATTTTCGGCCTGGGAAGCCATTTTTGAGCAAATAGATTGATTGATGCAGGATTTGAATTCTATGACTGTATTTAGAACAAACATTGAATGCATGTACTATCTGAATCATTGAAATTTAAATCATGATTCAAATAAACTCATTCATTTATTAATATTAATTGAAGTATAAATTTATAATTACTAATTTAAATTTTAATGGTTCAAGTGGTACAAACATTTAATATTTATATTAAGTACAGTTATTGAATTTAAATCCATTGATAAGGGGTCTGAATCAATAACTTCTGGAG